ACATGTGATGTCTGAAATTATGCACCACAAAGTGAAACATTCATAAAATAATGTAGTAGATGTTTGATTTTGTAACTTAGACATTCCATTTGTAACATATAGTGTCATTTATGGTTCAGTCAATAGATGTTAGACATTTGGTAAAATGTAGTAAATAATAGAGTCTGGCTTTTACTAGGTCGTCTCAGATATATTCAGTCGTATCGATAAGATTACGAGTGATGTAACTAATTGTTCATAATAAAATTCAGAGTATCAGTATGTTTGTACACGCTAATCAATCTCTTCAGTATTCAAAATCTCCCTGAACCTCTTCCTTACTCAGACATTATATAAAGGATGTGTTTCTTTATTACATAAATGGACTTTGGATACTATATATAATTATTATCCAACTATAGAATTAGGAGTCTCAAATAACTATTCCTATTCACAAGTTTGATTCGATCAAAGGCAGAAAACTCTGGATAATAAAAGAGATTCATTTACTTCATGATTTATCTTCAGCTTCTTACAACCAATATGCAAATATTATATCATATTAATGGATAATTATGGGATGAGAACAACAAATATGCAAGAATTAAAGAATGTAGGGTATGCACTTGCATCTCATACATCAATTCCTCTCAATAAGACACGCTGAAATATCCGGTTTACCACTGACCAGGAATACGATAAATTTCTTTTTCTTAATGTTGTCATTCAACTCCATTCAGATCATCATGTAGAAAGATCTATTTATCAAAAAAAATACTTGAAATGGTGTTTATTTAAATTTCAATAGTTTCTGTCCAATGGGCTACAAAATATCTTACTTAGAAAACTATTCAGTTATGTGCTGTGACTGCGTTCGGAGTACAAAACTTGAGGAAAAGTAATCATGATTGAATAGTGTTTGCGAGATAATGTTTACACATAATAATTCATCAGTAAGAATAGGGAAACAAAAACAAAGAAATCAGAATGTGCTACACATGAGGAAAAGCCAGTATTTCTATAGCTTAGTTTCACAGGTGATGAAATAACTAGTATAATTAATTTAGTACTTGTATGTTTAAAACAACTCATCCAGACGTTAAACTGGTCTCGTTTTGTCAAATCAACTACTTGCTGAGACAAACAAAGTGTACAAATGTGAACCTCACTTAAATTTCAACTGTAGTTTCCGATTTACATGCTCGTAGCCCGGAGAACGTTCTGTAACAACTAAGATTAAAGGGTAAACACATTTTCCATAGTGCCATTTTACATCATCTACTTGAAAGTGAATAAAATATTGGTATTTCAAGGCTGTTTACAATAATCGATGGTCAGACAAATTCGGATTTACTAGGTTTTGCTAAGGGTATCGTTACTAAAAGGTTGAGGCCGAACTTGTGTATTTAATAGGATACAGTTGAAAATCTCTAACTACGATGGTAACTTAAGCTTTCCATTATTAAGTGATATAACATCTTACTTGATGTACTCAACTGTAAGTCCGTTTTGTTCATTGTTTCAGTTTTTAAGTTTTACTCATTTCATCTTATCAGATTACCCTATTTTACGGTTGTTATTACGTAAAAAATGTCATGAATTACCCTGTTTATATACTACATACTTGTTTTCTTATTATACGGAATTTCCACATTTAGTGATGTAAACATTTATTCACCTAAACATTTTATAATTCTTCCTTATACATGCTGCCCATATGAAATCCTCATGACACCTACGTGGTATATTCTAACCTTTAGAGAGGAAAATTAAACTGATCTCTTTGAGTTATTATGCACACCTATATTTACTCCAATCAATCATACATTAGTAACTTTAATTGTTTCACGTGAGCATATGTTTTGCGCATGTTTGTTTATTACTTACTCTAACCGTTACTTGTTTTTAGTTTGTTTTTGTCTGACTGACTATAAATATTGATTTAAAGACACGTTTGATAAAATTGAATAGATAGAGAAATCTTTCTCCAAGCTGTACTTCTTATAGCCTACCTGAATAAACGAATGTCTGAAATAAATATTTTCAACTCACGTCGCATTCGGCTTTCTAATGACTAACTTTACTCACCGATGTCGGCCTGAGTATAAAATAAGAAATTAAACAGAGTATTTATATTTCATGGTTCATTCATCCCTCGTTCATAACGAAGTCAATTCGTTTTCAACAACTAATCTTTTTTAATATGATAGAAATTACGTACATTGGTTGCTAATGTTCATTACGAATGCTTGTAGGTGGTAAACAGCTGAAGAGAAATCATGACTTATAAGAAACTGAATAGAACTGAATAGCTTACAGTTTATTCCTGACGTTTTTACAACCAAGATGGTATTTGAATATTTGTAAAAGCGATTTTCTCCACTACAAGTTGATATCACTACTAACCAAGAAATTCCCACAATGAAGTCAAGACAGTACTGATTTCAGAATCTCAAGATATACAATCTTTTCTTCTTTTATGATTAATTAGAAGAAAAATAACTTGTTCACAGTAAAAACATTGTTATTTTCACTTACCTGAAAAAATAACAGTTACTTAAAATCTGATAATGTCAAACTGAAATTTTATTAATTCGTGGCTTTCAAAAGGGAGATGGAATTGTTAGGGAAATACATCCTTACCCAACGTTTCTACACTTCACCTAAAAAAATTTACCACGAGCCACGTTATATATAATCAGATGAAGTTACATGGTTCATTCTTTCGGTAAAGGTGACCGAACATCGTTATTCTTCTTAACAGGTCAAACTAATATAATGACTTATATGTAATTGCTTTGGGTAGTCTGTTGTCATTAGCATAGGGTCTGGTACAAACGTGAAGAGGCTCACGTTACCACACTTTACTTCAATACAAGTGAGGAATTTAGTCGGATGTAAAGCAAAGAAAACGAAGTAATCCCCAACTAAAATGGAATTCTAAACATAGGGAATTCAGTTTAAAAAGAACAAATACGAACGATGCATGAAGTGTCGGAGTTGATATTCAAGATAAAGAATGAATAGAACTGCGTCCTTGTGACCGATTTTGAGTCATACAAATGAACGCCCAAAGCCACCGATTATGATTAAATTACCGTGATAGCATGAGCTTAAAGAAACGAAATACCTACCTGACAACTTGACTTAGATCATCAATCGACAAATATGACTTGAATTCTTTATCATTATTATTTCGACTACTCTTATTTCAGCCAAAAGTCCACATCATGCTTGGTGAACCTACATTCGCGTTAAATGAAAAAATCGAGTTGATATGTAACGTTGGTTACGAGGAGGATGAATATAGTTTATATTGTCCTTGGGTCTTCACTGTAACACTTTCCAGGTTAATGATTTTAATTTTCCTTACGTTAATACATACACGCCTGTATAATTTATTACTATCATCAAATCATTCATTCTCAGAAACTGTAAACTTAATAAAAGTGTTCATTATTTCTGAATTCTACATTGCATTAAACACCAAATTTTAACCAGTTTGTAATACTCAATCTCATAGACCTTTCCATCTACTTTTATTTTCGTTTTAAATATATCTTAGCCATAAACTTTATAAACTGATTCATGGCTCAGTAGCCATCGGTGGTAACTGAATTATATTGGTCCATTTTCAGTGTGATCACTGGTTTAAGTGACTTAACTTTACACTCCACAGTTATGTATCTAAGATAGTTGGGATCAATCAAAAAAAAGCCGTGAAACAATTGTAAATAACTTTTAGCTCAAGAGAAGGATTTTAAAGGTGCTGAGGTCTCTGGGTTCAGAGAACACAACAACAAAAAATCTAAATTTAGAGTTTCTCAAAACTTAAACCACTTATGTCATGTAATCAATTATTGGCACATTATATGCTAATTCTGAATATGTCATTATAGTATACTCAGATCAAAATGGAAACGGTACAAACAAATGAAATCTATCAACTAATTGGTGAGATCATAACATATAGTGAGATTATGCTTTCCTTCAGGAATAGACGCTAATAATTCACGATCTTTGTGCAACTGTGTATCAATCCAAGTTGTCATAGTTTATTCACATCAAAATAACAAGTGGAAGCCCCCAAATGCCATGGCACGGCCGACAGTGGGGAGAGTCCGCTCTCCCTCTCCAAACGCTCTCACATGGCCACGCGTATATAGCCTCTACCAGGGAAGTCCTACTCACTGCTTTCTCGCACCACGGGTGTTGTTTACGAAATTGATAGGACGAAAAGCGAATGTCCGGCGCTTTAACCGGGTTGGTGAACACAGAAAGTCTACCTAGGGGAGTTGGAAAACCCTGATTCTAAACCAATGGTGAACATGAGCTCCAGAATCCTGAGGGAATAAATGACGTATGAATCAATCGTTGGTCACCGGCTACCATGAGACTGTATCTTCTCACGATGCTCTCCACTGCCTTATGGATCAGACCTTTAGGTCAATGGCTCCAGGTGTAGCCCCCCTACGAAATCACCTGCTTCGGTCTGTACACCTGGGTAGTATCACAGCCCTCACACAAATGAAATGAGATTTCCGTAGTGCATATATATCTGGTGCCTCTTTGTAGGAATATTTATGTTTTTAGATAAATAAATAAATAAACAAGTGGAAATCTTATACTGTAGACGAAAGTTATTGAAAACAATAACAATTGTAGTGCATAACTGAACTGTTTAAAATATATTATGATATACACTGCATTTAACTTATTATTCTTGTTTGATTATATATTTGTAATACATTTTATAAAACAATTAATTTTTTTAAGATTAACCCCCCCCTTGTGTCCTATTGGTAGATTAATTAGGGAAATATTTATTGTTTTATTCATTTAATTTGTGTTACATTTTTTTTGATATATAATCCAAGTATGTTGTCTTTTAGAAAATATACTCAATAGAGAATATGAATTTTGTCATTGATTTTATTGGTTTGATTGGTTCTATATTAGTAGTATCACTGTTTGTTTTTTTCTTCTTGTTCTTCTTTTTTAAAATTGCATCATATTTTGTTTTAAACAAGATCAGGTTTAGCATACATTGATAATAAATTGTAATTAAACATAATGAATTTAATTAAACGTTGTTCTACTTCTTTCTTATACTCATTGTTATATAATCGTTTTAATTCTTCAAAATCATTCAATGAAACCTGTTCAAACAATAAGTAATGAAAGAAGATTTTCATTGAGAATTGATATAAACTGTAAAACAGGTATAAACTATTAAGCACTGGATATTTTGTTTTAACTTACTATGTTACTAACCGTTATTCAGTATCTATTCAAGGTTTCTTATTAACTAACTCAAAGCATTTAGCATTTCAAAATAGTACACTCTATGTCGAATCAATTAGGCTATTGTTAACATCCCAATTAGATCGATAAAACTTAATTAACATTCGAAAAGGCTAAATAAACATAAAGTTAGTTACTATCCAGTAATCAATCAATTGTAAATATATCTTAGTTTTACAGGAAATCAGTCATGACTAGAAAAGCTCAATGGTAACAGCTTAGATTGTGTCAATGGATGACTCTTGTCAAGATCTAACGGGTAACATTAACTGCTTTACGATTGTACATGCGCCTTACTAGTGAATGTTATTTAGCACGAAACCTAGGTCTCTTAACCTTGCTCCATTGTCTACTAGATTAGACCTCTAGGTAAAAGGCTCGGGGAGTGACCTCAGAAGAAAACCACGTGCTTTGGTTTGGGTGCCTAGTTAGTATTCTATCCCTCAAACCAAACGAATGACGAAGTGTAGTGCATCAACATTTGGTGCCCGCTTGTACCAATGTTTATGTGTTTAAATAAATAAATAAAAATAAATAAGACTCAGAAGACTGATGAATAGCACGAAGACCCTATTCAAAGTGAAATCGGTTAATTAAAAAATCTTACTGTTAACGATAAAACTGTATGCTAGAAACTTTTAACATATGTAGTGCCGTGCTTCGATAGTTGATCGCTTCGATAACCGTTATTAAACCAATCTTAACGGTGTATAAAATCAGAAGGCAAAAGGAAGCGACAACTACATTTTTATTGATGGTTGATGCAGACCAGAAAGCTGTGGGCACATGAGCAAGTGTAAGCGAGCGAAGCAAAGATAATGCATAGTGGAGATAACTGGGATGCCAACTCGCTATGAGCAAGCATTACTCAATATTTATAATCAGACAAAAATGAATGACAGACATATGATGAATAGGATACGAAGGGTACATACACATGCGCTCATATAACAAGCTAGTCAAGGTTAATAAGCGAATAATGAACAAGATCAAAAGATGACTCAATGTCTAGGTGAATTGGCTTAACCAGTAACTAGAATGAAGTATATGGGCTCAACATGACAAACGATACTACACATAAAACTTAGAAGTTCCTCTTTGATTGTTAAAGATTGAATTAATTTTTCCAGTTAATGAAAATAAAAATGCCTTAAATATTTTTATTCTCTCTATGGTAGTTAAGAATTAACTTATAAACTGAATTCTTCAGTCAATAATTTCAAAATTATTTAATACCTCATCTTTTTCTTTAATTATTGTTCGTAATTTTTCCCCTAGTGATTCATTTGTCGTTGTAGGCTGTAAAATGTGAAAACATTTACAAATAAATCGGTATATATATATATATATATATATATATAATGAGTAGATTAAAGGAGGCAAATTTTATCGATCGGGTTAGTATGGTAATTGCTGTTGTAGCTAGCTTTTCACTATTTTGATTAGATATCTAATTTAAGGAAAAATTACACGGAATTATAAGCAGAGACAGATGGTGGTTAGCAGTGGAATCCAGAAGGCATGTTTCACCCTATTGGAAACTAATAAACTGAATCTACCTGAATCCCATAGTTCATATTCACTTCGGGACTCGAACACAATACTGTTCACTTCAAACCTGATCGAGCTACTATTTCAGCTACTGGGTCCAGATAGCCACTAGCTTACTTTTAAGCAGTAAATTATCTCCCCTTTCTATTCTTTATAAATGTCTATACGGAACTTGGTATTATAGCAAACTGATATTCATTGATTGTTAGCATTGTTCTAAAGTCTACAGAATAATGGATAGTACTACATTAATTAATAAAAGCTTAATTTCAAACTGTTAACTCAGTTGTCGAGATTCGACTGTATAATTCTGAAAATCGATTTCATAAGACAATATTAATATATATGTAAATAGTATCACAAGAATGAATACGTACAAATAAAGAATAAGTAACTTATCATTTACAAAACTATTTCAGTACACAATGTTTTTATGTATAGCGATGGTATGTTGATAAAGTTCCTTCAAACTGTTTCTCATAGACATTTTTACCCAATTTTTAAAAATTTAAGCAACATATATCTCATTAGAAAAAGGGGTTTAATGTTTAAATCAATTAGTAAGTTACATAGTTATATAAAAGTTTCCATTCAGTAAAGTATTTGGCCTTTAGTTTATCAGTAGTCTAAATCTTATTAATTATGTCATAAATTTCAATGATATTGTAGTGAACAGAACACTGGTTGGGGACAATCGAATGTATTTAAACAAACATTACAGACTATTTCAGTAAATTCTGAAAACCATACAATGGAGAGTCAATTTGCAAATTAACAACCAATAGTCGCAATCTTCACTGTTTCTTCTCTAATTCCATTGTTTGTGCATTTTCCTACCCATTGCGCTTTGTTTCAGTTCTTTCCTCATCGGTCTTCTGCGAAAATGCATTCTATGTCTGACCAACACCATATACTACTTATATGGATATAAGTAGACTACACCACAATATATATAACTATTCCGGAAAATTAATAGCCATTGCAAAACACATAATGATAATGAAAAGTGGTTTAACTTTCTTACAAATTAGTTAAAATATAACTGTGATAAGCATCATTAGATGAAATTAAAGTTTGGAGTGAAGCTTTAAATCTAAAACGCGAATTTCATAATTTCAGTATGAGGTGTTATAGAGATTTTTGGAATTTTATACTTTTATATCAGTGACCACAATAAGAAAGACACTGAAAACAAGAAAGTGATGGAAATCAGCTTTTTCTTAGTATAAGACATCACCATATTGGATAACTAAAGTCAACAATCAAACTAGTAGGTGCCAACATTATCGTCAATCCTATAATTAATGATTTTACCTTCTGATAGAGTCGTGAATTCTCACAACTGATAAGTCAGGTACATAGACAAAACAACGATCCAGTGTTTCCTGGTTTTAACTCAAACTCCATCTAAATTCATTCAGTCATCCAAGACTTTAAAATTCATAACTTCATTCGTGTAGCCTTATTAAATGAGCAAAGAAGTACTAAACATGGTCAAATTGGTAAAATAGCTATGACAAAAACAAAAAACTGTCATCAGAAACTGAAGAATTCATTTGTTCTTAACCGTTTCTTACCGAACATGTGTTAATTAGGCTACGTATTTCGGACTTGAAATCGGCAAAACGATCATGATAAATTGCTAAAGACCATGTATCATTAAAGTAACTGAGAATTAAAAGAAAAATGCACAATTTTGATCATCGTATAAAATATAACTTGGATACTACCAATTAGTAAACATTTAGTAGCATATAAAAAACAACATTTCAATATTATTCATTAAATAAAATTATCTGATTCTTAAGATGTTTTTGGTTCCATGGCAACTGCTAGTTAATTAATGTTCAACTATGATAAAATAAAACTATATAGTTGAAATATTTATCAAAAGTAACAAGTGTGAACTTAATATTTGGAATCATTAATTTATCAAACCTACATTTTTTAAACTATTATGAATGTAAGCAAAGATGGATAATGGCTAGCAGTGGAACCCAGTACGCGCGTTTCGTCCTATTTGGGACCCGTCAACTGAATGTACCTGCATCTTAGAGTTGATGTTCACTCTGGGACTCCAACTCAGTACCAAGTGGATAACGCGATGGCGTTTGAAGCGAACGGTACTGGTTTCGAGTCCCAGAGTGAGCACCAACTTTGAGATCCAGCTGACGAGTCCCAAATAGGACGAAACGCGCGTCCTGGATTTCACTTCTAGTCACTATCCATCTTTGCTTATAATGCTTGTGAATTTTGGCTTTATCGAGGCAATACGCACAGTATGCACATATACCAATTAAAGACTGACCAGTTGCAGTCCTAAGAACATGAATGGGAAGATCGAAACAAACAATACTAAGTAAATTTTATTATGAATGTATTGTAGTGAGCAAGAACACGACTAGGGACAATCGAATGTATGTGGGCACAAATTACAGACTATCTCACTAAATTCTGATAACCATACAGTAAACAGTTAATTTGCAAAATAACAATCAATTGTATCAATCTTAACTGTTCCTTCTGCGAATATCAGTCCATCTTCTCTGATTTCATTGTTTATGCATTTTCGTTATCCCTGTTTTATATTATGACTGTTAAAAGACGATTCAATTTTGTTATCTGCTTATCTAAAAATGTAATGTGGGTCATAATTGGTATTAATTTTAAAAAAATACTTTTCTAAAGTTAAAATTGCTGAATTTAAAAAAGAATGTGTCACTGAATGGCAATTCAGTGGTCCAAAACTTCAAAGCTACTTGTGACACTTAAATGTATTGCGTCTAATGCAGTTAAGGTAAAGGATATAAAAATACTAAGAAATCGCATATCAAGATGAAACAGCTTTCCAGTACTGCCTAGTACAGTATTTCTTTCGATCTTATTTTGTCTCTTTGAACTTATCATTTAACATTTGTATTTCTTGTAGTTGATACAAGCACTGTTCTGATTCCTATATCTTTGTTAACATGAAGTGTAGAACCTTGGATCCATGTATATCTGTACAATATACTGATTTGTTTATGAATACCTGACTTTGCGACAACAGGATTTTAGAGGTAAACTTTTCGTTCAGATCTATTTAAACTAACTAAGTTTCCAGGATTATACCAAACTACATAGTAACAACTGAGCTGAGTGATTACGGTTTCGAAATTTAAATTGATTCTTCTTTCTGATGCAGAACTAATATGATGAAAAACAGTTAGTTTTGTCAATCTTGTTAAGAATTAGGCTGAGCACAGACTTGAGGGATTGAGGTAAACTTACTATCTTATTAGGAGTTCCAAATTGTAACTTAGCTACCTACAGTAGAACTATTAAGTAAATGAAACTAAGCAAGATTGCAATTTAACAGTTAGGAAAAAAACCAGGAAATTGTGAAGCACTTACTCATAGAAATCATGAATTAAACCTTCATCAAATCTTGACACTAAGTGATTTAAAAGGGATTCATGTAAATTGAATAGTTGTATATAGTTCTCAGCAGGGAATTCCTATAGAGAGATCGAAAGAGAATATTAATTTTTTGTCAATCTAATAACTGTTATATCAAGGTGTTGCTTTATTCTAATACTGATAAACATTTTTGCTATATATACACCCAGTCTGCTATGTAAGTGCGAAGACTAGTGAAGAACAGAGAATTGTATCGAGAAAACACAACAAAATATACATCAACTCATTGATATATACATATATACCCTTCGGACTGTTGAGTCACATAGATAATAAACGTTATAAGATATTTTTCCACTGAGAAAATTAGTTGGGAAGCAAATGTTCATACGAATTTATAATCTTTGTTGGTCACATTAAAATAACACAAAAATTGGGTATGGAATTTCTCTTATGTCAACTTTAGATTTTTATAAATGTTTTTTTATAGTTAAAATCATGATTCAATTGAAGCTAGACCACCAAGGAAAACCTGAAAGCACTGGACGGCTGTTTCGTTCTATTGTGGGACTCCTCACCACTGTGCGTAAAACATTTCCACCTGTAAAACCAGATTGTTCATACACCATATCAAATTAATTTAACTCAGACCTACAATCAATTGCAATCAATTATATAATTATTTGGTAATCTAAACTTCAAAAGTAAATAAAGATTGATACAAAATCAGTATTTACAAAAGATTGAAAATCATCCTACCTACATCAGATGATTGAATTCACTGACAGTTAATAATAGTTTCAACATTATTTTGCATATGAAATAAAAAATGAATTATAAGTAGTAAATAAATACTGTTTCACCTTTGTCGATAAGCAGGTTATATCTTGAATTATATTATATTTGTTGATATAGATCGAAAAATATCGTATTTCTTTAGCATCTTCCCCAGTAACCAGTAAACGACCCTATGATGAAAATCAAAATACACAGAATATATAAATATATACCATCTATAAAGTTATTTTACTCATTATAATGTGCAAATTTTCACTTCAAAAGGTATTTACCTTCTCACTAAACATCCATGCAATATAAAATACCACAAAAAAATTGAATATTTAAAAGGGGTTTTGAGGAGATTTTAGTAATTTTATATAGTTGAAACCATGAGTTAATTGAAGCTAGACAACCACCAGGTTTTCCATGATGGTCTAGCTTCAATTGACTCATGGTTTCAACTATATAAAATAATAGACTAAAAGATAATTATTTCATCCTAGCCTAATAAAGATTGAGTTTATATTCAACACTTGAAGAATAAAACCTGAATCTTTTTAATATTGTAACGTTGTGTAAACTGTGATAGACCTTTTCGATCAGGATTAAGTATCGGGTACTATTGGGGAACAGTGTAGACAATAACAATGCTCCTGTAAATGATAGTAGATATACATGATAGATAATCCTGATAATAGAATGAAACGTTTATTGACTGATAAAAAAATGTTTTAATTATATAATACCAGTTTAAACAGTCGGCTGATGAGGTAAAAGTTTCCGTATTTCTAATTTTTAACTCATAATGTTGTGTAGTTTTTATAATACAATCAAATAGTTAATTATTTTTCTGAACTGATTGGTATAAATGATTCAACAACATTTTTCCGTATAAAGCTTTTGATATTTGTCTAAACGTTAGATTTAGTGCTACCTAACACGAGTCGATAATGATACCAGAGTTTAAGGATCAACAGTGTGTGTTGTTTTCCATGATGATGATTTTTATTAATAGACGCTTAATTAGTTTTTATAATGGAATTTTTATCTTCCATTTATAATCCTTATAATATTTCTTTGTTTTTCTTGTCTTTGAAACTAATGATTCCACTGTCGTGGAAGTTTGGGGAATGAGATGTTCTGGATTCCCTCAAGAAGTTTCAGGCTGTTTCGAAGTTGATGAGTATGGAGGAGCTCAAGGCGAAGACGGTGGTACCGAGGATGCTTCTTAGAGTCAGGTCAAATATTGTATATGACAGCTCTAGTGTTGGAGAGAGGAGTTAACACAGAGTTTGATCGCAGAAGTCGATAGCTCTGTGAACATGCAGGAGGCACTTGAATTCAAGCTGGTGAAGTTGCCGGTGAATGGCAACCCGCTAATGTTGGTAGCGCAGCTAAACAGCTTGTTAGGTCGTGAAATACCGAATTTGGACGAGGAGCCTAGTTGCTGGCATAACAGTTAATGGAAAGTGTACCTTCCACCAATTTCCAACAGTTGAAATTAGTAGTCGCCGTATAACCTATGGATATCAGTGTATTAGTTGAAGAAACAAGACAGTTGATGACCCGGTTGTATGCGGAAGTCAAGAGATAAGTAGTATAGAGAAAAAGATAGAGGAGATATAGCGTGAGACTGCCACAATATGAATGAATAATAACAGGAATAATAAATGCTACTCTTATGGAGAAGCAGGCAGTTGGAAGAAAAATTGCCCAAACAGACAAAAACACAGAGATTTTAGACGACACAGTTCATGTTTTTTCTATCCAGTGAAACTGGGGATCGTTGTATTGATAGACCAAGGTGCAGTCTATGCAAGAGTAAACATAAACGGACGAGAAATAATGTGTCTGATTGATATAAGGGCAGCAGTATCATTATTTGACAAAGAGCAATGTAAGAGGCTTAAGCTTTGTTCATTAGCTGTCCATGCAGAAGGGGGCCATATGTTAGCAAGTGTAGTAAACGAAGAATTTGTGGGGAAACCAATTAATTATTTTAAATCACATAGTGGTTTAGTAAGATGTAAAAACTATACGTTAAGTACATCATTTTCACATCTTGTTTTGAATTGTTTGCAACAAAATCCATTGTTCCTTCAATCTTATTGTTGTCTTGATTGCTTTCAGTTTTCCTCCATCTTCTCTTCATTCCAATCTTCTCAATCTTCTGCTGACAGGCATTTTATTTTCGAATATTGCCACATACTACTTATATATGTCAACATAAGTAGTATACATCACAATATTACTGACGGTACTAGCGACCGAATGATACATCATAAAATTTACGTTTTTTACTTTGCAAACAGTATATTAAACCATTGTTTTATGCGTTTTTTTAAAGTGACTTATATGCTGGGTTAGTAAATTTTATTCATTGGTTTCATTTATTTTAGAATAACTTCATTTTAAATAGTTTTTGAATTGATTTACGTGTTTGAGAATAGATGATGAAATGGAGGAAGTTCTAACTAGAAATGTTGGGTTTGATTCAGTCTAACTGGTAATGAAAGTGAAAATTCAGGGCAACACTTTAAAATAACTGTTCGAACATTTGGAAAATAGCCAGTTAGCGGAGATACATCAGAGATTAGAGAGATATAAGAGCAATAATTATTAATATCAAAATCTTATGAAATTCTCTTTTTCAGTAAATTATAACCATTTCATTGCATTTCGTTTGAAATAACTGATTATTTCATCTTAATGACTTAAACCTTCTGAAGATGCTGTGAAATCCATTTAGAATTATGTACCGGAACTTTTCTTGTATGATATATCCATATTATAGAATTGTGTTATTATTATTATTAGCTTTATTCAATATTATATTTTTGGTACAATATAGAATCCTCAGCACAAAGTACTTCAACGAGTTTCCGCTTCTTACTTCTTCGTCCTTCCTGACGATTAATATTGAGTGATCGCCAGTTGGAAGTTAGCAGCCCAGTCAATCGAAATCTGGATAATGTGCATTCTTCTCGCTGCATATTGCCATCAACCACGATATCTTTGATTAGGCCTTCTGTAACCTTTACAGCGAAAGGTCTTACACTTTTCAGAAACGCACTTGAATAGGTTGTGCGATTAATAAGTATAATGGTGTATTAAACAAACGAAATTAGATAATTTGCTGAAATATCTAGATGACAGGACAGGTAGCCCAGATGTTTTAACAGGCCGCCTGCTATTGGCATGCTCAACAGATTACAAAAGTTATTCTGAAATTTATTGTTTCAGTAATGGTTCAAATAAGAATTTATTGAGTTTTTCAAAAACATGAGATAACACAGCTATCTTAACAGTTAAAGTCATTGAAGTAAATAAAAAAACAATGGCATTTTTATTCCTCAAAAGTTATTCCGTTTGAAGTTTGCACAATGAAATATATTGAAACTCACTATTTCTTAGGAATTCATGAGTTTTATCAATAAATACTTGGCATTAATTAGTAATGACAAACTTAAGCCTGTTTTTTTATTACAATTATGTTTGATTATAAACAAAGATAGATAGTGGCTAGCAGTGGGATCCGGGACGTGCGTTTCGTTCCATACGGGACTCGTCAGCTGGATGTACATGCATCTTAGAGTTGATGTTTACTCTGGGACTCGAACCTATTACTGTTTGCTTCAAACGCCATCGTGTTATCCACTTAGCTACTGAGTCCTGATAGGCCAAAACGCGCGTTGTGAATTCCACTGCTAGCCACAATCCATCTTTGCTTATAAAGCTTGTAATTTCAGGCAATATTAAGGCAGTCTGCATAGGAGGCACATATGCCAAAAAGAGACTGATCAATTGCATTCCAATATAACAATGGGAAGATACAAGTAAAACAAGAACAAGTGAATATATATTTGATTATGTTTGAAGTTTAATGAATTAATTGAAAAAGTGAATACTTTACAAGGTGATTTCATTAACTAATGTTACCATTTTATTGGGTTCACAACTTTAATATCCAGTATCACAATCAGAAATGATACTTCTCATTTATTGATTGGAAACTAAAAAAATCATAAATATACATACTATTCTTCAAATAAAAGTTGAAAACAGCTTACAAACTCAGAATTGTTCATTCTAATATCCATGGATTCGCATATAGAAGGTTGTGTACAATGAAGATAAAAAAGATTACCCGGCAATAAAGCACCAACAGTCTTCGACTGTTTAAATGTTGGCAAAATGAATGATTCATCTACTGGAGGTGCTTTAACGTTTTCAATATTTGGATCAAATAAATTTAAAAGTTGATCTCCTAACTATTAGAAAAAAATACAAAACATAATACTGTTAGAAAGAAATACAATTATGGAGGTCAAAAATGTAGGCGTCAGAATGATAGATTACAATCAATTTTGATCTTATAAAGGACAAAATTTCGAATCATAGACATCATGTGAAGTCTATAGAAGGGGTAAATATTTCGTGGTTTGGATGACATGAATGGACAATCCAATCAGTAGACCGATAAAGCATATGCTTCTTTTAGAAATGAAAAGGATAAATATTTTTTGGGTAGATACTGCTAACGGATGTTTTGAGTTGAGACAAAACAACAGATCGAGGTTTTCTGGTTTTTAGTGTTTCTGCAGTCAATATCAATTTGTAGCGCAAAATCCGATTGAAAAGTCTACAAGAATCTTAATCAGGTCATTCCATTTTCTAAAAATTGAAATCTCACTAGTTATTTGCTTTCTGATGGATTTCCCTAAACAGTCACCTTTTCTTGTATGATTGAACAAGTCCTGAACTAGTTGTAACCCTTAAATTTCTTTGCTTGAGAACAATATTATAAAATAACTTGACTCAATTTAAAAATATAGATTACTGAAATTGACAGATAATCAAAATCGTTGAAATCAGGACTAGTTTAAAACTGATTGGCTTGAGAAGTTATTGTAAAGCAGGAATAATAAATATTGAAAGATGTGGTGAGTTTATTTTACTTAATATGCCATAAACCCTCCATATAAGCAGTAATATTCCTTATAAACAAATATTTTATAAAGTTATTTCAGTAATAAATCTGGAGAAATAATACAGGTTACTGGTGAAAATAACCTTAAACACTACTTAAAATCACACAATCCTAACTTATACGGAAACAAAATAAGTTGTCATTAGCAAAAATGAAAATTTAAAAGTTATTGTTACAAAGAGGTAAAAAAATACAAGAATTGATAGTATTTCAGTGATCTAAAGATGAAGCTTTCAAGTGCGAGACCGAATCGCCTGGGTTCAATCCTCAGATGCACGGTCGTGAAGGTACAGCTCTTAAGAGTTCCATACTAGGATGAAACGGCCGTCCATTTCTTCCAGGTATTCAATGGTAGTTTGAAATTAATTAGTTTATGATTTCAAAGAAACCTATTTTTCTTACAGACTTAATTAAAACACACCTATTCTTTTGAATAATAAATAAACATCATGGATTGATTGAAGTTAGACATTAACACCGTTGGATCCCGGCTCAGTGGACTATCGGTTAAGTGCTCTGGCGCGAGACTGGTAGCTCCTGGGTTCGAATCTCGCGAGCGCGGGATCGTGAATGCGCACTACTGATGAGTACGGCCGTCCAGTGCTTCTAGGTTTTGCATGGTGATCTAGCTTCAATTGACTCATGATTTCAACTATGAAAATATATAAAAGTAACAATAAAAATCTGAATTTTATCAAATCTCTTACACAATGACCAATTTCCATACTATTAGCAATTTCATGTCTCCAATAATCATTATAATAAATTCGTTTTAATTTTGTTATTGGACCAGCAGCAAATATTGATGAATCATTTGTATGAAAATTACTATCAATTACTAATCTTGAATCAAATACGATACATGAATCATTTAAAGCTAATTTTAATAAGGAAAAAAAAGAAAAAAAAAAGAAACAATTTTGAGAATAATTGTGATGGGATTTTGTGTTGTTGTTTATGTTTTTGAACAGGTACGTATTTAAGTATTCATGGAAGTATAAGTATAATAGAGAATTGAGAGGGCGAAAAGAGAATGTCCGGAGCTTTAACCGGGTTGGTGGACACAGTGAGTCCAACAGGGGGAGTTGCAATACCCTGATTCCAAATCAATGGTGAACATGGGCTACAGTATCCTGAGGGAAAAAAAGGTGTATAAATCAATCATTGGTCACTGGCTACCATGAGACTGCATTTTCTCACGATGCTCCACTGCCTTGTGGATCAGATTTTTAGGTCAAAGGCCCCGGGTGTGGTCCCTTAAGAAAATCACCTGATTCGGTTTGGGCACCTGGGCAGTATCACAACCCTCACACAAAGCAAATGAGATTTGTGTGGCGCATATATATCTGATACCTCTTTGTACTAATATTTATGTTTTTAAATAACTAAATAAATAATCAATATAAAAAGGGAATATTTAAATTTCATGGTTGATTTATCAATTTTGTTTTCTAATTTTCTAAAGTGACAAAATTAATTAATTTCATATAGTGTAAAATCAAAAATTAATACACTAATCATTATGGTTAAAAGGTATTTTAGTCTCTGGGTGACCTATGTTTTGATCTCACTGCTGAGGAGTCCCACGGTAGGATGAAACGGCCATCCAGTGCTTCCAGATTTTCTATGGTGGTCTAGCTTCAATTGACTCATGATTTCAACTAAATATGAAGATACAAGATTCTCAGAATTATAATAGAATGGCTTCTAGTGACATCATGTATACTTGAAACATAATAAGAGCTTGATGAAATTTATAGTTATATCATACAATGACATGACAGATTGATATAACGCCTTACGAAAACTGATAAAAAGTACAATGCTTACATGACTTTTCAATAAATTATAGTAATCTTATTAGTTATACTGTATATGTCTATATTCAATAAATTGTGATCTTTCATTCATATATATTTATGTACGCCTCATGTATATAGGTATTTGTATTTACAATGATAAATGCATTACTGTGCATTAATTGATATATAAATTTATTTAATGAGTTAGAGTATGACCCATTCCCAAGCTTGATGTATTCATTTTATTTTAAGATTGTCTGCACATACGAATGCATGAAATATCATCTCCCAGCAACAATTCATACACGACATTTAAATATTGCCGTTGTATAAATAAAGTAACCCAACGTATTAAATACGGCATTACTAGGATCTACAGTTCATTCATCATAGTCATCATTAGAAACAATGGATTCAAAAGTGACTAAAAGCTATTTATTCCAGGTTAATGTACACTTGTGCAACAGAAATCAAAGAAAATTTCCAAGATAACTCTTATAATTAACTAATATCAGCTGAAGTACCAATGAAAATTATGGAGTAATGGATGACCATTTTACCTAAGGAGGGAACTAAGCAGAATAAAACACACCCTAGATTTCATAATCGGATTAACTTCATAACGTAGTAGAACGGAATCTAAATGGTTCGAATTTCCCAAATTCACTCACTTAACTGTAACCGTAATCTTGCTTATATTCACTAATCATGAAGGCTGTCTTCAAACAACAACTAATTCGCACATTTTACATACTATCAAAATATATTTGCATACTTGTTCCTGTTTTCCTGTATATATAAAACGGTAAATAATTACTTACTTTACTTTTTACTTACGCCTGTTACCCCTCGTCGAGAAGCATAGGCCGCTCACCAGCATTCTCCATCCAACTCTGTTCTGAGCCTTCCTTTCCAGTTGCTATTCATCCTTTTCATATCTGCTTCTATTTCCCGGCGTAGTGTGTTCTTTGGCCTTCCTCTTTTCCGCTTCCCTTCCGGATTCCAAGTTAGGGATTGAGTCGTGATGCACATTGGTGATTTCCTTAATGTATGTCCGATCCACTTCCAACGTCTTTTCCTAATTTCCTCTTCAGCTGAAAGCTGGTTTGTCCTCTCCCATAAAACGCTATTGCTGATAGTATCCGGCCAATAGATGTTGAGTATTTTGCGTAGACAACTCTTGATAAATGCTTATACCTTCCTGATGATGGTGGTAGTAGTTCTCCACGTTTCAGCTCCATACAGTAAGACTGTCTTGACGTTCGTATTAAAGATTCTGACCTTGAAATTGGTTGAGAGTTGTTTTGAGTTCCGTATGTTCTTCAATTGTAAAAATACTGCCCTTGCTTTGCCAATCCTCGCCTTTACATCTGCATCCGATCCTCCTTGTTTATCAACGATGCTCCCAAGGTAGGTGAATGTTTCCACCTCTTCCAGAGTTTTGCTATAAAGTGTAATTGGATTGGTGTTCTCCTTGTTGCATTTGAGAATCTTGCTTTTTCCTTTGTGAATGTGAAAGCCTATCGATGCAGAGGCTGCTGCTACATTTGCTGTCTTCATCTGCATTTGTCCGTGTGTATGAGAGAGGAGGGCTAGGTCATCTGCGAAGTCCAAATCATCTAATTGATTCTGAGCTGTCCATTGTATTCCGTATTTCCCTTCAGATGTCGAATTCTTCATAATCCAGTCAATCACTAGAAGGAAGAGGAATGGGGAGAGTAGACAGCCTTGTCTGACTCCGGTCCTTACTGGAAATGCATCTGTCAGCTGTCCTCCATGGTAAATAATTAGCCAATTAATAATTCTGATGCGTACAATCAATTTTGATAAATTCTACGTAGCCATTTAATAAGTAAGCAAACACCATGCAGTGCCGCGATTCGTTAATCGTTTACTTCGATAACCGTTATGATTCTAATCTTAACGGCGCGTAAAATCAGAAGACAGAGTATAGCAGCAACTACAGTTTATTGTCGAATAACTGAGGTCAGAAAGTTAGCAACACCTGAGCGAATAATAACGAGCGAGTGAACAGGCGAATAAGCGAAGGAAGCGAACGAGGCGGAAATGACATGCATGGGAGATGGCTGGGAAGCCAACTCGATTTAAGCAAGCGTTAATCAACATTTATAGTCGGACAAAAAATGAGTGACAGACATATGATGAATAAGATACGAAGTGTACACATATATGCTCATATAAAAGTATAGTCAAGGTTAATAAGCAAATGATTAACAAGATCAAAATATGACTCATAATGGATAGGCGAATTGGCTTGGCCAGCAACTAGAATAAAGTATATGGGCTTAACATATAAACTAATACTACAACCATCAAAATTTCTAAAAAATGATGAACAGGGTAAGAAGTATTACCTTTGAATACATCCACGTCTACCGTCTTCACATGAAAATAGAATAGTCCCTTTTAAGTGAAAAGTGAAAAGAATTAAAAAGTTGAAAAAATGTTTGTTATAATTATTGATTACTCTTGGTTCATTTAAGGACAAAATAGAAAAAAAGTGTTTACAGAATAGAAAAAAGGTCAACCATTATTTCAGTGAAGAAAGTACATCTGTATTCTTCATTGAATGTTATTTTGAGTACTAAAACTGCTCATTTTCCATGATTAATAGACAGTTAACATCTTTGGATACCGGCTCAGTGGTCTATCGGTTAAGTACTCTGGCACGAGACAGGTAAGCCCTGGATTGGAATCTCGCAATGCGAGGTCGTGAATACGCGCTGCTGAGGAGTCCCACAATAAGACGAAACGGCCGTCCAGTGCTTCCAGGTTTCCCATGGTGGTCTAGCTTCAATTGACTCATGATTTCAAGTATGAAAAAGACAGTTTATTCCCATTATCCCACATAGAATTGAATTCATGACACCTAATAAACATGTGAAGCACTACAATAACAGATCACTGAGAAAGTATGTAGTGGTTCGTATTGATGATCAGGGATTATTTTATGTATGATTCGCTTGATGAATTGAAATCTTTAGCGTAGACAAAATATCTGTCAAATACTGAATTATTTTCAATGATTCAGTAATCTATATCAGTTCTTGACAAATGTTTTTCTTTCAAAATTTAAATACTCCTTTGCATAATCATCACACTGAATAGGTTTATTTAGCTCTAGAATTTCTGTGACCGTTTAGGGCGTAAATATACATTCATAATCACGTATATGTATGACTATAACATGCATTGGATTCAATCTAATCAAAATGTATATAGAATTTTTTATACAAAGAATAAACAGTCGATGAGAAAGATAAAACAATAATGATTGTTATTCGAATCACTTTCAATATTGGTCCAAAAAACAATTCAAAACAAAGCCTATTAACAGTAATGAGAAAAAAATTAAAAGATTATTTATTAGTGTCAGGATGAAGCCACCTGTAGATCCCCCGGGGGTTACTGTCGGTCTCAAGCCCATGTAAAGGAGGAGGGTTGGGCATGGCTTTAGCGACCCCATCCCGTAGAAAACCAATTCGCTAAAAAAGGCTAACCAGAAGCCGATTTACTTACATCAATTTAATTATTGGTTAGTGTACGTTAGCAGCATTGCCTAGTTCAATATATTCGACTCTCTGTTGACTATATATACATATATATATTTAATCCGTTGCAATTTCAGTCTAATAACAGTGAATAATTTAATTAATTTAATATACTTTTTCATGTATATGAACACCTTTAATTCTATTACCAAACTGATAAGGTACAAGCTATCGTAATACATTACCACGTTATTTATTCTCAATAAATTTAAAGAATGATAAGAAGATAAACATTGTTGACTTACTATACATGGTATAGTTAAAAACTTTCCATCTGAATTAAATGTAACTGTTTCAATGTCAGATGAACTGGATTCCATGTTACCATTACACCAATGGTCTAATATAAAATCGTATCCAATACGAATTTTCAGTTTGTTCATATGCTTGTGTATTTGTCGTTGAATAACAGAGCTATTGAAAGCTGGTGGCTTATTAGCATGAATTTTGAATAAATAAACATAGTAAAATAAATGATGGAGTGTATATGAAGAATAGAACAAAACTCAATGTTAAAAATATAACATTTAATGCATAAATTACTGAAACCAGGCATTTAAGTAGTATCGAGAAGCAATATTATCCCAATATGATAGCACCACTCAGTCAGTGGGTATTGTTTATAACCTCGGCTGTTTTTATATGAGTGTATGTGTGTTTATGTGTTTATCACTTACTTTTTAGCTTGTTTTTCTATGCAACCATAGATAATGAGTCACGCCTTATCAAAATAAGTAGGCACTTTCACCTTTGTTTCTCATCCCTCATTATCAGTCTGTATAAAAGTATGTTTGAAATAAATTCATTCAACTTAATTCGTATTTAGCTTTTAATAACCATCATCTCCAAAAGGAGTTAGCCTAAGAAGCTTGAATGAAATCAAACGGAAAATTTCTGCTCATGGCTCATTCATCGTTCGTTCATGATGGTGTCAGGTTAGAGGTCCAGAATGTTAGTGATAATTTTTTTCAAACTAAATATTTGCAAAAAAGCATATACGTTTTATTCAAGTTGAGTTATTGTGATTGATTGTTCTTATTGGGTAGTAAACCTTTCACGCATTTTAAGTATTATGATACATTAAAGTAAAAAAAATCAGTAGCACAAAAATATTTGATGGATAGGTTACTAAATAACATGGAAGAAACTAGCTGAAATCTCTCATTATAACCGATTTTACTAAGATACTAATAATAGAGGGTAATAAAGACAAGTCTTTCTTCGTTATTTAATATATACGTTAGTTTTTATTATGTTTAATCACATGTCTTGAATCTTCTACCTCTTGTTATAACTTTCTGCCTCGTTTAGAACAACCATATCAACTAAATTGATTTAAGTTTATCAAACTTTGCTTCAAATAATTCTCTTCCTTTTGGGCTTGGATTGTTTTCAGCTGATGAAAAGCCCTGAGACAAAATGAGCTCATTTATTTATGTAAGTCTTTATGATTTTATCCCTTAAGAATAATCTGATGAAAACTGCCTATCGTAGAAATAGTCTCATAAAGCTCATAAGAATAAAGCCTGTTTGAATGGTTTCAAAATCGATAGCTAGAAAGTGTCTTCGTGGCCATGAAGTTCGATGGAAATGTATCAACAGAAATAAAGAATATGCAATCATTTGGTTATTTGAATGAAAACATCTTGTTCCGAGTGTAAGTATATATATGTATATACATAGCAGGATGAAAGATGCACACTGTTAGAGAGTCTCATAATAACACAGAAAAGCCATCCATTAGTAGATTTCACTTGCTAATAAATAATGAAACAAATATGTATTATTTTGATAGAGTAATAAAAAAACGGAGTTGATGTAATGTATTAGTACGATACATTTGGAAAAAATCTGGTCATATATATACTTGTCAAAGCATTTATATATTAAAATTAATGAAGGCTTCAAATCAGTTAGTGTCATTTACTCCTAATAGGGCGGAAATAACAGAACCATGTTTATCGATGGCAAAGCACACAGATGAACTGAGTCATAGAACTGACGAAAAAACAGCTTTAAAAAGGTGTATAGAAATTGTGAAGAACAAATTCTCAGGTTTATGGAAGCCTCAGGCGTCCTTAAATTCAAGCCCTTCTTATGTGTACAGAAACAATTTGTCATAAACTTGAATTTGCCCAGGTAATCTGTAAGTCATTGAGTGTCCCAGAGTAATCCGACTATTTCTTATTTATTCCATACTGTGTTAATTTCCCCTCTTCTATGTATACAATTATCACTTTGATTACTTAAACTTTCATTGATTTGACCATTACCAATTTTAAAATAAAGTGCCTTGACAAGTATATATGTGGTCAGATTGTTCGAAATGTATAGAGCAAATACATCCAAATTTTAGATCAACTTCGTCTTCACATTGTTCTGTCAAAATTTATAAACGGAACTAATTGCTTTAAATAATAATTACATCAGAACTCTTACATAATGTTTCATTTCCGGTGGTTGTATCATAATAATACGATTTCCATCTATACCAGCATTTAATAAACCTGTGATACATGTATATGCATCAATTGTATAACCATAAACAATAAATAATTTATTAACGGTCTTTTCATTATCTAACGCATTTTGGTCGCTAAATGTTTTGTGTAATAACTGATTTGATTGAGATTTTAATTGCTCTTCAGTCTCATTATGTTCATATTGTCCTTGCTTTTTATTTGAATTTTGTTGGCTTATTTGTTTTTCTTCATTGATTTTATCATTTTCACTGTTCAATTGTCTTTCAACATTGAACCTTTCAACTTCGAATGAAAGTGTTCTATTTTCTGAAGTAATCGGCTGTACTTCATCAAATAAAGGTAAATAAATATCGTTGATCCGATTTATTATTGGTAAGACATCATTTATATCATTGATCACGAACAAGTTACTTGGTCGGGATAATTTTGATGGCAAAACTAGATTAATAAATAAGTAAAAAACCGTCAGTATACGATTGTGGAGATTTTCAAATTTACTTATTGAAATCATCGACCTATCTTTGTTAGGAAACAATTGAAAACTCAAAAGCACTGTATGGCCGTTTTGTTCTATTATGAGATTCTCAGTAGTGCTCATTCACGACCCGGCAACTGTGCGTCAAACCCAGGGAGTTTAGGTTAAAGCACGAACACTTAATCTTCATACTATTGAGCTCGAATCAAATGGTGTACACTTCCAACATCAATCGATCCATATGATCGTCCCCAACTACCTTCACTGGATACCTTCCTCAAACCCAAATGGGTTTAGCTACACTGATCATAGATTCTCATTAGAGGTTTGGAAATTCCCTCCCACAGTTAGTCACTTGAGCATATGACAGCTGTCCTTATGAGGTTGGGGGGATATCGAAGGTTCTGGGTTCTGTTCCCGACTTCAGGATTAGGGATGCGCACTGTTGGAAGTTCTCGTTTTCAGACGAAACAGGAGCCCAGTACTTTTATGTTTTCAGTGATTGTCGAAATTAGGTTGTTTCATGATTTCAATAAAAGAAATGGTTATAAATATATAGAAGGCATATGTGATGTGATATGAAATTCAGAATATTTGATCATCATTTGACCCAACTTGATAAAGTTTGTTGAAGATTACATGCATTAAGACAGTAGTATATATTTAAGATTTAGCTTCGATTAGTTGATATAAGTACCAGTTTATCCTAAAAGTACGAAAAAATTGAAAATCAGATGGGTTCTTCTGTCAATGACGGATGTAATAAACAATATAAATACATGAGTTAAATAACGTATAATTCACTTAGCAATAATCGCAGAGGAAAACTGTCAATAATGTAATTAACTTTACTAAAGATCCTTACATCAAGAAGACCAAGATAAGAATGGTTGAAAAAACCCGAATCATGATCATTACAGAATGACTTATAAGTCGTCATGTCGCAATATCCTTATTAAGTATACTTACATAAATATTCAGTAATTATTTTAACTTATATGGGATAAAAGTTTATTATCAACAACTACTTAGGATTAACAGGGTTTCCAATTGCAACTAGTGAAGGTTTTATATGGTGGTTTAGCTTAAATTGACTCATGAATTCAACTATTAAGGAAAGTTTATTAGTTACTAAATCACAAAAACAGACTGGACTAAGAAAATTGATAAATCTTTATGTAGTTCGGTCATCTATTAACTTAAAATCAATTGCATTATTCTTCAAAGAGATGATATTAGGTGAAGTAAAAAAAGTTTCCTAGTTGGAAACAATGATGATGATTGGCTGTTTCGCTATTCTTCCTCTCTTTTTCTTCCTTAGTTCAATTCAATTATTTACTTAAAAACTGTCAAAATATTTCACAACTCTAAAAATGTTATCAATTGTGAATTATGCTTTCATTATGAACAAACCTCATAATAATCAAAAGTAATAATGATAATTTTAAAGATTTAAATCTTACTTGCGAATCGATGGCTCATATTACCGATAGTATTATTAGTACCATAACGACTAAAATTGACATTGTTATAACTGTTGTTATCTTCATCATGTTTATAATAAAAATTCATTGATATAAGGTTATTGATAGTTTCATCTTTGGTAAGATTTTCTAGCTTAGAGATTGGACAACTTACATGATATTGTAATCCAGTTGTTATAATCAAATAATCATATGATAATTTTTGTTCAGAAGATATTGTTATCCTTTTAAATTTCCTAATTCATAAAATAGAATTGTGAAATATAACAAAATAAAACCAAATCAAAATGTTTAATCAGAGAAGTATGTTTAATATATATATCCGAGTCGACTGTACTATTCATATAGTCTGTCGTAAATAACATAACAGTTCAAATCGGAACATGTAACATGAGAACAGAAAGAATATAATCAGTATGAAATAAAAGTTGTGAAAACAATAATACGAATGGAAGTAATACATGAAAATGGTTTATCATGGCTATCTGGACTCAGTAAGTGGATAAAGCGATGGCGTTTGAAGCGAACTGTATTGAGTTCAAGTTACAGAGTGACTTGTCACAGCGATCTTCTCATTGAGTTTTCACAGTGAGTATCAACTCTGGGGTGCAGTTACATCAAGTTGACGAGTCCTAAACATGACAATATGATTGTCTAGGATTCTACTACTGGCTACTTTTGTTTAAAATGGTTATGACTTAATTATAACATTGGGGCAATCTGTACAAGATGCGTATATATCAAAAGAGATTCATTAATTGCATTCCTAAACACAAGAGGAAGATTCAAATAATCATTATATATGAATGGTTTATGGTAAGATGGTTACGTTTTGGATAGAAAGAACAATATTTCTTTTTTATTTCATGGTAAGTAATATTATCTAAAAACATTGACCACACACTATGAAGAAATGGTAATTGATTTTAAAATGTTTCCCTATAATATTAGTAATTTAGTTTGATTTTGCTTGATCAAAGTGTGACAGTAAATAAATCTACTTATCATTGAATATATGTTGAAAATTAACAAGATAATGTTAGCTTTTCAGTTATTCTGAATTAGACGAAATCGAACTTGCTATGTATTTGCGTCAGTTCAAGTCTCACACATTATAACATTACAGATGGATGCAGTTATCAAGAACGATACAAAAGTAGCTGAAATAGTAACAGCAGTAGTATTATCAGTGATAGCAAAGAAAGTGCTATGGAAAAAAGGAATAAATTTGCAGAATTTACGGTATAAAACAGTCTTTAAACTCAGGTTCTAAGGGAAGACAGAGATTGAATGTATCTATGCAAGAGTTATAGATTCTGATCCAATTCAACCAACGACTAGAACTACTGTTTTCTCGATAACTGAGCAGAATTCAACCGAAAAGTATGTATAAACCACTGTTACACCGAGCAACAGTCAATGACTTTGTCGACTGGTGCCAACCCTAGTTTTACCAAACGTAGCTATATTTCAACCTGTTACTGTTAATGTTACTCATAGAGTTTGGGGTTGTGGAGGACACGTAATATTTGTCCCAATCTCTTCAGTCGATGAAAATTTACATCCTCTTCCAGTAAATAGTCTAACAGAAATCACATTATTCTAAAAATATTCAGCTTATTAACAAGTAGAATCCTTCGTACTCATTTTTCTAAAATGAAACAGTTGGCTGGTAAGTTTATCTTAACGCATCAGGTAATCACACTCATAATTTGATAACAGAATATCACAAGAAATCTACTGAGCAACTGATTCCAGAAGATGTAATAGAAAGATAAGATTGTTATTACTATACTAAATACGATTTAAGCACTAAAGTATGATTTGTCAGTTAATGATTAGTCAATTGAGAATGAAAGTAGATGTTAATATTTAACCAAACATATTGAAGTTTTAATCACCAATTCGTTTTTATTTTGAAATAATATGGGATATTTAAAGGCCAAAGTAACATTCTTAGAAATCACTAAATATCTTGTGACTCTGGATATCCTGTCTATTCTGCATTTGTGATACTGTAGTATCGGTTGTTATGTTAAACCCATATACTTTATTCTAGCTTCTGGCCAAGCTAATTCACTTATACATTATGAGTCATATTTTGATCTTGTTAATTATTCGCTTATTAACCGTGACTACATTTTATATGAGCGTATATGTGTGCACATTTCGTATCTTATTCATTATATGTCTGTCTGATTATAAATATTGAGTAATGCTTGCTCATAGCGAGTTGGCTTCCCAGTCATCTCCACTATGCATCATCTTTGCTTTGCTCGCTTACACTTGTTCATGTGCTCACAGCTTTCTGGTCTGCATCATTCATCAATAAACAGTGTAGTTCCGCTTCCTTTTGCCTTCTGGTTTTATACACCGTTAATATTGGTATAATAACGGTTATCGAAGTGAACTATTATTGAAGCACGTCACTACAATACTTCTGATTATCGAAGAACTGATATTTATGATACACAATCCTCTTTTTCTTTATTCAATGTAAATATGCCTAATAATTTGAAACATGATAACAAGATCGGTTTTAGTGACCTATCTTTGTAGTATTTGCTCAACTGACTTGATAATATGATCCTGTTCTTAAATGGCATCTTCATGCTTGAAGATAATAATATTTTTGCTGTAGCAGCAGCTAAAACTCCAAGGTTCAAACTAACAGCTTGATGTGATATCTGTGAATCCTGGTGTATGGATGAGTTACTATGATTAATGTTAACTCTTTTTATGATTGAAATAGGCAGAATATTAAGTTATTTTATTCGTCACACTGGTCTGGTCATTATGCATCAGGAAATTTACTAAAATTCAAATGAAAAATTATTTTATTTGTACCATTATGTTAGAATCAGATCAATTACAATTCGTTGATTAATTGAAGTCATGTTTCACACCTATTTGTTCTACTTGTTACCCATTGAATTTGTTCGTCAATGAGCGATGTCTTTTTCCCTCATTTATAATTGGAACACGTTGTTTAGATAGTCAAACTACTACTTTATAGACTTTTATATATTTAGAAGTTTCCACTTCTTTCGTTCATATCTTTAAGTTGGTTCAGACGATTGAAATGACTAAGATATATCATGAAGTTAACTTTCTGGAGGCATAAATTTGTATAAATTATCGTTAGTTGCAAATGATTTGATCCAAATTTGATTCGACTATTTAGTGTAAAAATCCGAAAACTAAAATTCCGTTGAAAAAGTCTAAACTACTTGATTCAATTAAGTATATATAGATATTTTTATCATTTAAGAAAATCTTTTACCTGTCGATGGCAGTAAGTTTACCGTGTATAACATTCACACAAACTTTGAATCCGAGTTGACTCAAATAATCAACAGGATAAGCATAACTAAATTGTGGAGGAAAGGAAAATAAAAATCGATCTATCTGAAATTTTGCTAAACAATAAGGAATTTTCAACAACAAAAAATAATGAAGTTGGTTAAAAATTTAAACTATTGAATGCACAATTTTATGTGTAAAATTCAGAAATACAATAGTTCACTAGTTTCCGTGTACATAAAGTTTAGAGATTTATTCTTATTATATCGCGACGAGAATTATGAATGGTAACTTTTGAGAACTATTAATCGACCAATACTGAACATATTTTTTTAGTGTATAATTGTTAAGTAACTAAACTATGCATATCCATGTTCCTCTTATTATAAGCTTTATTTTGGTTTATAGATCATTATTATACGATTTACCATTCTTGAGTTATGCTTTATTTATCGATTACAATCTCCCATATCCACATCTACTTTTGGCTAAATCTTGTACGAATGTTATTTTCTATTTACGGTATGATGTGGTCTGTTTGATTTGTATATAAACCCAGTATGTCTGAAATACATGATTCATATCGCAGAGGATGTTGTTGCTGTTCTGGACTTAACAGTCAGGGATAAGCAGGATGAAGGACCGAAAAAAACTCTGGACTGCTCGTGCGAGTTTATGCGTCATTGATTCAGTCAATAAGCCACTGTTCTCTAATTCTTGTTATTATTACGTCATATATTGTTAAGGGCATCAGGTCACAAGATATAACAATTCCAATAAGTATTAATAGTGAAAATATACAACATTTCCTAAGAATTTTATTGTTAATGATAAATAAATATTTTTTTTTATAATACTCTAAAGAATAGAAATAATAAATTATTACGTAATTTAGTTAAAGTTTCTATCTTCAGAGTAAATATGGTTAGCAGAGATGGATAGTGGCTAGCAGTGGAATCCAGGACGCGCGTTTCGTCCTATTTGGGACTCGTCAGCTGGATGTACCTGCATCTCAGAGTTGATGTTCACTGTGGGACTCGAACCCAGTAACTTTCGCTTCAAACGCCATCGCGTTATCTACTCGACCACTGAGTCGTGATAGTCACTTGCTTGTGCAATGGAGTGAAGTTGAAATTTACTTGTATTGTTTGTTTGGATCTTCCTACTATCCATCTTTGCTTACCATGCCTGTGAATTTAGGCTATATCGAGGCAATGCGCAAAGCATGCACATATGCCAATTAGATACTAACCAGCTGCAGTCCTAAAAATATCAATGAGAAGATCCAAACAAACAATACTAAGTTGAATTTAAACTTCACCCCATCGCACAAGCAAGTGGCTATCAGGACTCAGTGGCCGAGTGGATAACGCGATGGCGTTTGAAGCGAAAGTTACTGGGTTCGAGTCCCACAGTGAACATCAACTCTGAGATGCAGGTACATCCAGCTGACGAGTCCCAAATAGGACGAAACGCGCGTCCTGGATTCCACTGCTAGCCACTATCCATCTTTGCTAACCATGCTTGTGAATTAAGGTATATCTAGGCAATACGCACAGTATGCACATATGCCAATTAGAGACTGACCAGTTGCAGTCCTAACAAATCGATGGGAAGATTCAAACAAACAATACTAAGTTGAATTCAGAGTAAATATATTTTATTTATGTATTACGATAAAGTCATCGGTTGTATGAGGATTTTTAACTCAAAAGCAATTATCTCACAAATGTCTGGTTCTTCAAATGCAGTAGGGCATATATGTATATTCACAAATGCACGTAGGAATCAAGTTATTTTGAGAATATATACATTTTAAAAATAAAAATGTAAATTGAATTAAGCCTATTATTAATTACTGAATGAATAAAGTTTTTTAGAATTTAATACTTCAAAAGTATTTGTAGAAGATTAGTTCGTTTTATTTCATATAGACTTTTATTTAGGGTATTATAGAAATTTCATACTGCTCATATAAGATTTCATTTTCAGGATTTTATTTTACAGATGTAAATAAATGACACATTTAGACGAATTTTGTACATCCGATACAATAAAACTGACTTTATATGGATTATCGCTGACTATTAGGCGTTCCGCGTCGATTAGCCTAGACGTAGACTGGAGAAAAATGAATGATTTCCAGACAGGTAATAAACTGTTCATGGTTGTAGATACGGTGTGGTATCAGTTTATTTGTTAAGCCCATATACTTTAATTCTAGCTTCTGTCCAAGCCAATTCGCCTGTCCATAAGGAGTCATGTTTACACCTTGTTATTTATTCACTTATTAACTCGGACCATTTTTTATATGAGCGTACGTGTGTGCACACTTCTTATCCTACATATTGCATGTCCGTCATTTATTCTTGTTTGGCCATAAATATTAATTAACTCTCGCTTAAAATGGGTTGGCTTCCCAGCCATCTCCGATACGCATTATTTTCGCTTCGCTTTCGAGTTGGCTTACCAGTCATCTCCAATACGTGTCATGTATGCTTCGCTCGCTAACATTTGCTCATGTACTCACAGCTTTCTGACCTACGTTATTTGTAAATAAAAATGTAGTTGCCGCTTCTCTTTGCCTTCTGATATTATGCACCGTTAAGATTTGCATTATAACGGTCATCGAGGTGAACTATTAACGAAGCACGTTACCACATACTTGGCGATCCCGACTTACGAACGCATAGCAAAAAAATGGTAACTTCAACGCACAAACTCACAACAACGGTGCATTAGGGATATGTATTAGTACTTATCATTTGTTGGGAAGTCTATTTTGTAATAACTAGAACTTCGAAATATTACACATTGGTGCATTTTGAAGTTACTTTGAAATCTTATAACTGAAGTGTTTTCTAAAGTTTATGAGCATACAAATTTGTTTACCAACTACTTTTTTCCTTAACTGGCTAGTAACTTTCAATAGGTCAAATAGTAATTCGCAATCTTTGATAAAGATAAATTGCATTTTCTGATGGCTAGAATCTTTATCAGAAATCATGATTTTACTACTGAAAAAAAGATTATTACGGAGACTACTTTATTTGAAAATAATTTGCTTTATGATCGGATTCTGACTAGACTGTACAGCATTGGTCAACCACTAACGAAATAGCGAACGAACCTGTGACTCTTCGGAATTGTGACTACAATGTCATATTTAGGCCAGTGATTTGGAGCCAAATAGTGTACATTGAGGAATTTAATTCATTCTCAATATTGCGTTACCATCATCCTGCCTCTACACTGATACCTGTTTCATTCCCGAAATGGTTTAGCTTTATCAGTCAAGTTGAGACCTTGGTGATCGTAACAATATTTTTGGATTGGATAGGTGTAAAACTGTGAGGAGTCTTAAACTAATAACGAACAGCTGTTTATGAATGTTTATCATCAATGTTTGTCTTTGTGAAGACAGTCTATGATATTAAGCATCTTTAATTACTTACACCTGTTATCCCTCGTCGAGGAGCACGGGCCATCCATCAACACTCTCCATCCAACTTTGTCCTGAGCCTCCCTTTCAAGACACTATTCACTATTTTAATGTCTGCTTCCGATTCCCAACACAATGTGTTCTTTGTTCTTCCTCTTTTCCATTTTCCTTCAGGATTCCAATTAATCGCCTAACTTCGTAATGCACTTTGGTGATTTCTTCGGTGTATGTCCTATCCACCTCCATCGTCACTTCTTAGTTTCCTCTCCAGATGGAAGCTGATTTTTCCTCTCACACAGTAGACTGTCGCTGATGGTATCCAGTAAGCGGATATTCAGTATTTGTTTGTATATACTTGTTTATTTTAGATTATGTTTGTGGTAATTCACGAAGTTTCAGCTGCGTATAATATAACTGTCTTAACGTTTATTAAATCCGAACGAAGAATAAATGCATGGTAACTGCTAGGAATTATTTATAGACTATTATTTCATATATTCTTATCATTATTTAGTTACTGGATTATATATTTATATTTCTTTTACCATAAGCTTTCATTTGACCTACTGGTTAATATTATAAGTTTTATTATTCTTAATTTATTCCCTATCTATTAGTCACAGTCTCTCATACTCACAGTCATTTCTCGGCTTCATCTTGTATAATTATTATTTTTCATTTTGTGATGTGATGTGTTCTGATCTACTTGTACATAAATCGAGTATGTCTGAAATATACGATCCATAAATTGGAGGTTAATATTTATGTTCTTGACTGAACCGGGCTAGGTTGGGCGAGAAGCTACTGTAAAGAAGACCAGAAAGGGCTCAGATTTGATTCAAGGTTGGTCGTACTGGTTGATACATGATTGGCTTAGCACACTTACAGGGTCATATAAGTCGATGTTCTGACTGGCGGTTTTGTCACGTGATATTTGACGGGCCATAGGACATAACAACGTTTTTATTGAAGATTCTGGCTTTGGTGTTGGCTGGCAGTTGTTTTCATTTCCACATGTTCTTCAACTATAGGAATGCAGTCCTTTATTTGTCAATCCCTGTCTTTAAATCGACATCAGATCCTCCTTGTTCATCTATGATGCTGCCCAGGTACGTAAAAGTCTCGACCTCTTGAAGTGCTTCGCCATTTTTGAAATGTATTAATCTGTATTCTTAAGACATTTCATCTTCCATAAGGGAATAAATCGGAAAAATATGCATTCGTAACATTCCATGTACTGCTTCAGCAGGATACTAGACATCGGTCCTGAGCTGTTTTACTTTGTCTAAATTTTCTACTGTACACATTTTCTATCAACACAGTAGATGTAGAATGCTAAAAGTTCTGAGTAATATTTACCTAAAGTTATCCTCGGGAGGTGAGCTAATCTTACAATTGGTTGTCTAGTAACATTCTTTTCGTATACAGATTTTTTAGTATTCAGGAAATCATTGTCCGGTCGGATTTATAGACTTTAAAAGTGGTATTAGACAAAGAAATCTTGTTAAACTTAAATGACAGATTTGATGATTTTCATTACCCTCATTGTATATTCAGATATGTAGAGTAAATTATACTAAACAGAAGGCTTAAATACCCATGTTTCAGTATTATTCCAGTTTTATCTTGTTGCATAAGATAAAGTATTCATAGATCTATTTGATAACTATATAATTATTCGGAGAATTTGTACTACTGATCATACTCTGAGTAACATGAATTTATTTACTAAAAAAACGCTCATGATTTTTTCAGAAACTTTACTAGGAAGCAGTTATGTGAATAAAATATTTACGCTTACTCTGTTGATAGAAACTTGTAGGCGAGAGGATTTATTCTTTCCAAAGTATCTCCAGGTAAACCATTCGGAGACAATAATACAAGATTAGTAAATCGAACATATGGACTGAAATTAAAAATCGAAAATCGAATTTTGAATGCGAATACTTTGTTAAAGAAAAAAATATACAAGAAATCAAACCACATGATCATCAAAAATAAACTTAATAAACGAAATTGTCGTCAGATATCTGATCAAAATTCTACAGGATTCCTTTGTTTAAGGAAGTGTAAGAAGGCGTTTTACTTCTAGAAAAACGTTTTGAGAATGGATACATTCACGCTGCTAAAAAATGAATTTTGTAACGTTACTGATACCTGAGATCGTTTAGTTTAGACTCAGATTCACTAGTGTCTTTTATACAAATCAAAAAAGCACATAATTGAGAATAAATAGGAAGTTATAATTGTTAACGGAATGAAAGCGTACGCAACTATTTCATATGATATATCTATTCTTCAGATATGTAAGCCGAAATATGAACAAAGTACGTTAATAATTTAATTCAGTTGCCTGCTATTTTCATCAATCTTCCCAACTCTTTGAAAATATTTTCCAGTTGATAACTCCGCCTGTAACTCTTCTAGAGTTACTGCCGGTCCCAAGACCGGGTGAAGGAGGAGGGTCGGGCATGATATAAGCGACCCCATCCCGTTGAAAAACTAACTCTCTAAAAAACGCTAACCAGAAAGAAGCCGTAGTCAATGGAACTGATCAGTATCAGCTAGAGACAGGTATCTTCTTCAGACAACGAAAGATGGTCGGCCAATTTAGTGGATTGATTGAGTTTAGACATAAACACTGTTGGATGCCGGCTCGGAGGTCTAGAGGTTAAGCGTTCGTTCTCGAGACCGAAGATCCTGAGTTCGATATCCCGCTAGCTGGATCTTGGATGCCCATGGCTGGGGATTTCCATAATAGGACGAAACGACCGTTCAGTGCTTCCAGGTTTACAATGGTGGCCTAACATCATTCGATTCATGATCTTAATCGAAAAATATTTTTGTCATAAGTGCTTGAAACAGATACGTTCATCTTAGTCCTCACATACTAAGGTGGTTTTTCTTCCTAATCGAATAAAACGTACTTATACTATTTATGGTTAAGTGATATCGACTACTGTAAAATGTTGATTCATGTAGTGTCTTAGGTAGGAAGAATAATTTCGGTTGGTATCAACTAAGTACGGTGATTACTAACATTCGTTTTCCATGTAAATATCTATCACATGATCTGGAAAAATTAGACAGTATGAAATGAAATTGTATTTTGGATAAGTTACGAAAGTTTGATATCGGTTACCGTTTTCCTTATATCTGATTCTTTTACGTTCAGTAGCAAATAATTTATTACCTTACTCTCATTTTATTTTCTTGTACTAAAGTTTTGTTTTTTTTTCTACCCGAAGTTTGTGCTGATGATGTCTTTGAGAAGGACGATGAAAGCTCCATGACCAAACCATCCAGCTCAGAGAACAAACCTACATCAAAATCACCCACCTGAGCTACAAATCTTCTCCACCAACTTAAGTTATGTATGTAACAGTTCTGATAAACGATTTTTTTTTTAAACTTTGGAAAAGTGATTTAATATTTTAAAAACTTAAAACAAAATAAGGTAATTTATCATGGGTTATTTGATTTCAGTCATAATTAGACAGGTTATTATCATCATTATTGTAATTCAGCGTAGACATTAAAAATACTCACAATACACACATGACGAAAATTTTTGTATGCATGATACGTTCGTAACCTAGTTTTGTTAAGCTACTATAAGTATCGAACAATTTATGGTTGTGGTTACTTACTGATAAGAATATATATTGTAATGAAATGAAGTAAAATACAAGAAAGTATGATTGATAGACTGAGTTTACCTAGTGACATCTTAAACCTCTAACCAATATAATAAGGGACAAGACGGAAATATTGCTACAAAAAACAGACTTGAGAAAATAAAGGACAATAAACGTATTTTAGTGAGGTCTGTTTTTTGGTATGCCATACACAAATTTTAATAATTGATTCTTACTTGCTTTTGAAAGTTGTGGTTAATAAATTTACTTCACGCCGTCTATTTTGACTACGCTTAAACACTATTCATATTTCTGTTGGTTATGTTCATATATATGATAACTGTATTACAGTCATACGTTAATTGGTAGACACAAAATTATGAAAGTTATCATCTTTTTTAAATAAAATTCTTTACTTTACTTAAATGTTCTTAATAAGGTATCTCATGTTGGAAAATACAATATCAGATTAGGGGTTTCAGTCAATCCATGGATAATATACTAACTCGCTACTGCACACTAACAACAGATTAGAGTTCCTATTTATAAAGGTGGATATGAAACGAACTGACCATATTTTATTTACCTTATGTATCAGACGTTTTAGTTTTGAATATTTGCGATGTTATAACATTCATAATTATGCTTCATTTTTAAGAAGTTCGAAGAAATAAGCTAGTTTTTAGATGACAACGAGATGAGTAATAAATTGTCAGTTTATAGGCTTTATCTACATATATTATGAAGCATAAGTGCTATTGTTAAAGCTATGTGACTAAACATTACAACAACAACGACATCCAAAACTACAGTATTATCGTCTTTTAAACAAAACTAGAACGATCAAATCTATCTTAGAGACAGATTTGTGAAATAAAAAAATTCCATTCAATTGTTTTTGTAAGTTACATTGATTGTGGTGTATAGACGCTATCTAACACAAAGAACACAATGTCCCTAGAATTTCTACCTTATTTTACATATCATATTATAACATGTTGTATTAAACTTAGGATTATCAGAATGGTGATTTGTGGAAATTTTAGTCATTTCAAAATTTGAATTTTATGAGTCAATCTTAGCTAGAGCACCATTGAAAGCATGAAAGCACTGGAAAGCCATTAAGTCCTAGTATGGACGCCTCACTAGTGCGCACCCATGATCTTCGGTCTCATGCACAAACGCTTAATCTTTAGACCACTGAGCTGGCATCCAACGATATGAACGTCTAAGTTTAATTGATCCATGATCTTGCACAACACTTCATCCATTGTCTAAGGTGGATAACTGTCTCCATCCGACACGGATTGGACCTCAGTGGTTACAGTTTCTCACTAGAACTTCAGGAAATCCATCTTGAAGCTAGTCATTAGTTGAAATTGTTTATTAAACAGATAACAGAATAGTTGGGAAAAATATTTATTACAAGTTTAAAGAGAAAATTTTTTTATATCGACTAAAATAATAATCGAGGCATAACTAAGCATATATTGAACTTGAACAATGCACACCCTTTTGTTAGATTCTCTTCACAATTTTATTCTTATTTTGTTATTTATAAAAATGTTTTGTTATCTTAACAAAATTTGTAATTGGGGGTTTTCTGTTGAGAGTTTTAGTAATTTTTATATATAGTTGAAATCATGAGTCAATTGAAGCTAGATCACCATGGAAAATCTGGAATCACTAGACAATAGAATGAAACGGCCATCCAGTGCTTCCAGGTTTTCCTTGTTGGTCTATCTTCAAATGACTAATGATTTCAACTATATAAAAAAATTTGTAATTATTAAATCATTTAATGAATTATAAATATTTTCGTTATAATTAATTTATACATGGAATTTTTCATTCAATTTACCAAGTGACCAATTTTTCAAGTACTGCTAATCCAGTAGTTGAAGCACCAACAATAATAATTCTAGCATTGATAATTTCTTTTGGTTCCATTAATAATTTTCCTGTTGTCATAAATAAAGCTGGCAGTGAATTGAATTTTTCTAAAATTCTATTCTCTGGTGCTTTTATATTATTTAACAAAGATTCTGGAAAGATAATTTGTTTTCTTGGTTTAACTGGAGATAATTTTGATAGACAAGTTATCAGTGTACATTGACTAAATTTCTATTAATGGAAAATTGAATATTTGAAGAAAAAATAAATGTTTTGTCAATGATGATGTTGTATACATTTCATGGATAGACTAAACTTTATATAGAAGTAACAAAACATTAACATATATATATTAGGAAGAATTTTTAACATTGATTGAATGACCTATTCAGTATACAATGAACTGGAGAACCATGTACCTATTTATATTCGATAATTATGATGTATGATTATATTTCCTTGAAAAAGCTTAGACTAGATTGTCAGGCGGAACGTTGGATTTACTTCAAAAATCCATGTGGCTTTGTGTATGCGTTTATGTGAGAATATGGTACCGCCTATGACCAGTTTGTTGAAGGTACGTAGGTTTACAAACCTCTCATCATTTTTGTTTATTTCTCCCAGTCTATGTCGTCCAATGATGTCTTTATATCCAGTGTTGTCCATTCCAACCTTGGTATTTAAGTCTCCCATCAAAATGGTCATATACTTTGTTAGGCATTTCTCAACGATTGACTGCAGCCTATTGCAGAATCGGTCTTCAACGTCTTCATTGTAATCGTTGGTCGGTGCATAACATTGGACGGCGTTCATTGTATTGCCCTCTTTCTTTCACCATGAAGAGTCATAATTCTTCTAAATAAAGACCTTCTAACTCACAGGGTAGAGTTTAAATGGTTTGAATTTATTTCTCTGGTTAGTGTTTTTAGCGAGTTGGTTTCCTACGAGATGAGGTTGCTAACCCGATACCTAACCCCCCTCTTTTATTCATCTTTCGGACCGGCAGTGTCCCCAGAGGGGCTCCAGGCGGAGGACTGTTATTGTCAAGATAATGGGTTCCTATGAATTATCACTTTAAAGCATGGTTTCAATACAAACTGATGTTACTAGCGACGTTCTGATAGCTATCCGATCTAGGTTAAAGATTTCTCGACAGTGTCCAACTACGATTGGATTTCGGAATTGCAAGTTTTGTAGTGAGCACGGTACGATTAAGCAACGAAGTAGATGTTTAGTAGTCCTTATTCAATGGTTATCCAATTTATGCCAGTCCACAATAAGAACTACTAATATGTCGGCCGAAATGCACGGACCTATTATCTTGATAATGACAATGTGACTGATTTCAGAAGAAATTTCCGTTTTGCTAAATGTTCTAAAAATTTATGAATGATGAAGATTGAATAATTTATATTTTTCATCGGACTTACTGATTCATCTGCGTATGGTGGAAGTACACGATAATAAATACATGTTTTCTTAGACTGACGCAGAATTTCTCGAAGAAATAACTCTGTTCTTGACTGAAAATTAGCTGCTAGTAAGAAATGATACAATGAAACATGCTCATTTCGGGCATGATGTGTAAAGTATATAAAATCTTCAATGTTATAATGAGCTCGAAGCCATTCAATGTGCTGTAATTATGTAAAATTAAAAATGGATAAGAATGAACCAAATATGTTTCTATGTAAATTCAAAATAAAGTTATGGGAGAAACAAACTGATGTGATTAACTTTCGATAATGTATAGGGAACTCTAAATACTGAAATCATAGCCAGGAAAATAGAATAACTTTAACACATCCTCACCCTTGATCTAGATAAAATGATTTGTTTCTGAAAATTCTCCAACAAAAGGTTATCTTATTACGTAGTTGATATTAGTCATTAAACTTTACAAATGGATATATAAGAAATGTGTTAAAAACGTTTTTGTTAAGAACTAGATTTTGGATTTTTCCTCCAGTGATTCTGACTTTATTACAATAGAATGCATAGATTTATGGTTAACAATGTAATCCATGAAACTCATTTCGTTCCACTTCGGATCAGTAAGCTGTATGTATCTGAATCCCAGTGTTTATCTTATTAATGGGACGTGAACCCGGTACTTTCAGCTTCTAACTCTCAAAGCATCATTTTTATTGAGCTACAGAGTTCACACAGTAGAAATTTTCTTACTCACAATTTTGCTATATGCAGCTACTTGGCCTTAACAATCCCATTGAGCAATTTATTTTATTGTTAAGCCAATGAGTGATGGAGTTTTGTTCTCTGAGCTGTATGGTTTGATTGTGGTGGAGCTTTCATCATTCTTCTGAACGACATCATCAGCACAAACTTCAGATATAAATAAAGTATTCGAATTTCCATACATATTGCTCACAGCTTGTCCTGTATAAAGTATTTGATTAGTTTGTCATCATAATTTTATGTTGGTTCTAAAACGTGCATTTTTTTAATTATAGTTCTTTGCAGCAACACGTCAGATATCATCACACTTCACTGTGGATCATTGAGACAAAAAGGGCTGGGATATGTGATAGTAGTTGCATTTGTTGTTTATTTGTACATCGTCAGTACAACTCTATCCTCCTCATCAAATAGACACATCGAGTTATGTCACATATTTGTTGACACAAAAGCATTCAATAAATGCAAAAGTTAGGCATTATAGTATATATTGAGTAGTAACTGTAAGATAAAATCTCTCTGTTCATTTATGAAGACGTCCAGTTTTAGAAGTTTTACAGATCATTAACATTACAATATTTAGAGTAGGCTTCATTAGTTAACCAAACTTATTGTGTTTTTGTAGCTGTATGGTTCAGCTCTAAGCTTTTGTATTACAAACTTTTAATTTGAGAAATAATTTGTGAATAAATCTTGATTTCTTCTTAGTAACTAAATACTCTACTCAGTTTTCATGTGAATGCTAGGTCGATATCGATATTGTAATTTATGATAATAAAGTCCTTACAATACTTATTCAAGTAAATGTTTGGGTTCTTTTTAGTCACATACTTCATTCAAACAGGATGATAATAATAAGTCGCAGAACTGATCACCGTTAAATGATAATGAAATCAATTGGTTATTATTTATTTTCAGAAGGGGTATGGTGGAGATTTTAGTAATTTTATAGAGTTGAGATCATGAGTCAATTGAAGCTAAACTACCATGGAAAACTTGGAAGCACTGGACGGCCGTCTCGTCCTATTGTGCGACTCTTCAGCAGTGCGCATCCACGATCCCGCACTCGAGAGATTCGAACCCAGGACCTACCAGTCTTGCGCCAAGCATTTAACCGATAGACCACTTAGCCGGCATCCAACGGTGTTAATGTCTAACAACAACCGATCCACGTAATTGAGCAACCATTCACCAATGTCATCAGTGAGTTGATATCTCCCAACAGACCTGATTGAACTTCACTGGTTACTGCTTCTCACTAGAACTCCAGGAAATACCTCATGGAGCCTTATTTACTTAACTTATTTCATAGATTTATGAAATAGGAGTAATTTGATATACAGTTATTATTACCAATCTCTTTTTCATGTTTAATTCAAAATTTCATAGATTGATTTTTAAAATAATTTTCATAGAGATTATCTAAATACTCACATGTTCATCACGTAAAATTGCTACACCGACTAATTTACCCAGTGCAACAGCAACATAACTAAATATTATTGTCCCATCCTGAATATAAGATGAAGAAATACAGAAGGAACTTGAGAAATTAGACTAGAACTGGAACAAATGAATAATGATATCATTTTATAGATTAACATATATAATATACAATGTAAATTAATTTCATTTTAAATATTTAATAAGATTGAATTAAACATAAGTGAAGTAACTTTTTAGGACTGCAGTTAACTTTAATTACTGAAATGAAACATCAGAACTTTTACTACATTCTATACCACTATTTTTTAAATCACAAAGTTCCGCTCTAGTTCTTTCAAGGTATCATCTTTGCTGTAGTACATAAAGCTCCTGGGTCCGTTCCCATATGCTGTCTTGGATACTCGTTGTTCATAAATTCGTAAATACATTGAGTCATGATTAGGAAGTAATCATTATAATATCTCTGCATCACGAGGCAGGTCCTAACTTGGAATCCTGAAGGTAAGCGGAAAAGAGGATGACCGAAGAACATACTACATCGGGAAATGGAAGCAGATATAAAAAGAATGAATAACAACCGTAAAGAACTGGAAAGGACTATACAGGACAGGGTTGGATAGTGAGTACTGGCGGGCAGCCAATGCTCCTCCACGAGGGGTAACAGGTGTGGGTAAGTAAGTATTGTCATATCTATTGAGTCCTCAATACTGACCGAATTCTATTGATCTAGTTTCAGTGTACCCACTATACTTGACAACACTCGTATTACGTTCATTGTTAGTTGGTTGGAGGTAGTCAATAGCAAACCCAACTTTATCTAGATTTCGTGCTAATTTGTACTTCTTGGTAGAGCATACTTATAATCTTGAAGGAAATAATTTACTAAGTGGGTTTACTACAGATTAACTTCAGCCCTAAATAGTATGAAACAGCTGTATAAATCTTTAATAATGAAGATCACTATTAATTTGCAAGGTTGTAATAAAAATATTATATTTTAATCTGTTATAAATCAGTTTGTGTTTTAAAATCCAATCAGCTTACTTCATCTCGACCATTACTTATAAATGAATGTAAATCAGAAAGAAATAAAGAACGGTCAAATGCATTCATATTTCTGACTAGTAATTTGATATCTTCCTCATCAGCATGGCGTGTACGTCTTACAGTAAAATCTCTATAATAGAAAGAATCAATAAAAATAGTTAAAAAAGAAAACATCTTGTTCATAGACACTTATTTATTTTCAGTAGTATATTACAAAACGTGACTCATGTGGAAATTTTGTAAAACTATGTCTTACATAGAAACTCAAAGGTTTAAAGGCTTATGCTTAATTTAAAAGCAGGTTAATGTGGAAATGTTTATGTATTATATTAAGGTCACGAATCGTTCTAATTTAGACAACCACTAAAAATCTGGAAGCACCGAGTGGACGTTTCATCCTAGTAAGGGACTCATAAGAAACGCGCCTGCATTGCCCTTCATATGAGAATAGAACCCAGGACCTTAGGTCTTGCTCGATTGTTTAATGTTTGGGTCACAGAGCCAACATTCAACAGCATCAATCATTTCATGATGCTATTCTGTCATATTTGTAATATTATATTCCACATAGCTGAATGATCATATCAACCAATAGAGGCCAGGAAACACTGGGTAACTGATTCGTCCTAATGTTGGGCTTAGTAACAGTACGCATCTACGACATATTTTGGACCGATCACAGGAAATCTAGGTCTTGTATCAGGTGCATATCTCTTAGGCGACTGAGTTGGTGTCCAGTGGTTTACATACCCAAATCAGTGACTTTGTTATATTGCGTGACCATCTTCCACTGCCATAATTCGTATTTATCTCACTCCAAACATAGTGTCTTGAGTTTGATCCCATATTATGACCGACTAGCTTTTAAGTACTTCCTGGTTTTTAACAGCTATATAGTTTACATTAGTCTCTGATGAAAGTTATGTAATTCAACAAACTTACACAATAAAATTATAAAACTTTCTACGAGATTATATGTCTGATAATCAGTATTTAATACGATACGGTTGCATATTCAGATGGTAGGAAGAGTTGTTTTTAAATCTACAAAAAATTATGTCCATGAGCATATTTTACAACTCTAAACTATTATATTTTATAAGCAAAGATGGATAGTGGCTAGCAGTGAAATCCATGACGCGCGTTCAGTCCTATTTGGGACCCGTCAGCTGGATGTACCTGCATCTCAGAGTTGATGTTCACTCTGGGACTCGAATCCAGTACCTTTTGCTTCAAACGCAATCGCGTTATTCACTCAGCTACTGAGTCCTGATAGCCAAATGCTTGTGCAATGGGGTGAAGTTATAATTTTTATGAATTAAAGCAATATCGAGGCAATACGCACAGTATGCACATATGCCAATAAGAGACTGACCAGTTGCAGTCCTAAGCATCAATGGGAAGATTCAAACAAACAATACTAAGTGAATATTAAATTTTTAGTTCATCTTACGTATTTCAAATTTTAACATGAATTTTATCATAAACAATCTTACCTATGAAGTTCACAGCGATGAAATACATATAATTCATGTTCAGGATCTTTATTTTGTCTTATTCTACAATGCTAAAACAAAAGAAGTCCCCCAAAATTACATAAGATCCATGCTAAAATAAATCATGAACTCAATATATGGTTGAAAAGAGATTCATTTAATTTGCTATCAAAAGTTGTTTGCAAAGAAAGGAGAAAAATTATTTCGGGTAGGATTATAAATTATAAATGGATCAATCAGATTCAAGATAATGACTCCTGAATTTTGGCGCGCATTTCGATATCGCTCAAAAATTGTTCATAGATTATAATCTCACCAATTTTTTCCAAGTTTAATGTGAGTATCTAGTTTGAAAAAGGATTTCGTTTTTTTTACATTTCTCTTACTCTTAATTATAAATATTATTTTACTTAGTAGTATGGTTACTATTCAGAACATCACTGTTTTTAACAGAGTTAATAGAAATTAAGATTCGATGTAAAATATATTTGTTGGTTAAATGCACAAGTCGATCTAAGCTAGACCAACATTGATAGAGTAGATATTTTAAAGATACCTCACCGACACATAGTCTATTGCGATCAGTAAAGCTATTCAGAGTTATCGCACAATGTAGCAGGAATAGCCGCAACTCCATCTGGTTGGTTCTGTTCTATTAAATTCAACCGCCTATTAGCGGGTTAGAGATACAAGGTAAATATTAGCATTAGAAGTGCTACAGTTATCCATGTAGCATTTAATATTTAAGGAACTATAGCTGATTTAATAAGCTATTTTCGGTTTCACCGTTTTAAGGTATGTACTTGGACATGTTTGGCTTAATCTCTGAGACAAGCATACGACTACTGACAGGATCAACCATTTTATTCACAGTTATATAATATAGTCTTTTGAACCGGGGTAATTTTACATTAGTTTTCAGGAGAACAAGACACCATCTAGGTTTTATTGCTACAATCCGAACAGTTCAGCTCAATCCTGCGGATCAACCACACAGGTACCCAGTACCACTGCACCACTGCACTGCATGAACAGGTCAGTTTTGGCCTATCCAGCTCACATGTGAATCAAACTCACTAATTTTTATAATGATGATATGGGTTACCACGTCCTAATGATAACAACCTTTTATAACACTGAAAAGCAACCCCCAGTATCAACTGTGAAAATATTACAATCTCCACAAATCCCACATTGATATTGGTTAGTATTGACAAACTTTTCAATAGTAAACACAGCTTTTGATATATTTCTGTCATTTTAGTGCATACTATGCAAATAAAAACTGAGTTGCTTATAATCTGGAAAATAACCAAACTGGCTGGTTAATAATGAGTCACGGAAAATAACTAGTGTCACACTTCTTATTTCTTAATGTTGATCTTTACATACAATTAATTGACAGATAACTCGCATTTTAACATTAAAAATACGATTAAATGTTTAGGTATGGAACTTTTAACTGTATTCCTATAACACTTGTAGAACCACACTGGGACATGTTCCCGTATCCGAGTTAAAAGCGAGCGCTGGCTACGATCAATGCACCTTGCTCTACAAGAACAGGTGAACTGGCAGATGCACATGAAGGCGACCAGACAGTTAAATTTATCTTTTATGGATACAGAAAAGTTCTTACGAGTGAACTTTATTCGCAATCTTGCCTCATAGAATATTCTTTTAATCGCTGTCGTTAAACGATTTTCGATTACATTAGATGTTCGATCACCTCTTAATTCCGAACTTATATAGAGGTTTCTTCTTTGCAACGGAACAACTGGATTCTTTGTCACAACAACTTCCTTTCATATTCTCATCTATGAAACGGTCTGAATAGCCATTTTCCGTAAGATTTTTCCTGTGGAATGCAAGTTCTTCGTCAATGTATTCCGTAGTACATATCTGATGTATTCGGTAACGCATAAAGTGAATAAGATTTCTCTTTCTACCTAACGGAACTGAGCTATAGAAGTTCGTCAGCTGGCCATTCAATGTTTGTATTCTAAGCATGAACCTTTTTAAGGAACATTTACTCCTCATCAGATGCACATCGAGAAAAGGGATTGACTGGCCTCGTTCACTTTCTAACGTGAAGTCTATAGAAGGGTAGCAGTGTCGAAGGAGTGTAAGATATCTGTTGATTCAGTAGTATCGACAAAAATGACAAATGTGTCGTCTATTTATCTTACGTATAGATGAAATCGATTGATAACCCGACTAAGTTGGTTGTTTCCCAGTTTTGCCATATAGCAGTCTGTTAAAATTGGATCCCATGGAGACTCCATTGATATCCTACCTCTTTGTTTATATATTTCATTGTTGAAACTAAACTGGACGTTAAAGGTACAACGTAAAAATAGTTCTTTCAAGTATTCAGTCGGCAGACCTAGATCTATATCGTTAGAATCAATATACTCATATACATGCCCTCACGGAACTAATACTTTAACGAAAAAAGCTTGATATTAAAAAAAGTTGAAAAGAGTTCTCTTTGCTGAACTTTGTGTCTTTAACATACAATGAAGCTAGGAATCGAAATCATTGTGAAAGTTTTTTGATATTCTGTTTTTGAAGGCAATGAGCGGTAATATCTCTACATAAGTTTTGTGCTGATTGACACCTAATGCTCAAAAAATCTCTACATTACAGAAAAAACTATCTAGATAAGTGTATGCTAACTTCTCCATCAAAATAAGAACTGAAATAAAATGAATTCCGTTATTTAAAGAATGTAGTAACTCTTTGTTCATAACTACTAAGTAGTTCACTCACTCTAGACATCTAATATGTATAACTATAGTAGATTAAATTATGTTATAAAGTTTAACAAACTTAAGCAATGAAAATATCTGAATTAATGAAAATTTCCAATCATCAATTGTGATTGTCTTAAGAGATTCTATTTTATTTATAATTTCAGGTTACTTACTACAAAACTCTTCAACATCGGGAAACATTTAACCAATCTCGGAACTGTAATTACAGCGTATTCTAAATCAGGAAATTGACTGAACAACAACGGTAACATATCCATAAATCTGAAAATTATTAAGTAAAATACAATATAAGATATAAGAAGCAATCGTTTTTCGTTTTGAAATTTCCAAAAGTATTTACATTTAAAGGTAAATCAAATTTTATTTAAAACTATTTATTAAATGCTGTTGTATTTATTAATACTATTCCTTACGTGCTTACGCCTATTGACCCTCATGGAAGAGCATAAGCCGTTCACCAACATTTTCCAACTAACCTTGTCTTCGACAATCTTTTCCAGTTCTTCCCAGCTGTTGTCTATCCTTTTCATATCTGCTTCTATTTCCCGGCGTAGTGTGTTCTTTGGCCTTCCTCTTTTCCGCTTCCCTTCCGGATTTCAAGTTAAGGATTGCCTTGTAATGCACATTGGTGATTTTCTTAATGTATATCCGATCCACTTCCAACGTCCTTTCCTAATTTCTTTTACAGCTGGAAGCTGGTTTGTCTTCTCTCACAGAAGGCTGTTGCTGATGGTATCCGGCCAATGGATGTTGAGTATCATGCGTAGACAACTGCTTATAAATATTTGTACCTTCCTGATGATGGTTGTAGTAGTTCTCCATGTTTCAGCTCCTTACAGCAGGGCTAACTGCCTGGACGTTAATATTGAAGATTCTCACTTTGACGTTAGTTGATAGTTGTTTTGAGTTCTATATGTTCTTCAATTGTAGAAATGCTGCCCTTGCTTTTCCGATCTTTGCATTACCGTCTGCATTCGATCCTCCTTGCTCATCGATAATACTGTCCAGGTAAGTGAAACTTTCCACCTATTCCAGAATTTCTCCATCAAGTGTGATCGACTTGGTGTCCTCCGTGTTGAATATAAGGATCTTGCTTTTCCACTTATGTATGTTGAGGCCCACTGATGCAGCGGCTTCTACTACACTAGTTGTTTTCATCTGCACTTGTTAGTGTGTATAGGATAGAAAGGTCAGGTCATCTGTGAAGTCTAAATCTTCCAATTGATGCTGAGCTGTCTATTGATTCCTTGTTTTTCCTCAGATGTCGAGGTATCATAATCCAGTCGACCACCGGAAGAAAGAGAAATGAAGAGCGTAAGTAACCTTTTCTGACTTCGACCCTTAATGAAGTGCATCTGTCGGCTGTCCTCTATGCACGACTTTGCACCGTAGTCCGTCGTTTGAATTCCGTGTGATGTTGACGATCTTTGCAGGTACACCATAATGTCGAGTAAGGTTCCATGAAGCCCTCCTACCCGCACTATCAAACGCCTTTTCATAATCATGAAGTTGATTTATAGTGTCGAGTTCAATTCAGGTGATTGCTCAACGATAATCCGTAGTGTAGCGATTCTCTCTGTGCACGACCGATCCTTAGGGAATCCAGCCTGTTGATATCAAAGTTAGGCGTCTTCTGAATCTTCCATCCGATTCAATAACATCCTTCTGAAAATCTTTCCTGGTCCGACAGGTGTATGGTGTTTTCGTAGTCTTGAAATTTACTCAGATATCCTTTCTCTGGTGTCTTGATGAAAAGTCTTTCTTTCCAGTCCAGCGGCCTTTGTTCTTCCTCCCAAATATTCCTGAATAGGATTTGAAGCACGCTTACAGTTACTTCTATGACTGACTTCATTGTTTTAGCTGATATATTTTCAGGTCCTGCTGCTTTCCCACTCTTGATTTGTCTGATGACCATCCTGATTTCTTTGATCATTAGTGCAGTGACAGCTATACGAAGATCTGTAGGTGCTGCTGTAGTGAACGAGAAGACAAGTGAGAAACAATCGAATGTATTTGGACATAAAATTACAGAACGTCTTGGTAAAATCTGAGAACCGTACAGTAAATAAAAAAAGGATATTGGCTAGCATTTGAGTCCAGGCCTCACGATTCGACCCATTATTATTAGGATAAATATATTTCGTTAGCAAAATGTTGACGAATTGTGTTATACATTATTGAATTTCCGCACCAATGGCCTTCTGTTTCCGTTATTTCCCCCTCGATGTTCTCGACCTCTTGCTGCCAGATATTCCATTTTTTGACTGGCGTTATATACTGCTTATGTCGACATAAGTAGCACGCAGACCACACTGCTTAGACGTCTGTTAGATCCAATGGACCTTGTCTGTTCAAGAGTTCCTCGAAGTATTCTGATAAGTCGTGCTAATTGAGCGTTATACTCGATTCCTAAACTATTCTCGTAATCCCCAAACGAAATCTACACAGCGACTTGAGCACAAGAGAAAAGGCGCGAAATATGCCAGATGCACTTTACTCCAAAGGTTCATTTATGTACAGAAAATATAGGGCTTTTATAGTACTTTAGAAGTCTTTGGGTTTTTCTGAAAACTCTGGAATGCTACTAAACATAGTAGCAGTATGGTAATTAGTCAATCAGAAACTCTACATGTGACTTTTCATTTTCGTGATGTTTCTGGCAAAACCTCTAATGAACGCTGATTGGATAGAATATTTTTTACTGTTTCCTGAGCTTTTCTTGTCTTTTGCGAGAAATTTTTTATGGATCACCCCCAACATATTCCTATGTACATAAATTGTTTATCTGATTTTAACTAACTCGGTGATTTAGATTTTTAACAGTAGGTTTATTATTTTATCGGTAAAACCATAAACTGATTTTCTGGAACACATATTCAAATATTTGAAATATCTTCAGTGGTTTAATTAAACAATCTTGTTTAGAATAATTTGAAACTGTATTATTTAGCAAGGAAAATTGAAATAGTATAAGTAAAGTTCAATGACAATAATCCATGACAAGAACATGTACCCAATTTCACTAGATTTTCGGTTGTCTTTAACTATGACATAGAGATACACTTTCTGAAAAATATTTTATCTTTTCTTACATTACCGATACTTTAAATTTTTGTAGGAAAATAAAGCGTATACTTCAATAGGTTGATTATCTAACAATACTTAAAGTCTGGTAAATTAAACTAAAGCTGAATTATCTCTACTCATTTCCAATTGTCTATGTGATTAAAAAGTGATATTACTTTATTTCAATCTTATTTCATGACACCATCCAAGTCAATATTGGGTACTTATGAGTACGCAGTCACATACTGTCTTATATATTATAATTATAGTCAGTTATCTTGATCGGACTAGGTGGAAAAATAATTTATAACTGTCAAGTAATCTCAGCAAAACATGAAGTAAATAATAGTAGTAAAATATGAATATTTCCAAATCTCACCTCGATTCAAATTCCGGTTTCATAATAAAAAGTTGTATAGCAAATGCATTCAATTTTGCATTATCCGCCAATTTAATCGTATTGCTACTTTTCGCATTATGATCTTCACGCAAAAGTCGTTTTGTCCAGTGACCATTGTCTTCATTATTCAATAGATGATGTGACTGACTATGATCTTGTGAATTAATTTGTTCTTCGGTTTTTATATAACTTGATCTGGTTGCAATGTTTTCTGTTTTATCTGTAAATATATATATATATATATATATACATACGTCCGCAAGAAAAATATTACCGTATTATGAAAAGTTAAACATGTTTAGATATGGTATAAAGGGAAATTAGATTAACCTATGAAGTCGTGATTTACGGTCCGATAAGAAACTTAATAAAAAGCAAAAATTATCATTACAACTAAAGCAACATATGTTATTCGAGAAAAAATCAGCGATCAACACATTAATGTCAAAAGACTGCCAAACGTGTCCAGATACACATTAGAAATCAATTTAGGATTGGATTACCCTTCACGTACTGTCCAACTTAGAGAGGGTATGAATCAGCATGTATGAATAAAACAAGTCAGTAAGTAGGTAAATATTTTACTTGGTCAGCCTTATTCCGTGGCTAAGTCACTAGTTACTCTGTTGAATTCTTTAGCAACCAACTTCAAGTCAATTACAACATGAGCGATTTAAAAGTTAATAACTTATTAGTGACTGACCGTCAAAACCAACGTTATCATTATTCTCAGTTGAAGCATCTGGTGATCAGACTAAAATAGATTAGACGACCTATTTTTTTCCAAACAATAAAACTAACAGATTGTGTAACTACAAGCAAAATGTTTCTACCTGAAAGGTTAATTTTCATAGTTTTATTTGATTTTACCGACTTTAATTCCATAAACCTGTCCTAATTGTGTTAAAATGTTAGAAAATAAAAAAACTTAAATTATTGTTTGGCTCTTCAACCAAGTGCTTGTACTGAAAATCTATATAAAACCTTGGATATACACCAGTTGTATTTACAGTTTACCAGATGTAAAGCCTATTTCTATGACATCAGTAAACCTGATCTTGCTGAATATGTATTTTTGTTTACTGATTAAGGGTTTAATGGCAGAAACATTTGAAACTTTTACTTTTTTGCGCCTTAAGTGAACTTCGAAAATGACATGGATATGCTGTATGTTTATCACTAAAAAGGGCAAGCTTTCATCTTTTTCAACCTCATTTGCCCATCTATTCAACATGATAAACAGTAAATAGATAAAGAGTTCAGTAGTTGGATTATTTCTTTGTTGACAAATATCCGAAATCACAGGTATCCACATGGAGGATGGTACAATACCAATTCCTGAAGAATCCAAAAGGGAAAAAGATCAGCAGCAAATATTTTGCGAGGCTATTTTTAGAAGACAACACATTTCAAATATTCGTATCGCTTTGGGGGAATAGCACTACTGGATGTTCGTCATGGAATTGCCCTGTTCTTTTGCCAAAGGATTCTTAGGCTTTTATGCAGTTCGTATAGACTAATAAAGACTTGAAATACTTTTTCCGACCTTGTTTATGCTCAGTGCTATATATCATGGATTTTACAAACCTTTTCATGTTTTCACGGGCCCATCTAATTCTGACTACTAAATTAACTTTTGAGTAGACTTGACAATCTATGATCTGGTAACTATTAACAGTGCTGTTAGTTATTCTAGTTTATCAAACAGACTCCACATGAAGACATCTTGAAAGAATGTGCGAGGTTTTCAATATTTACGACAATTTACGTCCTCGTTAAATGTGATGTGAAAATCTTATTCACGAAGTGCAAATGGATGTTGTTTTACCATAACATTGACCACAAGACACGAAGTTCAAAATGAGTTAAAAAAGAGAAATTTCGCAGGGAGAATTATTAATTGAAGAAAGTGAGAAAATCATCCACAAATATTCATGAATAAAACAAAAATAAATCTTTTAATGAACATTGGATTACTACAAGTTCACCTGCAAACTATCCAATCAGTCAGCTACAGCGTAGGACCAGGCACATTTATGCATCGGTCCAAGTTGCCATATCTCGTTAGCACAACGAAATGAACACCGTATTCATAGAAATAGTTAATTTAGCGGTGGCAGTATATAAAATATAGGATGTATATATGGATATCATATTGCCCTCCATGGATTAATAAGGAAACCCGGAAGCTGTTGAAGCGTAGAAAACACTTCTGGGACTTATTCTTGTCAACAGGTCAGGCATCATTTAAGTGCGAATATAAAAAAATCCGGAATATATGTAAAAAGACCATAGCTAAATCCCGTACGGCTTACGAACGACAGTTGGCATACGATAGCCGTACCTGTCCGAAGCGACTGTTTTCGTACGTTAAAAGGCGGACGAAACGTAGTGATGGTATCCCCTCATTACTGTTAAGCGAAAATTCAGCTTTATTGGCTGAATCTGATCTAGCGAAAGCGGAGTTATTTGCTAACTATTTCAGTGAAGTCTACTCTACGTGTAGTGTTACAACTACTTTTCCCGTTGACAATGAGATACCAGCCATAGGACCTTTACACGTGACAGAGGATATAGTTCTTCCTTTGATAACTAACCTAAAACCTTGTAAGATATCGGGCCCCGATGGGTTACACCCACGTTTGCTGTCGTCGCTTGCGGACATTATCTCAAGACCGCTCACGATGCTCTTCAACATGTCCCTTTCACAGGCTCAACTACCTAGAGACTGGAAAGACGCCATAGTTAGTCCTATATTTAAGGATGGTCAGAGACGGATAGTATCTAACTACCGGCCTGTTAGCCTGACCAGTACAGTAGTTAAGTTACTTGAAAAATTAATTCGGGCTAAGCTACTGAGCCACATAGATTCGTACAATCTGTTAACTCCCGAGCAACATGGGTTTCGTAACAAGCATTCATGCTTGACTAACTTACTCATTGCGAGAGAGGATTGGACAGCTGCCCTAGACAACGGCCAGTCTGTCGACGTGATATTTATAGATTTTAGCAAAGCGTTTGATAAGGTTTCACACTTAGGTCTTATGCAAAAGCTCTCGAGCTTTGGTATAACAGGTGCTATACAGGAATGGATAGGAAGCTTCTTATGTGACCGCAGACAGAGAGTGAGGGTCAATGGAACTCTATCCGAATGGAAACCGGTCAGAAGTGGTGTACCCCAAGGCACCATCTTGGGCCCTTTACTTTTCCTTCTGTATATTAATGAACTACCTTTATTACTTAAGTCGTCGACGTTATTGTTTGCGGATGATGTTAAAATCTGGAGAACAATAAGAAATGAGACTGATCGTTGTTATCTACAAGCAGATTTAGACGAATTAGTTAGGTGGGCTCATGATTGGGGCCTGGAAGGTAATTCCAGGAAGAGCGTGTTCATGCACATCGGACACGATATTAGTTACCACTATACCATTAATGGTACATCTCTGCCACGCGTTCATGCGCATAAAGACTTAGGAGTAATTATAAGTCACGACTTAAAAACTACTACGCACTGCAATGCGGTTGCTTCCAAAGGCTATCGAGCGCTATGGTCGCTTCGCAGAGCATTTAAATGCTTTGACGAGGATATGTTTCGAATTTTATATCTCACCTACGTAAGGCCACACTTAGAATACTGTGTCCAAGCAGCTAGCCCTTGTCTGATAAAGGATACCAAATCGCTTAAGCGTGTCAAGCGTGTAGGGACAAAATTAGTAGAGGGTCTTTCCAAACTCCCTTACGATGAGCGTTTAAAACGTCTAAATCTTTTCCCCTTATCTTATCGTAGGACGCGAGGTGACCTTATACTGGCATTTCGTATCTTTAATTATGATCTGGGTGTTAATATGTCTTACCTTTTTGCTCCCTCCAGCACTAATAATCTCCGGGGTCATAGCAAGAAGGTTCTGAAACCGCGATCTAATAAACTAAAGGTGGGGTCCCGTTTTTCTCATCGAGTGGTCAATGACTGGAACGCTTTACCAGAACAAGTGGTATCAGCACCATCAGTGAACATTTTCAAAAAGAAGCTGGACCTTCACTGGAAGGAATTCTGTCAGGATTAACACAGGTTCATCAACCTACTATCCTTATTACTGAAGACTGATATAGTGTAGGAAGGAAGAAAGTTATGAAGCAATTTTAATCTCAAGGTTTAAGGGAAGATAAAGAGTGTATACACCTACGACATTGTGATCGATTCTGAGCCATGTCACCTAGAGTCTCCGACCATTGGTTACGGTAGTCACGCGGACCTCAACCAGGCAGTCTGTATCTGCCAACATGACTCAGACTAGAAGTTAGTGACTTCAATCACTGATGGCACGTTTTGGTTTAGCCGCCCCTAACTCTTTTACAACCATCCCTTACACTAGTCAGCATAGCGCATCATGGTAAACGGTGTTCAGGCACACGTAACACGTGGCCCAATCATCTCAGTCGATGAAGATTCATCACCTCATCAACTGATTTACCATCATTTCCTAACATCCTGGGATCTCGTACCATCGATGTATGCTGTGTCTCCGAAACACGCATAAAGGATCCCAGTGTGGTCATTCACTTGACCTCACCTCGCCAAAATGGACAGCCAACGAAATACACTTTCCGTGTATCTGACGATCCCATGACTAGTTCTCGTAGACTTGCAGGTGTACGCATAGCACTTAGTACGAGGGCAGAACAAGCACTACTAGAATGGATCCCCGTTAACAGTCGCCTGTGTGCTGTCCAGCTGAATGGCTCCGTAAGAACTCGGAAGGACAGGGACACACATCGTTGCCTTTTCGTCGTTTCTGCCAACGCTCCCTCTGACTGCAGCCATGATGAAGTGAAAGATGACTTTTACAGAAATCTCTCTGAGCTTCTTCAGAAAGCTAAGCGCTCAGACTTAGTAGTCTTAGCGGGTGACTTTAATGCCCAGGTAGGCAGCTTAAATGAAACAGAAAAACATTTGGGTGGGTGTTTTAGTATTCTGGCACAACGAACCGATAATGGTGATCGTCTGTTGCAACTATGCTCAGACAATCGTTTACTTTTAGCAAACACTAACTTTAAACATAAGGAGAGACATCGTCTAACATGGCGACCACCTGCACCAAACCAAAGATGGACTCAAATAGACTATATTACCATCAGCCATCGTTTGAGAGGCTCAATAGAAGATTGTCGCTCGTATTGGAATACTTGTTTAAACTCTGATCACGCTTTAATACGAGCACTCATTTGTCTGCGCCTCACTGTACGCAGGAAAAGTACACTGAGAAGACCCATTAAAGTTGAACTGGAGGACAAGAAATCCAAATGTAAATTTCAGGAACAACTGAGTTCACATCTGGACAGTTCTGTAAATGAAACCGACCCAAATGCTGCTTGGAAAGACATATGAACAGCTGTGGAAACAGCAGTAACATCTATTAGTAATTTAGACTATATTGTTCCCATCAGGCTCTGAACACGACGAAGAGCGTAAACTATCCATGTTTTATGCGGTTAGTTTTGAATGGATCATTACAGCAACAATACTGCTAGCCGCTATAAATGATAGTGGCCAAAGTGAAACAGTTTGCTTTTCATCCCTCTTGGATGATGGCCAAAACACTAGGCTATAAACTCAAAATACTTCGAATAAATCAAGAAGGAATGTAACTTTGTATAAATAGCATACGAAAATAACAAATAAGGTGAAAAATGTTTAAATATAGCTACCGACTTTGGAGTATTTCATAAAATTGATCCACTAAAGAAGGATTCTACCTGTGACTTTCAAAATACTTCCAGTTGGAAATTCATTTTTTTCTTCTGTCTCTTCTTTCATCGGTTTATCCAACTTGGCCAATCCATTGAACAAATCTAAGTCGTAATGTGAATTCAAGTTCCTGAGATTTAAACTTCTTGTTGCACTGACGAAACCTACTGCTCTGCGATCGTACTGTTATCGAGACTGAAAATATAACACCAACATACCTCCACAACGACACATTTGAGATTATCGTCCTGAGCTTCAACTAGTTCTGAGACATAGTAATCCCCGTATGTTTTTTGAAGGAGCTTAGACTGATCATTTATCAAAGGTGTAAGGTCATCTGTATCCTCAACTCTAAAAGTAATGATAGGTTGCAACGTATCTTACGCTGCTGGACGAGAGAAAAGGACTGGGAAAATTTCATGTCTATAAGCGCAGAAAACGTCGTTTTCTTCAGCAACTCTTTTCGATAGTTTATGAAAAGGAAAAGAGTTCAAACACTCTTTGGTAAAAACTTAACTAGCGAATCACAATTTACTGATGCTATGGGCATCTTCTAGCACAAAAAAGATATAATGGACGGAGTAAGCAACGGTGAAAGCCATTTTCAGTAGCTGAGTTATCACGAATTTGTCATGAACTGGACTAAGTGCGAGAAGATGAATGAATAACGAGTTTGTGGTTGTTATATTATCGGTGCAATATATATGACTAAAGAGTGTGTCCCAATCGTTCTCCGGAAACTTTGAACTATTTGGATGTTCATAAAAACATGCATGGCCAACCAAATTTTTATCACTATCCGTAACACAAAGTGACAGAACTGATCTCTCACTATATAAAATGATTATAACTTTTACTATGAAATGATTGATTACATTAGCGTCACAAGACTAGTTTTTTTACACTCTCCTGAATTAAAGTGAACTCTTAACTTCTCAATCTGCTTCACGTCTGTAAGGCTACTTCTCCTTATTTCAAAAAGACCTTCAGCTCTTTCCATGGTTAAATGTGCACGATGGTGTTTCTATAAGCAACCGTAACCTTTAAAACAGAATACTATACAAGATCCAATATCTTTCTCACGAGCTTTTACGTGTTGAATGATTTAATTTGCAATCTCTTCTTATTGTTGTTGTTTGATTTCAGTTATTTCCTTATGTCCAAAGAGTGGTAGTCAAGCTACTCAGTTGCAGTACTTCCATTCAGTGTGGTAGTTATTTGTGGATTTGTACGTCTCGCAGTTGAGTAAGTTCGCTTATCTCATAACAGTCAGTAGGTTGTGTAATTACTCTGTACCATATGTGGCAAAATGCTCATCACACGACATTCGACAGGTGAGGATTTAACCTATAATGTGTTTCCCATTCATCTATTGCTGTAAGATCCTTTTGAAGCTCTAGTTGATACCTTTAATTTTTTATTTATCTTCAAATCTTTGTGTAATCTGCATAGATCAGTAGGGCTGAGCTGATTTTACCAAGCAAATCGTCAATAAAGTCAAGAAAAGCAATGCATTCAAGACCGTTCCTTAAAAAATCCTGACATTGAAACTCTACATCTACGCAGTTTACTTACCTTGATTACCTTTATGATGAAAACAAGAAGAAGATACTGTAGGGTCACTGAATATCGAACAGATCACTGATCCCTGTCAAGGTCAAGGATAGTCAATGCGCATCAATCAAATCATACGCCATGGACTGGCCCACGCGACAGTGGTTGTAGTTTAACTAATATATTCTTGTAATAACGTTCTTTTGTGGTTTACAGTCTCCATAGCATCCATGGCCCCTTGTTACGTCGATGGGGGCAATCCACATAAGGTGCTGTTATGAACGTATAACAATCGTTATTGTATATGAAACGTGCAATGATACAGAAAATACGTACGAGCAGTCTTGATTGCTATTCGGTCCTTCCTAACTGCCTAGCCCAGCCAGTTGAGTCCAGAACACAAATAACAGCCTCGGAAATATGAATCATTATTCACAAGCACACTGGGTTATGTATACTAACCAAACAGACCCAATTATACCAAAAAATAGAAAAATAACATTTGTACAGTAATTGGCCAATGTGGCTGTAGCTAGGGGGAAAGTAATCAATAATAATAGTTCCAAGGTCAAAACAAAGGTTGTGATAAGAGGAACACGGAAACGACTAGGTCACTTATTTAACAACTATCCAATAGGGAATGGGCATATTGTATTTGTCCATAAATAGACCTCAGATTTAAGTCACTTATTTAACAACTATCCAATAGGAATAGGCGTATTACATTTGTCCATAAATGGACATCAGATTTATGATTCATAATTCGCCAGGGGATACAACACCTCCCCTTTTTGAGAAATCCGGAGTTGATATCCGGATTTTTAATTTCCTCGAATTCACCCTCCCCCACGAAAGACTGTTGGATCCTCATATAGCCAAGTTACTATTAATGCGATATGTTTGTCACCTTTAACAGGGAATGCATTAGAACTGAAGAGATCATGAGGATCGACGACATTTGATTCGAGGTCACCAACATTTGATTCTTCTGAAATAGTTTCCTTGAATTTCTTCGGAACCTCATTAGTAGATAATGAATCATTAGGATAATCAGTATCTATGAGAGTTGTATTGGATTCTTGATTATCATTAAATACATCTGACATTTTTCTCTCATTTTTATAAGAGAATTCAACAGAAACATATGAATCATCAAAATAATCTAAATCTGGTAGAACAATTACAGAATTTTGATCATTAGATTCATTAGAAACATTTTCCGTATCATGATTAATTTCATTTGGTGCCACTGTATTCCATATACTGCTCGATTTGTTTCCCGTTTCTTCGTGGGCGGGTACTGCAACAATTTCATGAGCATTTTGCAAGACATTTACTTTCTGTGAATAGGATAATTCATTGTTTGTACATCCAATTTCGGGATTAATAAGACTTGGACCGTGTACAGGGAATGTCTCTGAAACAGGTAGTACTGGGCTACTAGGCTGATCATGTATAACTGCTGCGCTTAAATTATTGCTTTGTATGGATTCATTGAGGCTTTCGCCGGCATATTCATTAGTTCTGTAATTGTTTTCCAGCTCTGTACGCAATTTTGAAATTATTGCGTCAACTTCCGTTTCACCCCCAAAGCATGGGTGATTCAGCAGCTTCGCGTGTAATTTGTCAATGAAATCCAATTGACTCTTTCTGAAGCGCTGCTCTTGTCGCTGGATTAGCAACTGAAATTGGTCGGAAGTTAAGGCCATTTTTTTAAATGTAAATAATAATAATAAATCCAAAAAAACACCGGCAATTATTATGGATTATTTAATTCCGAAATGACGTCAGCGGCTGCTGTATTTTTTTCCAGAATCCCCGTCGCCAATTGTTATGACTCGTATAACAATCGTTATTGTATATGAAACGTGCAATGATACAGAAAATACGTACGAGCAGTCTTGATTGCTATTCGGTCCTTCCTAACTGCCTAGCCCAGCCAGTTGAGTCCAGAACACAAATAACAGCCTCGGAAATATGAATCATTATTCACAAGCACACTGGGTTATATATACTAACCAAACAGACCCAATTATACCAAAAAATAGAAAAATAACATTTGTACAGTAATTGGCCAATGTGGCTGTAGCTAGGGGGAAAGTAATCAATAATAATAGTTCCAAGGTCAAAACAAAGGTTGTGATAAGAGGAACACGGAAACGACTAGGTCACTTATTTAACAACTATCCAATAGGGAATGGGCATATTGTATTTGTCCATAAATAGACCTCAGATTTAAGTCACTTATTTAACAACTATCCAATAGGGAATGGGCATATTGTATTTGTCCATAAATAGACCTCAGATTTAAGTCACTTATTTAACAACTATCCAATAGGAATAGGCGTATTACATTTGTCCATAAATGGACATCAGATTTATGATTCATAATTCGCCAGGGGATACAACAGGTGCTGGTCGCGAGGTGTGACTTCAGCGTTAGTTGGTTCGTCACCATTCTCGTTTAACTCTAGTAGGCCCCCAATCATTTCGACATAGAACATCAACGTTGATGTTCTTACAATACACATATTGAATAAAATAGATAATGCTTCCGTTGTAGCACCAGAGCGAATAAGTGAATGTTAACATGAACTGTTGCTCACTAAATGTGGTCTGCATTCTTACGTGCCTATGACACCAGTGGTGTTGGCTCAGCAAGTTGATGCTTCCATGTTAGCTTACTGTTATGACATAATTTACGCAATAATTATCCCCAATTTAGCTTCACCGAAACTGCAAGAACGTGAATACAGGTTGTTATTTCCTGATAACACCTAACCAGTCAACCTGAGCACGCCTTATAAATGGGGATCTGGGCTGATAAAATGATGAAAATAGACACAATAAAACAACGACTTCTGAATAGGTGCAGCGCCATCCATTAAATAATGTGTTGGTGGGGTACTAAATATCTACGCTCTGTGTAACAATCAGGAGTTTGCTACTTTTGAACTTAAGCCATCTTAATGTTAAAAAACAAGTGTAGTGGTTCTAGATCAAGACACATCTGAACTTGTATACAATCATCATGTCAGTTGTGTAGTGAAACCACTGATATCTAGCACTTGAATCATAGACTTTCCAACCCTATCCTCCTCCACTAAATAATATTGTGTCCCTAAGTCGCAATGTTAAGGCCAATTTGACGTTCCCAATTCGCATTATCTTCTTCTATATTACTCTTTGATTATTATATGTGAGTATTTGTGGATAAACATTGACATGTAATTTGAGGCCTTCTATCATGTTAATTTGACTTGTATGAAAATTATGATACATATTCTTTTTGTTATTCGTATTAGAATAAACAGATAATTATGCATTGATATGCGTGATTAACACATATGATTCATCTAGACTTCATTCACCTGCGAAACAATCGAACGGAGAACATGTATCTATCTCATACTCATTTGCATAATCTTGGACTTGATTTGGATTTTCTGCCTGTGCAAACATCATATCTGGAAAAAATGATTACCTCAGGAAAACTTATCATTCCCTCTGGTTCATCATACCACTGACGAGGGATTCTACTCGACACATACTGGTTTGCAGAATATACAACATCTGATACAATAACATCAGAGATGTGACAAGAATTCGACTCATTCGGAACATATTTGTCACATTCATATGTCTAGAGGTAAATCCATCATGAGGAAAAATGACATTTGATATGATATCAGAATTTGATTTTTCTGAAATATTTCCCTCAAATTTATTCAAAGTTTCATTAGAGATTATTGAGTCATTAGGAAAGTCAACATCTATCAAAACTAATTCCGGTTTTTGATCATGATTTGACTCATTCGACACATTATTCTCAGAGTTGTAGGAAGTTTCATCAGCAATATGTGAATCATTATGACAATAATTATTGTACAATAACATGAGAAATCTGATAAGAATTCGGTCGACTGGAGACTTTATCTCGCAATGATTCTGAGTTTCCTTCAACTCTGAACTGCTATGTGACATTTACCGCTTCTCGAAATTTTGGATAAAGATAACCCACCATTAGAAACATCCACCTTATTAGAATCACAAATCTTAGCATGAATTCAGCGAAATGAACTATGGTATTACAAACTGACTGAATGTGTCCAGTTTTACCACATTTAAAGCATTAAGCACTACGAAATACACATGAATTACATAGGTGAAACTTGCCACAGAACAAGCAATTACCAAAATTGTACTCATCTTCGTGAGCTGTTTCACAACTCAATGAATTGATATCTGAACAACCTTGATTACGTATAGGACTGCAACGACGTAGTGAAGTAGTAGAATTCCTGATGTTCTGGCGAGTCATTTCACCAAATTTTTCTTCTTTATTGAATTCGAAATTTGTATACTATAACTGGTCAAGTAGTAGTTGATTGAGAGTTGCATAAGGGCGTGAAATCGGCTTGTTTATAAGTGCCAAAATCTTAAGGTGTATGCTTCTTTCCACGTAATACTCAAAACCATTAAAATCTGGATGTATATCCAACCGCTTCATCACAGGCTTCATCGCGACGCCAATGTGATTTTTAAGAGTATTATAATTATAGTATAAACTAGTGATCCCAACAATAACGTAATTTAATCAAGAAGTATTAAATGGGAATGAACGAATGTACTGTATTCGGAATTCAAACACTACATATAGTCAATGAGTCAGTCAATTTAAGCATTTTCGCTAGTGAAATTTCGTTGCATTCTTTCCGCCTTGAGTATATCAGATAGGCGTTATTTGGAAAACAAAATTAAGGTCAGACTATATGTGATCAAGAATTTATAAGGACAGAGAGCTGATCAATAAATATGAAAGAATAGTGTACGGACGCAAGATTTGTGAGTAAGAAAACAAAATTCTCTAATGCTAATAAAGACTTTTTAAACTTGTAGAGCATGAGCTAGCAGCAACTCACAATAATTCAGAATATTATGGGCTTCTTATGATCGGCCATGGTTGAGCAGAATCCATAGGGTTAATAAGTTATCTGACTATCTGAAATTGAAATCAAAAAGGAATACGGGATTTCAGGGAAAGACACTATGAGACTTTAGACAATAGGGGAACTCTGAATTTGTATGTAAGTGTTAGGAGCATATGACCATCCCCGATAATGAATAATGGGATCGGTCAAGATATTCGGCGATCGAAAACAAAGTGACTGAGGGTTGGACGGCAGTTCTGATGATAGTTGTCAAAACTCTTTACAGTCTAAAGTACTGGGTTATTAGTTCTTTGAATTTTGTGATAATGTCACAGTTATAGGAAGGTATCAGCAGTCTTTGAACAATAAACTACACTCCACTGTAGAAAAACGTACAAATGATTGGTCTTTGATGTTTTACAGTTGGTAGGGTATATGCTTTGTTTTTAAGTATTTGATCAGGATTGTGAATTTTAATTGAGCGCTATTAGTCTGGTTAATACTTAATAACTATATACCCATATATTCTATTTCGTTAACGAGCTGTTTACTCAGTCAGCATTCAGTTATGATTAGTAAATCCAGTAAGAAATATATCACCTATTGCTAAACCAACAAAAAATTGAAACCTGCACTCACTGTGTCTGACGAATGAGTACTTGAAAAAGTCAACCCTTCATCTTCTGAACTCTTTGCTTCAGGCCTACAAATATTGCTACCGCTGCACGATTTTCTGTGTGACAACCCCTTCATCACTTCAAGCGATATGCTGATGTAAAGAGTATTTTACATAAGTACACTAAGAAGTCAACACAATTTACCCGTCAGCAAGATATACTAAAGCCAAATTTCAAAAACCAATAAGTCTAATACTTTACCTCATACACAGCAAAATGATGACCGCCAAAGTATGGACATCAGTCAGTGAAAAAATTTGACAAGTTAGCAACCTCGATACATTTATGGCCCCTGAATATTGAAGAAACCTCAAACAACTCATTAAGGATAAGTGCATCTTAAGGTTTGTAGCAGTAGAAGTAACGAAAAGAGTAATGTTCCCCTACAGTGTGATTGCGCTCATGCTTTTGAGCATGTGGTATGCTGAACAACAGCTGCTAAGCCATCAGCCATAGGAAAAAATCGGACAAGACAACAGGCACGCTTATGTTTAAAATTACATTACATTACAGGAGATTCACCAAAAACATGTAAGTCGGTCAAAACCTGACACGTTGCTAATGTCGTGTAAGTAGACGTGAAGCGCTAGGTTTCCATGGTTGAGTGACAGTAAATAAGCAACTATAGACATTTAAGAACTACCAATTCACTTCACAAACGCAATGCAAATTAGTTGACAGTTGACCATCGACTTTTCCATGGAATCATAAACGTATAAAATTCATTATTACAACACGTGGTTGCAGCTCCATTTCACAGCGCTTTCAAAAGAAATTTCGATCAACGAAGGGACTACCATTACCAGGTCACCCAACGTCTATCCTTTCCAAACTGAATTCGAGTGTTGTTATTCCTAAAGTTTATTGGTTGCATGTTGTGGCTAATGACTAAATCAGAAGTGAACTCAACAATTCCGCAACAACAAATAAGCAGTTGTCCCACGGTATGTGAACATCTTGTATTACTAATACTTCTTTAGAATGCAGAAATGCTGGTACATATGCGAGAGTTCATTGATTAATAAGCCTTTAACGAAGGTCCGTTCAAACAGCTCTTGTTGTTTAAGCTTACCTGCGTCTTCACAAAATATCTAGCATGATTGTAGGAGAAAGACCAGTCATTACTTTATTATTTACTTTCAAACGCATGTAAAATGAATTGCTTGTACACTTCCAAAAAGTTAAATATTTTGATAATTCCCGACTCATAAAAAACAAACTCAGTAGTAGAAGCTATTATTATGAATGATAATAATCACGAAGTCAAACAAAATTCAAAGAAAACAACATTATATACACCATTACAAATGTTGCAATTGTCGATAAGCATCGTACTTAGAATATGAAAACCATAAAACTGTGATAAAGCGCATTAAATGTAAAATCTTTCAAGTGATGAAACAAAAGAAAAAGTTATTTTACTAGTTGTCACACACAAGTGATCAGAAAAAAAGTATAAAAAAATAAAAAAAAACGAGAAAAATTTGCTTATTGGCTGATATGATAAACAAGTCACAAACAGGCTATATGATAAAGGACATATATCGTTTAATTTATTTTATTGGAGCCACTATGTTGACGAGATCTTAGTCCTCGAAACAATCGTGGACTAGGTACTGAATTAAACACGTTTGCTTTATACATACCAGGAGTTTCGTTATGGTGATGAAGTGTTGTAGAATTAGTTTTTAATGAAGGTTGAGAAATTACAGAAATAGGTTTAGTGTTTAAATTATCAACGTGATGTCGCGAAAACATGCTTTTAGCACGAGTCACTGATGATGTTCTTGAATGTGCACTTGTTGCACGATGTGAAGACACGGAAACGGTTTGTTGTCTCTGCCTCATACTAGGTGTTTGTGCAACATCATCAGTGTGTTTAAGAGTATTATTATTATTAGTTACATCATTAGGAGCGAGATCAGACGTTGAGTTTTGCGAATAACTATGATAAGTTTCTTGTGTAATAGGTGGAACATCAGAAAATTTTACACCACCTGATTTATTGACTACACCTCGATTCAATGATAAATTTGACTGATTGTGGTGCACTGAAAAGGAGTAGAAACAAAGTGATTAGTTTAATTAATAAGTTAACAATTTCAAACCATCAGAATTACACAGCTAAGCAAACGATATCAACAACAATAAGAATAACGAAGACGATGATGGCGACAACGATAAAGTACATGCAAAAAAACCACAAACCAAGAAACAACTCAAATTTACAGCAAAATGAAAGCAACAATAATCACAAATAGAATAGCAATTACAACAAAACAGTAAGAAAAATGACTAAATTGCTTCTAAACAAGTGTAAACTAACCAAACCCATGATAAATAAACAAAACAAGATGCAAGTGTATATGAAAAGTAGTTGGAAAAATAAACAGAATAACACTAAGCTAACAGAGACCACGATTACAACTACATTACATAATGATGAATAAGTATACCATTGACGAATACGAAATTGTGCACACTCACTAAATTTATTTAGAATAGAAGTATTTATGGAAGTAGAAGTTTAGCGTTTTACTTCATCATGCAGGCGAGTAATTAGTTGTTCCAATGACATAATCGAGCCTATAGATCAATAAGAAGTAATTGAAATATGCAGAGGAATTCAGTACATTTATGCTTGAACAGACAAAAATTGATAGTTACAATAATATCGATGGAAGGGAATTAATGATCATCATTAATACATGCATGCTGTTGGCAAGCAATCAACAGATATTTATTTAAATAAATGAAGCGACCTATTCAAGAATTTATGAAAAGTCTAAACACATTAAAATAAAGCAAAAAAACCTAGCCTGTACGAGAGTTGCATACACAAATAATTTAATTCTTACATAGGATGAAGCTAAACAGTTTCAACTAATGGGATAAACAGATGAAAAGAGGATGTTGTTACATTAAAATTTATATCAGTAAAAGCAAATGTATGAATTAAACAAAAGAGATAAAGGTAAATATTATGATTAGATGAAATGAACAAGAAATACTGATTGTCACTGTAAAATTTTTATTTATTTGTTCATTTAAACATATAAACATTGGTACAAGGAGGCAGAAATAGATATGCGCCACACAAATCACTTGACATATTTCATTTTATCAATTTGACTGGGGAAAAAACATTTTTCTACTTCCATGGTAACAGTTATATCCTAGTGAAGACACAAGTACAGGTAACTTCCGGGATCTAGTAATGGACCATCATTCTATATATACTTCTAGTGTATAACTATTCAGTGATTGAATTGTATATATTTATATTGATCTTATTAGAAGTTTCATTTTGATCTATAGATTATTATTATATGATTTACTGTTCCTAAATGATACTCAGTTTATTGACTACTGTCTCCCACGTTCACAGACACATTTGGCTTGATCTTTTACAAATATTATTGTCTATTTTATGGTGCGATGCGGTCTGTCTGCCTGGTATATATAAGCCAAGTATGTTTCAAATAAATGATTCGCATAGCAGAAGCTGCAATTGGTATCTGGACTCAACTGGAAGGGTACGAATAAGGACACTAGACTGCTCATACCCGTCGAAAGTCATTGATTTGGCACAGTGCTAAGAATGGACAAGTCGTATTCCGATTGAGGGATAAATCACGTGATAAAAAGCCGGACATAAGAACACAACAAATTGGAGACAGCCTATTGTTTAAATTCATAACAGTAACTTATAGTTAAATGCAAGTTGAACCCAAATTAATTTTAATGGAGATCCTTACATATATTAGATAATTTAATTCGGAATCAGGTTTACTTGTAAACATATATTCAAGTGACGTCTGATTTAATTTCAGCAAGTTGATACAGTTAAGAACGATGAATAAAGCTTTCTTGATACGACCCCATGAACAAATTTGAATAAGTGAAAACCCATTATGACCGAGTTAGAAAACATACTACTAATGAAAAACTAAATAATATACCGACTTCATCGTTTGGAAATAAGTATTAGTATAATAAATTCATCATATCTTCATGTCATTGCTTACGCTTGGATTAAGATCTAATGGATCGCAATACAAAGTAATTTATACGCAGTTCTACACAATAATCCATAAGCATATCAAACGTAAGGAGAAAAATAATCTTTTCATGAGGGCGTTTGATATAAAATTTCCATTGATTTTTGTTGGCATATGTTCAATTTAAGTCAAGTGCCTCGATAGGGACTTTCATTACAATTTTTGATGATATTAACATTGAGATACAAACTTATCAGAGCAATAAGTCTCTGACAGGATGAAATATGCATCATATGCTCTACTACCAGCCATAATCCATATATATATAATGGGAAGAAAGTGGAATACTGGGTTCAGTGCTATACGAAGTTGTGGATGTGAAAAATCCAAAACTAATTTTACAAAGTTTTCTAGATGACATCGATTTATGTTGAAGAATATTTTGAACCAGTGGTAAATTGTTAGTGCTCAAAATAAAACCATTAAGAAATTAACTGGCAAAATTTTGACAGCTTCAGAAAGTCTCAAATAAAAAGGAAATATTATATAGTTGAGATCATGGGTCAATTGAAGCTAGACCACCATGGAAAACCTGGAAGCACTGGACGGCCGTTTCGTCCTGTTGTGGAACTCCTCAGTGCGTATCCACGACCCCGCCTCGCGAGATTCGAACCCAGGACCTACCAGTCTCGCACCAGAGCACTTAACCGATTTCGTGGATTATTTGAGGTTAGACATTAACATCGTTGGATGCCGGCTCAATGGTCTATCGGTTAAGTGCTCTGGTGCGAGACGGATAGGTCCTGGGTTCGAATCTCGCGAGGCGGGATCGTGGATGCGCACTGTTGGGGAATTTCACAATAGGATGAAACGGCCGTCCAGTGCTTCCAGGTTTTCCATGGTGGTCTAGCTTCAATCGACTCATGATCTCAACACTATAAAATTATTAAAATCTCCACGAAAACCCTCTTCCAAAAATGAAATACCTTTAGTTGATACGATGAGAAACCCATTATGTTGATTAGTCATAATGAAGACTTTTTTTCTGTTTTGAAGACAATTAAAATTCCTGTTGAGATTTATTGTACAGTTTACATAAGATTATAATAACGTAACTACAGCAGATACTAATAAAATATTGTCCATGAACAGTTTTTACAACTGAACTAATATTAACATTAGGAATTCCTATACTATAAATTAGAACAAACAAGCAAGCAATATTGTCTTTAATAAGATCCTCATCAGCTTTTGCTATAATATACAGTAATATATTTATGCAATCTATATTATTATTATCATTAACTCTATAAACTGTCTTGACTGGTTTAATATTTTCATATATCCATGTATCATTGTATACTAGAATAAAGCCTGATGAAGATCTCGTTGAGGACAGTATCGTTAGCTTATATACGAAGAAATGTTTATATGGTCATCTATTAATACAGAAAGAGATAGGCTTATACACATAAAAACTATCATTTTTAAGAAACAATGGAAGTAAACATAATTCAACAATACATAAACAGAAATATAGATTACCATGGAGACATTGGACGCGTAGGCAAAGAAATAAAAGATAATTACTGTAATTATTATAAAAGTACAAAAAAAAGTTACCACTTTTTGAATTTGGCAAAAGTATCGATGCAGCGTATTCTTCAAAGCAGGTTGACAATGTATGCTTGGATATTATTTGCCGTAGACTTGAAGCACGATCTTCATATCTTTATTTTTTTTTTTAAGAAAGAAATTGAAACATTACTGAGTTAAGATAGAAGCATTGTATCCAGAAACAATCCTGACGAATATATATATGCTACAATTGTAAGTAGTATTTACCAGTGAAAAGTAAGGTGGGCTAGTATAGGACTTCTTGGTAGTGCACATTTACGTCATTACATGGCTGCTGCATTATATCGAAAATTATTCGAAATTGGGTGATAAATGGCAAATTCAAAGATAAGTTAGACGTGCACCTGTGATAGTGATAATTTATAACTTCAATTCTTGGTCTAAATAGTTATATATCAAACAACCGGTTTCGAGAAATCCCTAATAAAGAAGTTTATAGACTACTCCATACTAGATCATTTGGAGGTATCAGTTGCGATGAGAAAAAAATGAAGGAGTCATTTAAACGGTTGAGATAATGAAACATTAATTTACTGTATCCCATTAATTAAGCGTTCAAGATCAAAGAAAAAAACATAATGTACAGTTGGAGGCGATACCCTTAACGTAATGATAGAAGGGACTTTAAAATGATATAATTAATTACAAAATCATCAAGAAAGGATACGGATGACGATATCCCGGTTTGATAGCTTGAACAGCACGACTAGCATTAATAGCTGTAGCACGAACTAGACCTGGTAGAACATTGGCAGTTAAAATAGCATTCTCCACAATTGGTCCAAATAAACCAACCTTTATTGATTCGGAAAGGAAAACATAGAAGGGTATTTCTTAAACACCATATATTTAATGTAATATATATATATATATATATATATATATATATATATATCATGATAAAGAAAAGAAATGCAAACATGAAAAGAACAGGAATTAAAGTCATTTGGAAATTATATTGAAGTTAATCTTACAAGTGAGTCAAATGAGAAAAAACGATGTAGAACATAAGTTTATTCCATACCTACTTCCTTTTACATAAATAAAACTTTTGATAAAACAACTGTCGTGATATGCAGTTGTACAAGCTTATCCTACAGCTTATTCAAGAAAAGATAAGGTTGTACGGGTAACAGTGATATTCGATGAAAGGAATATATTGATTTTTATTTGCAATATTATGAAGCTACAACTCATCTTCTGACAACCATAGCAAAAGCTAATAGAGGTAGATAGAATGTCTGACCAACGTGTAAGACCGAGAAAACCATTCAAATAGCGCAGGACATAAGAAACCGAAAATAGAAAAATGATAAACGGGAAATGCAAAATAATCTAATTTATTTGACGAACCTGGGCTTCACGTCGTACTTCGACTTTAAACAATCCATTAAGTAAGGGTGAAATAATGATTAATACATCGCCGAATTGTGTACGCAGTATACTTCGTCTAAAAGCGCGTGAATTCTCATTCCATATAATCATAATTTCATCGTTTCCCAAATGTTTATACTAGCAGCATTAGAAAAAAGAATTCATTAATTTTGAAAAACATAGAGCTATGAAGGAGTCATTCAACTATAAAAATGATATATAAATTTGTTTATTAGGTTTAGACTATGTGAGATGATGTATCAGAAACTAGAAATTTCGCAGAAAAGAAACGATGCAATATAAAATATTTAGCGTTATTTAGAAAGCTAGTCGACAATTTTACTCGTATGATATAATAGGAACTTAGTTGTATCACCAAATTAATTACGATGACTGTGTTGAAGTGTGAAATCTTATACAATAATTCGTATTTTATCTTCAAGAGATGTATTCCTAGATAAGTGATAATTAACAAAAAGAAGTACAAACCTGAAGTGTTTATGCGTTTTATCAAGAAAGGGATATGAAAAGGTAATGTTCCAAATGGATGATGTACTGTGTTACAATGGTGGAAAGGTACAAATATCAAATCCACCATCAGATCAAACAATACAATAATCAGTCATCAGGTATTCAGAAATAACGATTTTATCACATTAAATGAGATAAGCAGTGAAAAAGTACCCTATACAACGATTATTAAACATCATTAGATGTGGAGTAAATAACTAATCCGAGCAGTGATTATAGACCGTGAAGTTTTATTACTGATGTAACCATGTTCAGTAAATTAGTTCAAAGAGTCAAACAGCCCATTTGAAATAACTATTTGTTTACTGCATAGATATACCTTAGATACAGAACAGATAGGTTTTGGTTAGCAGTAGAATTCAAGACGACCGTTTCGCGCCAGGAAGGACTCATAAGGAAGTTGATATTTATGTGGAGACTGGAAATCAAGTATCGATGAATATATGGTACTATCTTTATATTATCTTGGAAAGTACTGAAATGTACGAACAAGTCAAGTCCACACGGAATATATGTATTTATTAAGAGCAAACATGGATTGTTGCATCTGTTGTGTGTTTCGCAACCCAAGATGGTTGTAGACTGTTTCCTATAGCTTCTCTTCTGATCTCATAAGCACTGCGAACTCGCAGTGGTTTTGGTTTCCTGACTAGCCTGTATTCGGCTGTTGACTGCAAAAACTCCCATGTGACGCTCTGCTATATGTTACTTACAAACAATCTTTTGAGTGGCACCCACCACTGTACTTGTGGTTTTATTTTCTATTATTTATAACTTTATTTTGTTCGTATGCAATAAACATGGAAAGTTTGAAAACTTAGTCCACATAGGGGTTGAAGATAGTCATAAGAAGAGTTGGTGACGAAGCATTTGGTCGTTAGTGGTGAATCAATTTCATGTATATGTTTAAGTTTATTACTCTTCAGTAAATTGAACCGATTCTACATGAAACAAATATTTTGCTTTCCGTTAAACTGATCATTTATTGTCTATATCTACCAAGCAAATGTTTTCTAAAAGTCATGGAAAAGATAACACACAAGTTTGAATGAATTGACCAGTAAATAAACTAAACAGATCGACAGAGTAGAAATATGACCAAAGGAATTAAAAACAACCGAACCTTTAAATCTTCTTGAGTAGATGAAGGCATTCTTGTTGAAACATGGAAAATAACTTCTAAAGTTGATGTTGCATAATATGGTGTGGATAGACCAGCACGTCCACTACATTCTAACCCACCACGAAATCCTTTGTGCTTAAGTAAATCAACCTCCCAGCCAAGACCAGCTACAAAATTTTCAAATTCTAAACTTGCTGTTTGATTTGATAAAATGGACTGTTTATCCTCTTGTCCTGCTCCAACATAGAATATAGCAAGTTTATGGGTTTCACGCCTGAAATAATAACATTAGAAATATAATTATAGACACATATATGGTTACATACATATAGCCTTATGTAATTTCATAACCTATTAGAATGAATATGCAATAACGAGAAGAAAGTGTTTAAAATCAACGTCTGCTCAGACTAAAAACTACTAACAAGAAGTAAGAAGGAATTCAGGATGCGTATTTTATTTAGGTGGCTTATTGACTGCATCCAAGTTTTAGTGTTTAAACTGAGATACACTGAGTATCTAGATTTGAATGCTAGCCACTACTAACTAACATTAATAAAAACTTGTGACTAAATAAATATTATTGAAGCAATACGCTCAGGATATCTGTATGTGAATCAAAAACTGATCAATTGTAGCCCTTAGCACATTAACACCGGGTAAGTACAAAAACCTCATACATCTGAAAACGATGTTGTTAGTATTTTTGTGCTAAATGATCATTTCTTTATATATTATTCAGCGTTTAATTCGAATTCCAATTGTGTTCCACAAGTTCTATTTGATAATTCTAGGAATTCCTGGTTAGTATATCAATTTAAATAGCTTATCTATCAGTGATAAAATATTTTCAATTTCACGATTTAGAGTGAACAACACACGATATCATCATCAGCTGATGACCGAAAACTATAGATTCTGTGATCATGAAACACCGGGAAATATACAATGATGCATTGTATTTAAAACTGAGATTATACCAGAACTGAGTAGTGACCAATCTCATGTTTGTCTAATGATTTGGCGCTGATCGAAATCGATCGATGAAATTTGCACTATAAAAATTAGTCTACGTGATTTAACATTGGGATTACTATTTTGAGATGTTGGTTTGGTTGGCAGTAGCCAAAACAAAGCATTTGACCGAGGTTTCATATTAGTTGGCACCGGTTAGCAAGTCGTACCTGTCATCTGAAGGGGAGATTGATACTCGATGTGCTATTGCAACTTGTATCATCTATCATCACAGTAAAGAAAAAAAAATTTTAAAACATTTTCCAATGAAATTTTTTTAAAGATATTTAAAAATTTTAAATGAACTAACGATCCAAGATTATCCAAATGTTTCAATTCACGTATAAGAGCTGGAGATATTTGTAATAATTCAACGGTAGGTCTATGCTTCCAAGATAAATAACCTAATTGATTTAATAAATGACGCGAATTGTAAAATTGTAAAGTATTTTGTTTCATTGATTCTAATTCTTGAACACTTATTTTTCTATCATTGATCAATGAACGTATTGTATACTTCAGAGAATTTCTAGAACCAGTTTTTGGTTGTGATATATGAGAGTTATATAATGATAATCTAGTGAAGTAAATGTAAAGAAAAGAAGAAAAATAAACCAAATATGAAATTAGCATTATAAATAAAATAGCAAATGTTTATAATAAACATGAAGAGTTTCCAATGAAGATGAGAGGGTCTACTCAGGTTTTTATTTAAAAAAGAACAGCATGTGAACAAAGATGATACGTGGAATAATCTAATTGATTAAATTAACTGTTCATAGATGGATTTTTCACACGGATATTGAAATGATATGAAATTTCTTTGGAGTAACTTATGATGGTATAATATATGTATATTCATCAGATAACAAGTATATTGTACAATAGAATGTTTTTGCATAATTTCATGAAATGTAAACAAAAAAATTAGGTAGATTATGCATATGTTTTAGAATTATTGTCAGGATCATGTGTAGGGTTTTAGACAGATACTTTAGTGAATAAGCTGTAAACGTTTATTGATTTAAGTGACTAAGATATGTTTTATTTGATGTCTGTAGTTATTGCCTAATTTGAAAAGCGGCTAATAATGGATTAACTACGCACTTCAATTAGAGTAATCTAGGGTGTGGACCTTAATTTTATTCCTTTCCTGTGAATTATATTTTTGTAGTGACTAATTTTTATTCTTAGAATTAGTATTTCGAAATGATCATTATTATTATTTGGTTAATTTATTATCTGTATATTAACGTGAACTGTGACAAGATGAGTGAATGGACATTTTTGCCAGTGTTCCTAGGTATTTTATGAATGACTGACAAACAATTTCAACCATAACTCTTTTTAGACGTTTTAGAATGAAACTCAAATAACATTTCTATACATGAAGAGTTACTGGAAGAATAATTATTAAATTCCATATTTCACACCATGAATTGACTATAGTTGAGCAATAATTGGAAACCAAGAACCACTGGACGGCAGAGTCATCTTGGTATGGGATTCCTCAGTCAGTGACAGCGTGAAACATGGTACATATGTAAATCAATTCATGTTGCCATAATCCATTGGCACAGAGAGATAAAAACGTCACGCCAAAACCCCAAAATAGTAGAGGTTGTAACAGTATCAGTGGTAATAGGAAAGATTGGGCATTGAAGATACGATTCGAGAAAATAGAAATTAGTGGAATAAAAACGACAAAAAATTACAACCTCAGAATTTGAAGGAAGACGAAGAACGAATGCACCTGGGCAATCTCAAACGATTTTCAGCTATTTCATTCATCTCTAACCGTTGGTTATGATAAACCCTAGCAAAAGGTAGTCTATACCTATTAACACGGCTCAGTTCGATTGTCAGTAATTTTGTGAACTGATGCCACGTTTTATTTTGGTCACAACCAGCTTTCTCCTACACCATAAAGCATCGACCGTCGAGGTAGGAGTTGGCGGACCATATATAACATGTCTCAACCACCTCAGTTGATGAAAACTTACAAACTCTCCAATCGAACTACTATACTTACCTAGTACTCTACTCCTGACATAGCCATTGCTTACTCAGTGGTCCAAAAATACATGACAGACACTTCAAAGGCACCTATGATCAAAACTGAGTAAACTAGGACTATCCTAATGGTCATGTTTCACACCCATAAGGTAGAACGTAGCGAACTGTTGTGCAGTAATTTCATCCTTTATTTAACAGTCAGCCCACGCCACAAGTAACGAGAATTGGTAAGAGTCAATCGAGACTTCTAAATTCGAGATTTCATTGCACACCAGATCATCGGGACTGATAAGACTTCCAAGATAAGTAAAGCAATTGATGCGTCCAACTACTTCAATCCATATCATTCATTCATCACATGACGCAAACCAGTCGCGAAGCGAGACTTTGAAATTAAAAGAGACAGAGCTGCATTCTGTTGGGGCGATCCTGAAAATTTCTTGTAACAGATATGACAAGCTCAGGAAACATTAAGACCCATTTTATCCAATACGCCTTTGACTAGACGTTTTGCTAGAAACATCACGAAAATGAAAAGTCACATGTAGAGTTTCTGATTAGCTGATTACTACACTGCTATTATGTTTAGTAGCATTGCAGAATTTTCAGGAAAACCCAAGGACTTCTAAAATACTATAAAAATCCTATATTTTCTGTACATAAATGAATCTTTGGAGTAAAGTGCTTCTTGTATACTTTGCGCCTTTCCTTTCGTGTTCAAATCGCTGTGTAATTCTAGCTTGAGGGTTACGAGACTAGCTTAGGATCCGGGTATAGCGTTCAATCAGCAAATACTTATCACACCCCAAACATGGTTGCATTATTTTTTAAGGTGGTCAAAAGACTGCATTTTGTTACCGTCTTAATCAAGCAAAACTTTTATTTTTAAACTTAAAGTCAACAAGTGAACGTCTTGGTAGAAAAACAACCCCTGAAAAGTCGGATGAGTGTTATCTCTAAAAGCCTGAATTCTTCACTACTGTAGTATCTCTTGAGGATTGAGCAGACGGCCCAATGATTCACATATCTAACTTCAATTAACTTAAAATACTACATAACTATCTTTCAACGATGTCAGTAATTGTATCGCATCAAGATGGTTGAATATATGCGAAAATTCCATAGCATAAGTTATTTAGCTGATATGCTTAATTGAGACCTAACTATATGTGAAATAAAAAACTTGACGATCGCATAACTTTTTGATACTATAGTTCGGTGAAATTTGTAAAATTAATTAAGAAAAAAAAAACATTAAACACATCATTTCCATACGTACACATCTATATCTGGTAACTTTCGATGAGTCACATTTTCATCTATTTGATATTGAGCAGTTATTTGATCACATGTCATTTTCTCCATATTCAAACAAGCTGTTTTTTCTTTGTCAGAAATATTTTTCAAATTTTCATATTCACATAACTTTGATGTGCACCAGTTAATTGAACATTCTGGACTAGTTATTGCCAAATCTCTTAGAACCTTATAAACACCGCAAACAAAAGGATAATGATAACGAAAACATTACACGGTATACATTTACTATAATAACGCGTTTCTAGTTTTTTCTTTTAATCATATGATTATTTATGTAATTTTAACGACACTTAAAACTTTGAACAAAGAAACAACAGCCGGATCTCATCATGAACTAATACCTTAAATAGAGAATGGAAATTCAAAAGTATATGACAGTTGTTTTTATTTTGTTTTGTATCATTTCAGTGGTGCATGATCATGACTATAGGTGGAACAATCTTGTTGTTTTATGTCTTTAAATCACTGGATCATTGATCTGAAAATTTACCATCTTCAATTTAATTGATTCAGCTAATTTCCTTCATTTCACCGTCACAAAATTTAAATAATTTTTATGCAAAAACTTATTGTGTGGATTTGTTTTTGTTATAATGAAAAGAAGTGTAGTTCTCATACACTACTAAAATAAAAAAGAATTATTATCTTAGCAGATTTGAAATCATTCTATTTCCAGTCAGATTGAGGCATTCACAACACATAGTCGTAATGAGTTGTGGTCAGTCAGTTTCAATAACTAAATCTGAACTCTTTTGAATTTAGGTGGTGTATTGAAAAGACAGCATACCACTTTTAACATATTTTAAGTATCTTTTATGTTGAGGACGTTAGATCCCTTGAACTCATTTGGAAAAGGTCTTAATTTTGTAATTTTATTCCGGAAATTTGAATTTTACGTTTTCGAGCCAAGAGGCGCTTAGTCGGTCAACAGTTTACATTCCCCACTCGGAAATCCCTGATTGTCATTAGTTGACAGAATTTTTAGGACGCTAATTTGTGGCTCTCTCAAAGGTGTTTCTATCAGTGTATAAATAAGCATGATCTGTGTACCTAGTGACCTCGTATTTCTGAGTGCTTATAGAATACATTCTCTACGCGTTCTTAAGACTTCTTGATCTTATTAGCAGGGTCGAGGACAACGGATTACAATAGTCTATCGTATCATTATGTCGTTGACCTACGTTCCGTTTACAGAGTAAGGTGAACTCGTAATAGCCCAAGCATATCAAATTACGGTTATAGAAAATTTAAACCCTTTTCCAGAACTGAACGGTACTTAATGTCCACTGATAGATAAAAACAGAAATTACCATATAATACTGACCAAGGTTGGAATATATTCTTTATGATAATAAATGGGCGTACAGATTGATGTCCCGAACCAATCGATGTTAGACAACATATAAAAACAGGAAGGACTGAATAGCTATTTTATCTAAGTATGAGATAATTCGACAGTGACCATTTGCGATATCGCGACCACAAATTGAGCCCAGGATTCTCAGTCTCGGGCGCGAACGCTTGACCTCTGGATCATTGAACTGAGGTCCAATGATGTACAAGTTGGACTTCAATAAATCTACGATATTGCGTGACCATTTTTCATTGCCTACGACAAGTACCTTCTTCACACACGACACGGTCTTGGGTTTGATTGCAGGTTGTGGATGCGCAGTGATGAGGAGTTCTGTACTTGGACGAAACAAACGTCTAACATTTACAGGTTTTCACTGGTTTTGGTTCGTAATTTCAATGATATCTTTACGATTCAAATATCTTACATAATAAAGTGATATGTTAGTAGCACTTATTTTGAAGAAAAAAAGACTAAATTGAAAAGCTATATTAATGCAAATGACAAAACAATTTGTAAACACTTTTTCGAGTGAAATGGAAAAACGGTCGTATACAGGAGAAACAGTTTACAATGAAATCATTAACCGATCCAAGTTGGACGAACATCGAGAACCTGAAAGCAGTTAACGGCCGTTTTATCCTGGTATAGGACCCTTCAGAGATGCACATCCACGATTCCGGGCCAAAGATTGGTCGCCAACGCGACCGCTTAACCTCGAGATCAATGAGATGGCATCTAACGGTACTAATTACTAACTTCAAACAATCCATGACATTAAGAGACCATCTTCCATTGTCTGTGGTGGATAACCTGCCACACACCTAGATTCAATCAAATCCAACAATCTCTACAATCTCATATTAAGAAGAAACAGTTTTGATAAGTATTACAAACTTACGCCACTTAACCGATCAAGTTGATCAATTGTATTTGATGCTAAACTGTTAGTTATAAATGGAGGCGGATTTACTCTTGGAGGAGGACATGGTGGTGGATCGCGTGTGATCAAGTGTGAATTAGAATCATCAGAATCAACCAATCGTAAATTAGTATTTGTAAGTTCATTCAATTGTTGATTTTCCTGTTTTTCTTTCATATCAACTAGACTAGCATATAAATAAGAAACATCCCAACTATATTTACCAGATAGATCACGTGTAATAATTCTTGTATAAAATTTATCTGAATGAAAAATAATATAAGAATATGATACAGTAAAATATTTGAGAAGTACGTACATGTTGGTATACATATAAAAACAGAAAACAATTCATAATAGTTCCGAATTAAAATAAAAACTAATCGAATTAGTAAACCAACAAAATCACTATAAAGATGAAGTGTCAACTGAAAAATCATAATCTGAAAATGTAAGAAATGTAAAACTTATTTATAACCTACTGAGGAATGAAAGAGTAGTCTTACATCCGAAGAATCGTTCCTCTTTAAAACATACAATCCTATAATTAGTTGATTTTAGAAGCGTTCCTATAATGGAGTTTACGGGGGATCGTAAAACCCTCATAGCTCCTACGATGAACAAATGCTAGCTAGACAGTCTTTGAAAACCAGGAAGCACTACACAGCTGTTTTGTTCTAGTGTGGGACTACTCAACAATGTGCATTCATGACCCCACCCACAGTTAGACCTACGACCTTTGATCTTGCATGCGAGCGCACCACGTTTATACAATTGAGTTGGCATCCAATGGTGTGATACAATCATCTGACATAGACAATGACAAACGGTTGAGCAATATCGCGAATTAACTGTCGTCAGACATGTACAACACTGGATTCTGGTTCAGTGGTCTAGAACTTCGGAGTTAGCACGCAAGAACAAAGGTCCTGGATTCGATCCCCTGTTGTGGGGTCGTGGAGATGGACTGTCGAGTCACATACTAGGGTGAAACAACTATCAAACATTTCCAGGTTTTCAATAGTTATTTAACTAAGATCAATCTGTGATGTGAATTACGAAAATATCATTGCAGTTTAAACTAGCTATTACACATGAAATAGGCACTAAGTGAAATAAAACACAGTACTTATCAAATACAGTAAATTTTAAGTATGTAATTAGTTGAAAGGGTACAATAACAATGAACAGGACGCATTTCGTAAAAGGGATCGATAACGACTACATTCAATCCTAAAATATTCCTGAAGTTTCAACACGCTACAGGGATATCAGCAGAAGGTAACGTTTAGTTTGTAGCTACAAAAATTATTACCTAACAAAATCGAAACTTGAATTACATTTTTCACGGACCCAAATTAACACTGGTAAAAGCGATTAATCATTTGCCCTAACAGAATCAGTATAACGAAAAATCGGACTTACTAGAGCTCTCTGAGGAGTAAAGTACATAAACCATTGACTCATCAGCAAAAACTGTTAAGCTAATTTATATTACTATAAGATTAAAATATTTAATGCCTAATAAATAATAACAACCGGAAGCAAGTTAGGTGTTTAAAGGATTAAACGTAATTGGTCGGAAACCTTACGTTTAGATTCAATGCTTGTTGGCACTGATCAGCAACAGATAAGCTTTTATATGGGATTCAAACATCGATAATAGTTTCACAGTCAGAGATACTAACTACAAGCTACATAGGCCATAATATCATGTCATTTAGAGTAGTTACAAAAATCCCTAATCACTAGAGAGGATAATGATAATGATAATGATAATAATAATAATAATAATAACGATCATACTAGTTACTGCTTTCTGATGAAACAGTGCGAATGATTAACTGGTATCAAATAAGTTAACGAACACATTAATAACAAACAGTCGGATAAACTCAAAATGTATACCTGTTATCAAACTAGACTTTGATGAATCCACCTCGACATCTTTAGAATTTAAATATGATAATGGTAGATAAGAATATGTGGAATTATTGAATTCGACTACTTGTAGTTCAGTATTGTCCTTATCACTACTAACTGTAGTAGATGACACGTTATCATTGATATTTTTCAATTGGACAGGAAGTTTCACAATGGGTAGTGATAGGAATGTCAAAATAATTGAACGATCTAACACAAATATTTGTAAATTATTTTGTTCAAAAATCTCCGCTGTTAATTCGGATAAATCATCCATATTACTATGGTTGTTAGTAGTGAATTGTTTTTGAGCAGATGATATACTATGAGCTAACTGATCATGACGCTCTTGTATGGATGTATTCAGTTGTACACATTGTTTCGACTGAAAAAAGTACATATGTATGTATATATTTTTTCCAAATATTTACATAATGACAAACGTTAGAAAATACTAATGACTGATTCAGTAAACAAAAAAAATGTTTGAAATACGTATATTCAAGCAACAGACTCAATAAATCCCAATGAACTTTGGATGAGGACGAGAATGACTCAGTGACTAATCTAATTCATACAAAACATGCATTCATATTAATTTTGAAGACCAAAGTTTTTTGTTATACGTAGGAAGTCACGTCACCGACTACTCTTACGATGACATCAGCTACTTAAGTAGATCCCAAATATCAAAACTTCCTCATGTAGACTGGGTTTATAATCTTATCCTAGAAGTGTTCAGACACCTGAAGACGATTTTGTTTTATAAGCAGCATTTGTTAATAAGCAACGCGAGAGTTTTAAGTTGCGTTCACACTATTTATTGGAACTGTGGAGCATGACGACTCAACGTTTACGTAAGTATTTAGCCATTAATGCTAATGATCGTCAATCAGAAATAGACTAATGAGAAGGTCAATCGATGGCAAACAGAAGTGACTTAAAGGACAGGTGCATCTCAGTCGATAAGAAATCGATCAATCTCCCACGGATTAGAGCGGAATATATATATATATATATATATATATATATATATATATATACATGAGTATTTGTGCATTTTATTAGGTAGTCCAATACACTTTTTCGCTCAAACAGTCAGTTGGGGGGGTAGCACGTAGCACGTCGTGGTATCAGTGTCAGGTTTTGGACACCGCATTTCACAATAGAACTATATGGATATTACCATTTGCTGATTTGATTTAAAGTTTGAAACGTATTGAATCTACTAAGCATAACAACGTGATCAGTGAATAGAAGGCAGAACCATACTTGATTATCATGAGAGTATGAAAGCGACAAAAAAGATCGAAATAATGAGGTAGGAATAATAAACAGGAAGGCCAAACCGCAGGGTTCATTTGGAAAAAAAAGCAGAACAATATGTATGAAACGACACTGCAATTCAAGATTGAGGGGAAGATAAAGAGTGAATGAATTTGCACCAATGTGAACGATTCTAATATACATTGGCTTTCGAGGTTCGCAGTAGTTAGGCACATTTTACACACGTTAAAATAACTTTGGTCTATGAAGATGCAGTACTTAGTTAGCCGATTCTTCACCTTTGATAAATAACCTAGGTCTAATTTTAACATTGTTAATTCAGTCATTCCACGAAACACCAGTGATGTTTTGAAGACATCCTTGATCAAAAACCTTTAGCTTACGCATGTCTTCTACTTCCATAGACCACATTTCACAACCGTAAAGTAGATCAAAGCGAACTGTTGAGCAGTATACACGCCTTTTGGTTGAGACGGGCATCTAGTCTATGGCACAAGCGTAACAAGTTAACAAATCCCAACCGGGCTTTCTGAATTTGTGCGGAAATTTCGCCAAACGCTACTCCAGAATTCTTAATGTGAATTAAACTAAAACTGACAGCACTCTGGTAATAAATAAGAATTCTACCTGGAAACATGTGAATTCGATTCCGATAATAGCTATTAACTTGTAGTGTTGGTAAGACCTGAACATCGTGATAATCGAATCGGGACATATTAGGGCCGGCAGTTGTTTCTTCAGGATAAATCGTGCACGAAAGGTTGGTTAGAGAAGGTTAAGACTAAAGGCAGTAAACTCATCATCAGAACCAAGTCGTAGGGCCAAATGTACAGGGAGGTGACAAGACTAAGGTGTTTCTTCCAGACAATCAATATGTTTATCGATGTTGTTTTCGCATACCCTACTTTATCTTTATTTTACTAATTTGATCCAGCTCGTTAAATGCAAGGGATAAATACAAACTTAATGAGTAGAGTATATAAATACACTATAATTGTCCTCATTGTTTATTTTAATCACGTGAATCTAATGCTTAGAAAGTATATGATAAGGCTTAGGCAAAAATAAGTTCATAATTTACTGAGATCCATCCGGCCACCACAAAACCCATTACAAAGTATCTGATAGACAGAAAACCTACCATTGGAAACTGGTCTAAATGATTGAGTAAATGACTCATTGCCATTTGTGCTGCCAGTCGTACTGATTCCACTGTACGATTCATATCATCATTATAATGATATGGAATCATAGTATTCTCAGCGTTAGTTACAATCCAAGACTTTGCTGTCATTGTAGATAGATCTAGGTCAGATTTTGGAGCCTATGAAAATCAATAAATAGACATATATCGATGCTACTCAAAAGTTAAATATCATGAAGAAATGAGGTAATAAAGTTGAAAAATAACAGGACCACTAAATTGAAAAGTAGGATATTAAAATATTCTAAAAATTAAGTCAACAATGCAGGATAAAAAAGTCGAGGATGAAATAAGTAAAATATTGTCAGGTTTATATCTTTTTTTTTCATAGTTGAAATCATGAGTCAATTGAAGTTAGACTACCATAGAAAACCTGGAAGCACTGGGACTCCATAGCAGTGCTCATCCACTATCTTTTAAATAGAAAAAAAAACTTTTTGATATTACTAATATAATCAAGTTACATGACTTTTATTGAGCAAAAAGAATGTTCCCTACAAGACAAAAATTTTATGACGTACAAGTAAACTACTAAAATTAGAACACAAAGAAAAACTGCTGTGTAATTGATTTATCAACAAATATGCCATACAGAACATTTTAACTGGAAAAAAAACAGAAAGAGTGAAAATCATATGACAATTGAAATATAATTTAACTAGCTTATAAATCATTTTTATAACCTTAATCCGGAGAATTGAGAATATACATTTTCTTCATAATATACAAACAATGATAATGATGCAAGGCAGAGCTTAGGAACAATTAATACCTTGAAGGAGAACTAGTATATTCTGATCAGGAATGAATAATGCATAGAAAATGTGATTCACAAAATCAGTTGAACGTGAAAGCAAATAGAACTTCGGAAATATCATTAGTAAATTAATACACATTACGATATCCATATATGTCAGGTTCTATTCTGGATAGGACTCACTGTCTAATTATAAAGTTTTATTAAACATAAAATCTATCAAATATCAGTTTTAGAAACAATATCCGTGGTGTACAAACGATCCATTACAACATTTGATTTTCAAATGTCTTCATTTAAGTTATACAAATTGTTGGTGTTTGGTGCAAAATGTGAAAATCTTCAAGTCTTTTGACGGTATATATATAGTCTTAGAGGAATGTAGTTTATAGTCTTTTTTGATTTTGATGGAGTTTCATTCATTGAGTTGGATGGTGTAGTTGGGAAGCTTACATTGTTCCTACGAACAACATCATTAGTATAAACTTTAGGTAGGAGAGAAGTGTTCAAATACCTCAATATATGACTGACAGTTTGTCCTATTGGCCTTGATATAGGTTGGTTATTGTTGTCAAATCGAGAGGCAATCAAAATAAATTTGCAGACAATGACAAGTCAAATGTCAACAATAAACAACCAAGATCGAGATCGATAGGACAAGCTATCAGTTATATGTGGAGAAATTCGAATACCTCACTTCTACCTTAAGTTTATACTGATGATGAACAATGAAAATTTACCGATTAAACTATTCAGCTCAGTAAATCAAACTCTATTAAAATTATTCACCTGGGCAAAAAATATTCTCTATCTTTTGCAATAATTATACGAAGACGTTGATAATTAACAAATCTAGGATGAATTCAACTTCAACAGTGATAATATGAACTTTTTTTTAAAATTAAGGCATTACACACATAACGTTGAAGTATTTTAAAATTCATTCAATCATTTCAATTTAAAAGCTAATGCACTATAGAGTTATTAAACTGTACTGGGAGCATATAACATCAATAGAACCTGTTAAACTTATACATGCATACATTTTATATCATAGAAATAAAAGTAAACACAATGGTTTGATCAGTTGTACAATATGTAAAATATGCTTTAAAAACAAAATAGTGAAATATTATGATGAATAAACTGTCAAATTATCATAACTTACATTGAATAAATTAATATCAATTAACTGTTTACATCTATTAATGTATTCTCTTAAAGGATCTGTAAAGTTCATACTTGATAAAATTTTAGATTGAGGATAATTGGAATTTTGTACTGAAGTTTGTGAATTTGTATTATTCGATATAATAAAGCAGAACACTTCAATTATTATATCTAATAAATTCGATGCCGTTAATAGTTTTAATTCTGCTTTATTTTCAAAATTCTTCATTAATTGATCATACGGTATACGCATAGACCATTCGATAATTGATTGGATAAGACTATGAAAGAACTGTGAAAAAGTTAAATCACGGAAGAAATAAGTGGAAATATGATTAGTATGAAAATTCAATGAGAGTAATGTTTAATCAAAGAAAACAATAAAACATTGGAAGTTGGTTGCGCAATTTCGTGGATTGGTTGAGGTTAGACATTAACACCGTTGAATGCCAGCTTAGTGGTCTATCGGTTAAAGGCTCTGGCTCGAGACTGGTAGGTCCTGGGTTCGAATCTCGAGAGAGCGGGTTCGTGGATGCCCACTGCCGAGGGGTCCCATAATAGGACGAAACGGCCGTCCAGTGCTTCCAGGTTTTCCACGGTGGTCTAGCTTTAATTGACTCATGATCTTAACTATAAAATTACTAAATCTCCACAAAAAAAACCTTGTGAAAACAAAAACAATTGGGCTAGAAGAACAGTTAAACGTTTGAAGCAGAAGATAACACGTTCATCACACCAATCTCATATACCATGACAAAAAGTGATCAAACTTTTAAATCCTCATTAAAAGTAGTAATAGAACGAATTTTAAGAAAATAAGCAATATTCTACGGATTACTGATAGGTCTAATTCTAGAGGACATTTATTTAAAGCAAAGGCAGACGGTTAATACTGTAGTTCGACAAAATGGAGTTATAACATCCTTAAATTGACTGTATTGTTGGGAAACACTGGAATTTGGTAAAAGCCAGGTCCCTATTTATCCAACTGTAAGAATATTCGAATATAAGGAATCTTCTCACTAAATTCTTCCTACTTAACCATTAAGCAGTCAGTGTCTATAACGAACACTACTTAACTCAAAAACACATACTTTTTCGACCTTGGAACTATCCGTTATAATATCCTATACTATTTTATTCGGCATTTCAATCTGATTAGTCGATTTGCACCTCCTTGTATGCATGATTACATACCAGCATTATAAAGTCTCATATTTAGAAGTGAATGATTCTTAAGAAAATCCTTATTAATTATCCAGAGCGATAAAGCGGCGTTAACTAAAGAAAAATACCTTATAGTTTCACGTCACAAAATGATCTTAGTTAGATAACTATTGAAAACCAGAAAGCACTGAACGACTGTGACTACCAAAATTAATCAATGTCAGATGTAAGGCAGATATGCACCCATGGGATCGAGACATGGTTGCAAAATAACACCAATTGAATAAGGTTAGAAGACTAAATGTTTATATAGTTGTTTAGTGATCTGAAGGTTGCATGATCATCGCAAGACCTGAAAATTATAGGTTTGACCCTCAGTGGGATCGAAGATGAGTAGTACTGAGTCACATACCAGAACAAAACAGATCTCCATTTCGTTCTGATTTATAAAGGTAATCTAACTTAGATCAGTTCGTGATGTATACAAGAGTATTAAATAATCCCTATAAACCCCTATATGGGGAAGAAATGTTGTACAGTGAATATATATATATATATATATATATATATATATATATATATCTACTTGACTTACCTGTTTATCAGTTGATGACATACTGTCAAGATCCGTATTGTCCCATGTAGAATATAAAGTCCATGCAAGTGACTACATGAAATAGAAAAGAGAAACAGGTGACCATGTATAGTACTAATATTAGTAAATAAATACCACGTTACTAAGGCTTAAAAACAATCTACTAATTATAGCACACAAATGTAAAAACAACCATGTCACTTAATATTCATTATTTTGAGTAATTATTGAAAAGTGATATAATGCAAACAAATAAACCATTTTATTAATATTTACCAAAATAAAATTCAATACGATGAATGGAAACAACTAGTTACAATCGACGTTCGTATATATTTTCACTTTTTCAAAACGACTAAACTGTTAATCAAACTCACGAGACTTATGAATTTAAGGGTAAGTGATACTGCTTAGGATGTTCAGCATCATAATTTGAGTAAAAAGACACAAAAAAGTAGACTATGACAATTGAATTTTGATTTCCATGAGTTTCCGCTAGCTAGCATTTATTTTGGCATGACATATATATTAGTATAGTTATGGAAGAATATGAAGTGGTAACAATACTTAACCTATGATGTTCGATCATTTGATTAATGTAGTACACTGTATATGTACGATTTCGAGATTGATCACGGTCAATATTATGAACACATTTACTCATATGAAAACCAAGTCTCTTTATTTCCTACTTTAAAACGTAAGAGGCAAAAGAATTGAAAGCAAAAAATAACACCATTTACACGTTAAAATCATATAAAGCATAGGAAAGTTAAAACAATGAACTACTGTGTCAGATTTAGAGTTGTTACTATCAATGTAGTCATTAAATATTTATCCAGACAAACCAACTACAGAAAACGATGACATAAACTGTTTGAGCATTCTTCATTGAAGATACGATAATAAATTGGGCAAAACTTACCAACAACACTAGGGAGGGTAATTTCGCATCACGATATAACAGGAGATGACAGTATTCAGCGAGCGTATTGATCATCTCAACTGCAACGATAGATATGGCCCTATTTTTAAACCGCATCATTCCTAATAAAATTATGATGGATTCAAGAAACAAATCGTCCATTGATTTAAAATTGACGGATGGTCCAGTTTCTGGTTCTCTTGAGAATGAATTCACTAGTTCAATGACACAATAAATTGATAGACCAGTAATAGCCAGGCATCGAACCTCTCCAGATGGATCTGACAAGACAGCTTGTATTAAACTGTGAACCAAATTTGACTGGATTTAAAAAAAAGTCAGTAAAAAAAGGTCAATAGGGAAGTCCATTAGTTGTGGAGAACATGATTAGTTCATTGCAAAATGGACAGTATTGAGAACATTCATCCATAAGGTTAGCTGTACAGTCAGTAGAAATATAAGTTTTGTAGTGAACGCACATCAAACTCTTGGAGCATTCGTCTTGGCAAAAACAATAAACTAATGAGCACAAACACTATTCCCAGATCTTCCGATTACAGCAATAAATTAATGAAAATCAGAAACACAATAAATGTGTTATATATGTACAGATTACACATCCTAAATTCAGACAAGTGAACAATTATTCTAAGCTCAAAAGATAAAAGCCATGGATTGTATGAAATTTTGAAAACAAGTTATTTTGGACAGTGCATGCAGGAATATAGTGTACCAGTTCAGCATCGTAATTTATGGTCGATGCTCATGTGTACTAGTGTAATCTCAGTTTTAGTTAAAAAATTTATCGGAAAAACGATATCACATAAGACGTTAAAATCACTTATTTAGGCATAACATATACATTAGAACAGTTATGCAAGAATATAAAGTGGTAACAATACTTAATGAAATTCGATCATTTGATCAGTGGTAACAGATGCAAAATATAATTATGTGTATCTCAATAGTCTTCAACAGAATAATGATGGTAATTGAAAATCTGGCCGAAAATATAGACAAATACGCTCGAAAACACAAACGAATACCAGATCTAATTATTAATAAGCAGTGTAGAATCTAGTACATATGTATGTCAGTCAAAGTTATCACACCAGATCAGAATATCAATGACGATTTACAATCTTATCAACTAATTTACTATCTTTCTCAACTAGCCCATTCAACTCTCAGACCGCAGTTAACAAATAAATCAACCTAACTGGTAAAATGGGATTGCAATTTTTAATAGTCTCAAGAATTATTCTATCAGGCTTCATTTCTCTCTCTCTCTCGCTTAAGATTAGCTATAGGCTCATAAACTTCGTTACGAGTCGGAAGGAGGTTTATGTTAACCTATTACGCAGATCATCAGCTATAGTAATAACAGATCTAATGAAATAAAACCTATTGATTACTTAATATCACTCATTTATAAGTAAGTGTTTATAAAAAGGGCTTTACGTATATAAGTAAATGAAGAATTAAGAATAAATGTTAATTAATACAACAAGAATGTATAGAAAGCACAATAAGAAAAAGAAGTTGAATCACATGCATCAACCTCATTATCATCACCACTAACTCAATTGAACCAACTTAAAATAGTACTTTAACTACTACTGCTACTACAACTATGTGCATTAAATATTCTTCCCAATTTCACTGTTTTTAGTATAAAATCACAAGATATCGTAGCTTTGACCGTATTATAGTGGACTTATCTATTATTCTCTTATAAATATAGGTTATTTACAAGAATTATGTAAACTCTCTCCCTATATATATATATATATATATATATATATATATATATATATATATATATATATATATATTAGTTTGTTCCCTTGCCTGAATGTAATATATAATAAGTATAAGCAGTTAAAAAAAACTGGGGATACATACCTTTAAATCTATACACAAAATAGTTTTAGCTTTCATCGACATAGGATCAATTGATTCGAGATGATTAAAATGATAAGGATAACAAAGTAGAGATAATATAATGGATGTTGCTTCGGTACGTGGAATCTAGGTTAACAAAATAACAGAGAATCAGATGAAAATTATTAATATTAATAAACGAAAACAAACTTTTAGAAAAAGGTAAACTCATAACTCGTTCAAGATTCTAGAGAAGTTAATAAGAACATGAGGAGCCTGCTGTTATTAAGTGAGCTATTATTGTGGCCTCGGTAATCACATATATTTACTGATGTCAAAACCATTCCAGAATTATATGTATGCACGATTTCTTAGCAAATGCAGCCAGACTCCGCAATACAGATTCCCGTAAGTTTAGATTTTCCTTTTTCATCTCCATCTATTTCTCACTAATAATAGTCGATTGCTGAAGCATTTAGGGTGTGTGAATTAGCTAGTGAATGGGATTGGAAAATGACGATAGTTGATGAAATTACGTAAGTTGATGAGATAGTAAACACGCACAACATATTTACATTCTATTATTATTGAAGGTGGCACAGTTCTGCGACAACAAACTTAAAGTTGAGAAAAACCATCCTGAACCTTTTCCTAATAAATATACTTTTTTTCATCTCACTACGGTTACCAGATGGTTTCACTTTGTTGCGGAAATTTAGAGAGTTATGGCCACACTGTATTGAAGTCAATTTAGGACAATAAAAAAAAACCTTTCCACAAAGGCGAAATTATCATTCATAATTTGATAAAACGAATAAGAATCCGTGTATTCATAAAATTAGGTACTCACTTCTGTGCCAGAGTTAGGATTTGATAAAACAACATTGACATCGCTTAAGAAATCTAATATGAGTAAGTGTGTAGATGGAAGTGAAGACGCAAACAAACGCATATTACATGACCGGATAACTTCGAAGACATAATTCTAAAAACATGAGAGATAAAATATTTGTAAAACATAAAAATGCGTTTAGATTCACAAACGGATATAGTTTATAAACATACTAGGAGACGACCATTTCGACATTGTCACCAACAGTGCTTAGCTATAGTCCATATAATTGCTCATTTAATACACGTACAAATTACACCTTTTTTATAGCCCCTTTTATTCGTATCTTTTATTAGTTCGATCGCCTGATAGAAGAAAAGTGCCTAGAGATATAAAGAAGCTCAAACGAATTCGGGAAGAACATGCACAAATGAAATGATTTATTTGACAAATGACAGTGTGGAAAATAGCTATTTATAGAGCTTTGAACTAACTCCGCCTGTAGCTCCTCTGGGGGTTGCTGCCGGTCCCAAGCCCGGGTAAAGGAGGAGGGTTGGGCATCGGGTTAGCGACCCCATCCCGTAGAAAATCAACTCGCTTAAAAACGCTAACCAGAAAAAATCATTCAAACCATTCAAACTCTGCCCTGGGAGTAGAAGGAATAATTATGACGTCTCATGATGAAAGCCGAGTTCCTTCGGAAGTCATGAGGCCGATGCACCTTTTTACAACCAGAGCGACAATTTTTATAGGTACATGGAATGTCCAAACAATGTGGGAGACCGGAAGAGTCTTCCAAATTGCTGCAGAAATGAGAAAATACAACCTGGAGGTGCTTGGAATCAGTGAAACGCATTGGACGCAGGTTGGACAACAACGACTGTCTTCAGGAGAACTTCTGTTATACTCCGGTCATGAAGAAGAAAATGCCCCACATACACAAGGAGTTGCATTGTTGCTGTCCACAAAAGCACAAAATGCACTTATTAGATGGGAATCTCATGGACCAAGGATCATCAAAGCCTCCTTCAAAACAAAGAGAGAGGGCATTACAATGAACGTCATCCAATGCTATGCGCCGACCAACGACTACGATGAAGAAGCTGAAGACCAATTCTACGATAGGCTGCAGTCGATCTTCGAGAAGTGCCCAACCAAGCACCTGACAATTCTGATGGGAGATCTCAATGCTAAGGTTGGAATGGACAACACTGGATACGAAGATATCATGGAACAACATGGACTGGGAGAAAGGAACGAAAATGGTGAGAGATTTGCAAACCTATGTGCCTTCAATAAACTGGTCATAGGTGGCACCATATTCCCACACAAAAACATACACAAAGCCACTTGGATTTCACCGGATCACACTACACAGAATCAAATCGACCATATCTGCATCAACAAAAATTCAGGAGGACGATGGAGGATGTGAGAACCAGAAGAGGAACTGATATAGCATCCGATCATCATTTGCTGGTCGCCAAGATGAAACTAAAACTTAAGAAGCACTGGACAACGGCGCGGACAACATCACAAAAGTTTAATACGGCCTTTCTTTGAGATGCTGACAAACTCAACAAATTCAACATAGCCCTCAGCAACAGGTTCCAGGCCTTTCATGATCTACTCAATAGAGAGGGAACGACCATGGAGAGCAACTGGAAAGGTTTCAAGGAGGCAATCGTTTCAACATGTCAGGAGGTTCTGGGCCAAAAGAAGCACCATCACAAGGAATGGATCACTGTTGGTACACTGGATAAAATTGAAGAAAGAAGAAACAAGATGGCAGCAATCAATATCAGCCGAACAAGAGCGGAAAAAGCAAAGGCACAAGCCGAATACACAGAGGGAAACAAGCAAGTGAAGAGGAGCATCAGAACCGACAAACGTAAATATGTGGAAGATTTAGCGATGACAGCGGAAAAGGCTGCAAGAGAGGTAAACATGAGACAACTGTATGATACAACAAAGAAAGTTGCTGGAAATTACCGTAAGCCAGAACGACCAGTGAAAAGCAAGGAAGGCAAAGTAATCACCGACATTGAAGAACAACGAAACAGGTGGGTAGAACACTTCAAAGAACTCTTGAATCGACCAGCTCCACTGAACCCACCCAACATCGAAGCAGCACCCACGGACCTCCCAATCGATATTGGCCCACCAACAATTGAAGAGATCAGCATGGCCATTAGACAAGTCAAGAGTGGCAAAGCAGCGGGACCAGACAACATCCCGGCAGAGGCACTGAAAGCAAATGTAACAGCAAATGCCAAGATACTCCACATCCTCTTCAGTAAGATTTGGGACGAAGAACAAGTACCAACAGATTGGAAAAAAGGACTTCTTATCAAAATACCAAAGAAATGTGATCTTAGCAAGTGTGACAACTACAGAGGCATCACTCTTCTCTCAATACCAGGAAAAGTCTTCAACCGAGTATTGTTAAACAGGATGAAGGATTCCGTGGACGCCCAACTTCGAGATCAACAAGCTGGATTTCGTAAAGATAGATCGTGCACAGAACAAATCGCAACTCTACGTATCATTGTGGAACAATCAATCGAATGGAATTCATCACTCTACATCAACTTCATCGACTACGAGAAGGCATTTGATAGCGTGGATAGGACGACACTATGGAAGCTTCTTCGACACTACGGCGTGCCTGAGAAGATAGTCAATATCATACGGAACTCCTATGATGGACTAAACTGCCAAATCGTCCACGGAGGACAACTCACCGACTCGTTTGAAGTAAAGACTGGTGTTAGGCAAGGTTGCTTACTCTCACCCTTTCTCTTTCTCCTGGTCATCGACTGAATCATGAAAACGTCAACAACTGGAGGAAAGCACGGGATACAGTGGACAGGCAGGATGCAGCTTGACGATTTAGACTTCGCGGATGATCTGGCTCTTCTATCACAAACGCAACAACAAATGCAGGAGAAAACGACCAGTGTAGCAGCAGCCTCAGTAGCAGTAGGTCTCAATATAAACAAAGGGAAAAGCAAGACTCTCCGATACAACACAATATGCACCAATCAAATTACACTTGACGGAGAAGCTTTGGAGGATGTGGAAACCTTTACATATCTAGGCAGCATCATTGATGAACACGGTGGATCAGATGCAGATGTGAGGGCGAGGATCGGCAAAGCAAGAGCAGCATACTTACAGCTGAAAAACATCTGGAGAACAAACCAGAAATCAGGAAGAAGCGCTGGACACACATTGAGGAAATCACCCAACTGCGTCACGAGACAAGAACTCACATAGAATCCTGAAGGCCAAAGGAAGAGAGAAAGACCAAAGAACACATTACGCCGAGAAATAGAGACAGACATGAGAAGAATGAACAAGAACTGGATAGAATTAGAAAAGAAGGCCCAGGACAGAGTGGGTTGGAGAATGCTGGTCGGCGGCCTATGCTCCATTGGGAGTAACAGGCGTAAGTAAGTAAGTAAGTAAGTAAGTAAGTAAGTAAGTAAGTAAGTAAGAGCTTTGAACTAAGATTTGAAGAAATCAAGTGGTTGTACGAGTGATAAATTTCCTTCCAATTTCTGATAAATGTAAGGAAAATGACCTTTCACTCATTTTCTAAGTACCTATTCGCGTACATGGCCAACAAGACACACTATAAGTATGAGATCTACTACCTCACCATTCAAAATTCAAGTAGTCGAAGGGGGGCTTAGACTTTTATGACTCAGTGACAGAAATTCGAAGCTACCGCTATAAAGTTACGTGTTGCAGAGAACTAATCTTACAATTTACCATTCGTAGGTCGTTTTGAATATAATGGAAAAAAAATCGATAAATTGCTTTATCATGAATTCATATACAGTTTAAGTGAAACGTTTTATAGAACAACATCAGGTTTAAATCAAAATGAATAGTAATATTGTCAAACTGAATTACCTCTTGTTTTGTAACGCTTATTTGATGAATAAGATGGTAAAAATAAGCAATTAATTCCGGATCAGGACATCCATCATGAGAACGTACAACTATATCACATAGTGTACGCATAGCAATTTTTTTAGCTTCTATAAATTCTTCAGAAAGACTCATTGTCTAGGGAGAAAAAAGACCCGAAGGTAAATCACACATAACCAACCATAGAAAAAAAACACTAACAATGTATGACTTCAGAGTGAAATATATTCGTCAATAATTATTAATAACAATTATTATTGTCATTGAATAAGTTAAAAATAATTTTTAAAGAACGGATACGATTAGTAAACGACTGTATAAAATATAACTACATACTTAAACGTTCTTGCTATTGAGTAATAAAAAGTACCTAATCGTCTGATTCTTCCTATGCTCTTCTACAACTAACATTTAACATTCAAAACTGTTGTATTACCTTTAAAGTAACATTATATTATAATTCAACTAAGTTACAAGGCTTAGAATCGATCTCGATGACCCAAATGCATTCACTTCTAGTCTTACTGAGATGATGAGTTGGGGAATAGTCCCACAGATTTATTCTTTTTTTGGATCATACTGTTTATACCTGATGTTATAATTGTTTTGCTAATAAACGACCAAGCTACTCCTATTGCTTGATATTTTTATACAATGACACTCGACAAGACCCCGAAATCAGAACACGCTGAACAGGAAAGAAATTGTATTCAAGGGTAGGTGAACAGCAATCAAAGGTTAGAAAAACGTTCATATATTTATAGTATATGCATAAGAAGCTTCTAGATGCTTCTCCAATAATCTGCCAGAGCTGATTGGTCAGGAATTAGTCAATTAGCGTGCGCCATCACGATCATGCACATAACATGCCTTAATCCGGTTTATTTTCCGCTAACACTAGATATTCCTTTGCTACCAATGACATTATTGCTACTTCTAGTACTCTAGAATGTATTTTGATAACTTCGTTTAGTCGTGCTGATATGATGTGGGAACTTCGACCAATGTACATATTAGTCAGGTTCTACGTTGTCTATAACACACTAACTGACAATTGACTGACTGAGTAAGAAACTGTACGATATAACAGCTAGGTTGTATGACGTGTCCAGTTCAGGTATATAGCTTAGTATAGAATTTGACCTTATAAGATACTATGATAATACTTTTGTATTTAACGACTACACCAACTATAAAAAGAGAATATGTGAAATCAATACAAATAAACCAAATATAATAACACAAGCAATACAAAAGTTGAAACTGGGAAATATTTCCTAATACACTTACATTAAATAATATTGGTGCTATAAAATTCACAGGTGGCACAAATTGTGGAATTGGTTGTACACATGTTTCAGTTACAGAAGGGACACTTTGATATGCTCTAATTTTCAAAAGACATGAAGTCATTTCATTTAAATAGTTGAATATATCACTCATTGTTGTCGGATTAGTAATTTTATGAAGACTGCCTAGAATACCTAAAAATCGACGCCAACAAATAACAATAGATTCATGAGTCCATCCAAGAGCCGAACCACCAGCAAGAATACAGCGAGGTAGATCTGCTGTGTTAAGTTGATCATTTGATGTATTTGAAGGTAATTTTGAAGTCTCATTAGTAACTAATCAAAAGAGATAACGTAAGAAGTATGTATTTACGTTGGAATTCAAGACATTATTAAAAAAATCCTTTGTGTAAATTCTTAACTACGAATATATATATATATATATATATATATATATATTCTGAAAATAATAATTACAGAATATTATTAGTATAGGGTTGTGCAATCGTTGAGTTTCGTTGAAGTCATGAACCGAACAACGTTAGACTATAATAAAAAACCTAGAAGCACTGGATGGTTATTTCGTGCTGGCATTGAGCTCCTCAGCAGTGGACGTCTACGACCTTGCACGAGGGACTCGAACCTACGACCTTCGGTGACGCACGCGAATGATTAACCTCCAAACCATTGAGCTGGCAACCAACGGTGTTGATATCTAACTGCAACCAATGAACGATATTGCACGACGAAATGCCCGTCCAGTGCTTACAGCTTTTCATTAGTATTCGAACATTGATGGGTTCATAATTTCAGTAAAACAGTATTATTCGAGAGGGTATAAGCAAACACAATGAAGAGTCATAACTTACTGGAAACTTCTTGTGAAGGGGCAGCAGTCAATATATCTTTGCTATTTGGTTCTAAAGTGGAATGTTCACCACTTAGTATATCACATGATCTAGGAATATCTACAAGGTATTAAAACATGCATCAAAATATGCGATTCAAGATATACTTGAATGATATTTTTTAAAATGTTATGATTTATAACATAGAAAATCTTGGAAAACATGCATTGGAAAACAAACTTTTGTATGTTTTAATAAAAAAAGCGATGGCATTTAATGGAGAGAATATAGCAGATGTTGATTCTATACAACTGTATTAATTAGTACAGAACCACAGATTTATAATCTTTAACTTAATCCTGTACACAAAATAACCAACCAACTACAACAACAGTACATATGTATATTTGCAGAATTTCAAAACGACCTATGCAGGCAGATCGACAAAATACAACGCTTATCAGAATATAAGAAAACAAATAAATTATTAGGCAGCTGAATGGAAAGTAATGGGCTGTATGGTGTACCCAAAAATCCACAGAACTAAAAAACTTCATATCCTAACGCAATAATGAACAAATAATTCAACAAATAAGAAACTCATTTGATAGATTGCTAAAATAATTGAGTCTATAAGGAAAAAAGCTAGCTGCAGTTAAATGTAAGGGACACTGTTATAGTGATGAAAAATTTCTGAGCAAAGTATGTAGTCTCTCTGAAAACAAGGTCTTTATTTACAAATATTTTGCTATGAAAAGCTATTACAGTCAAAAATATTTATGTTGCCACTAAGATTGGTTATTTGGAGACCATTATCGAGCGACCACGAAACTCCGATTTGAAAGTCACCATTTCCAATGTAATGAAAAAACTACGATTTTAAAGAGAAATCGATTCCGGAAAATTATTTGACAATTTGTAAAAATTAAATGCTCATTTATTTAAATGATAGCTAACCAAACTAGAAACGGTAAACATTTAGAACCCATACAACAGTCAACAAGGATATTTTAAAAAAGATATTTATTATCTTTAGATTCAAGAGCATTGTGGTTTATTCCAAGCTAGGAATCAATCAATGTAATTACTAGTGTAAATTAAAAATATTTAAGAGAAACTTCATATTTTTTTCAACGCAAGTATACATTTATAAAACCATTGAACGAAAAAATTGAACTGAATTTAGATTTATCGAACTGTGAGTATTTCCTGGTTGTGGTGTTCTAGCTTGCATATGGTAATGACCAGGTTCAGCAAAGAATTTATGGTCTGGAGGCGAAGTATGTCATTTCCCTTAAACAACCAATGGGGCTCCCACAACGAAAATAGGGAGAGTTGACAAAGGTTGGGTATAAAAACAGTACACTTTACTTATCCACGCGTATCGCCGTCGGTAGGCCGTTATAAATATGAACACAACACAACTAAAAGTAATCATAAAAAAAATGTACATGACCGGCCATAAGCAGTTGTTTCTGGGGGCTGTGGTCATGTTATTAATTTGTCAAGACCACTCCGTAACTCGGTTTTCTCTTCAGTTCCCTCAAGAAGAACCTCCGTTCCATGAAGTAAGAAATGAAAACCACACTTGGCAATTTAGATGTAGGTGAATGATTAACATTCGCTACACTATGCACGACAGACTAGAAAATTCATAACTAAGTGAATTTAATTGTAGGGACTTGATTGTAGTTATCTTTTGGATAACAAGAAAATTTAAGCCGATGATGCTCATCATGAATGACAATTTGTTTTTTTAATTATTTGTAGTCAGCTTAAGAACACAGTTGAAATGTGATGCATTCAAACGCACATAACGCTTTGACGTAATACTAGAACTTAAAACATTTTGAAAATCTCAATTACGAGCGAACGATATAACATATAAATAACTAACATAGCATCAATCTAACCCACTTCAATCCCGCAATATTACTTAAAGAACATATCCTAAATAATATTAATCATCATACAAACAACAAACAATTATTTTTACTTACTTGAAGTACCTACATCAATATTTTCATCGAAATAAGTTCTCACTGGACTCTGAGGTGAATCGAGATCAAACTGTGCAAGACATAAACAGAAAACAAAAATTTATGCAACAATGATGAATGAATAAACTATTCATTACAAATGACAATGTATTGATCACAAAAATATTAATGATAGAAGTGAGATTTATTTGAGCTGTTCATCAATCACAACACTACTTTACACATTTAACAATCACATTACACTTTTTCTCACGAATATAAATTATACAAATATAAGTTAGCACACTGATTGAAAAGTACATCAGCTGACTTGAAATGAAACAATAAACAATGCAAATTGTTATACTAAGTTTTACATTACAACAACAATACATGTGTATTAAGCATGAGATGTTTAGTATAAGAAAAAGCAATAAAATACTTGAATCACACTACAGACTACACAGTAAAGACCAATCTTTGTTACTGTTATAAATTGAATGGAAGAGGTTAGTAATTATTTAAAATGAACAGAATAGTAATCAATACACTAAATATGATGCAATGCAACCTAGCAATTACAGGCGTAATGAAACGAAAAGACGACTACCATGCTTATATAAAATTTTTTAACGAAAACGGCTGAACAAAATTGAGTTTGGAGGTGGTTTATTCTCCAATGAATAAAAGCCTAATTTTTAAGATTCATCAACATTGAAAGTTTGAAGCATGAGTAAATCAGTAGTGATGAATATATATATATATATATATATATATATATATATATATATATACTCCGTTTACTCTTATTACTACTTTACTATCACTGTTGTTAATGTTGTTACCAAACGTACTACTTAGGACATCAGCTGCTTATAATATGAATGAGAATAAATCAAAATAATATTAGGTTATTATTTGATTGTACTCTTTAAATATCGTCGAACTCCAATAAAAAGCTTTCTAAATGGACTGAGATCAACAAATAAGTAAATGAGAAATGAAGAGTAGTCGAATTCAGTACTGAAAAAGACTTTCTAAAGTTTCAGATACGACCAAGTGATGACAAGTACCATTAAGAATAAAGATAAAGTATAAGGAATGTAAAACCTTAATGCTTTAATTTAAAGCTGATCTCAAATTGTGAACTTTGAAACCTAATAATTTTAAGACATATGACTGGAAATGTATTAAACTTTTGAAATCTAGTAATCATAATTTAGTTTTGTAAACTTGTAAGAAACAATAATTTGGTAAATACTTAAGCAAGCATATGCAAGCACTAACAGATCATCATTTTTACCTTTAAATATTCGTTAAGTATTTCTTCCCCTGAAGCACAACTACCTATATTGAAACCATATTTACTCAATGAAAGGGGATCTTCTAAACAGCTAATTGCGAAAATCCTAGAACCCGAAAGATGAACGATTGATGCTCTTTCGGAGAATGTCGGTTGTTTATCATCCGTAGATGATGCCCCCGAATGCCCTGGTATGGCCGAGAGTGAGGAGAGTTCGTTCTCCCTCTCGAAATACTTTAACATGGGCATGCGTCGTATAGCCTCTGCCAGAGAAGTCCTACTCACTGCCTTCTCGTGGCATTACTGTTGTTTACGAAATTGAGAGGACGAAAAGCGAATGTCCGACGCTTTAACCGGGTTAGTGGACACGGCGCATCCAACTAGGGGAATTGGAAAACCATGATTCCAAACCAATGGTGCACATGGGCTTCAGTATCCTGAAAGAACGAATGGCGTATGAACCAATCGTTGGTCACCAGCTACCATGGGACTGCATCTCCTTACGATGCTCCACTGCCTTGTGTATCAGACCTTTAGGTAAAAGGCTCCAGGTGTGCCCCCCTAGGAAAACCACCTGCTTTAGTTTGGGCACCTGAGCAGTATCATAGCCCTCACACAAATTTCATTTGATTTGTGCGGTGCATATGTATCTGGTACCCGTTTGTACCAATATTTATGTGTATAAATATATAAATAAATAATCCGTAGATGATATACTTACAGGATAAGAAAATCTGCCTACAATAGCTGCAGTAGATACGGTTGTGAGCAAATTAAGGGTGTCAGACAAACGGTGATGGTTAGATAACCCAGAATGTAACTGACAATCATAATCATCCCTAGTAAAACGGCTGAATCTCGGGTTACATGAAGACTCTATAGCTTGTAGAGCAAACCGATAATTCTGGGAGTAAAAAGTAGATATATTAAAGTAAGCTTAAGAAATACATACAATATATCTGTCCTACTATATATATATATATATATAATGGTTTTGCTGAACTGCTTTTCAGCAGCTGAAATAAAGAAAATAACGGAATTATACTGAGTATCAACTTGTACTAAGAAACATATAAGATGCAGGGAAATCCAAAATATTTCGTTATAGAGTCACAAATGAACTTATTATTGTCTACGAAAGTATTAAAAACGTATTAAATAAATTACATATTTGTAATATCCCAATGAGTAGAAAAATTAGATTTTCTGACGTTTCGTGACTCAGTGTAAGCCACTTCTTCAGAGAATAAATAACCAAATTCAATTTGGTTATTGTCATTTGGAATCAATTATTGACTTTGTACGGAAGATTAATCGGACATATCGCTCTAGGCTTTCTTTATAATCAGATTTATTTCACCTGTCACACTACTACTCAGACACAAAAACTATCCGAATATATCGAACAGATTAGCACCAAGAAAACAGAGTTTACTATTACAATTATTATGTGAACTAACTTAGTATTGAACACATTGGAACATACTTTTTGAAGTTAACAATAAAAAATGGAAAAACTAGGTCATTACTTCAAAACTGTTTGTACATGAATCATTGCTACTATAATAATAAGACGAATAACTATTATCATTACCAATAAAAGCGTACTTTCGACAAGTAAAATAGAAAAATGGCATTAATGATGAGAAATCTAAATCTAAATGTAAAACAAACTGAAATAAGAAAAAAAAGATTAATTATTACCTTAACAACTTCCAGCGTGATTTCACTTGTTGCACGTCTTACAGATGACATACGTCTACTTTCTGATATCGATGTTTCACTTTTAACTGTTACATTGAATTGCTTTGATTCATTTTGATTTGATAAATCATGAGAGATAGACCGTGAATTATGCAGAGCATGATTACCATATACCTCTGTTAAATCATTACTTGACATCGGTAAATTCGATTCATCATGAGTACCATTAATTGAAGATACCCTAGGAGGGATATAGCTATGTACTACATTACCATTATCATTATTATTATCCAATACATAGTTTTCAGAGGATATAGTATCAAAAGTCCATTTTTCAATGCACTGCATAGTATTATTATCATTTCTTAATGTTTTCAGCTCATTAGAAGTAGCAAATCTTTTTTGCGAATTCTCCTGTGACGATAAATGCAGTTCAATGGGGTCAGTAGTTGACGCTAGATTATCATCATCGAGTGAATTTTGATGAATACTCAAGACCGATAATGCACTAGGATAAGGCACAGGAGGGGACGATAAAACATTTGCTAAATCAGTGCTGATATAAGTAGTAGTCGTAGTAGAAGCAGTAGTAATATTGTCATTATGATAATTCAACGCTGCTTCAGTCAATGATTTCGGTCGAGTTCTAGTAGCTGGATTAGTAGAACCTGTAAACAAATACAAAAATAAACAGATGAGTAAATGCACTTTGCATATATGCAACACCAGACTAATCAATTGTGTAACTAACATGTAATAGATTTGGTGAGAAAAAAGTTGACATTTTGTAAAAAGTTACACGAAACAAGAAGGATCCAAATTGCAGAATACAATGAATTAATGTTGTATTGCGGTGGTTTTTCTTCAACTACATGTATAAGTCAATACGCTTAGTTATTTTTCATTTAATGTGAAATTCAAAAAACGAAGTGTCCATCAATAACGAATGAGTTGTTTGAAAGCTGTAAAAAATTAAGAACTAAAGCTTTTAGGTGGTATTCAAGTTTGCTTGAGGTAGTAGTTCGCCACTTTATTTCTGAATCCTTCACATTAGTTTGTTACAATTCACAAAATTATCTTAAAAATATCTAATAACTAAAACCTAGAGCAACTAAAAGAATCCTGATAAAACTAATCCTTATTTTCATCTCCATCCCAATGAAAACAGTATGTTAAGTCGCTCATTCTTTCATGATCTTAAACTTCCTTTCTGTCATCCATAATCCATTGTTTTTTTTCAATTTCCAGTGATCTTGAGTGCTGCTAGAGGTATGAGGGTGGTTTATACTTCCTGGTTGCCCACACCATGGAAGGGTTCTTCTAGAGGCATCTAGAAAGGAAATTAGGTTGGAGGAAGTTTTAATGACCTGAGAGTTTTACTACAGTTACTTAAGGACAACTTTTTGAGACCGGTTACACACGGTCTTTTTGTGAATAATTTTCGTGTTAGCACTTGTACTTGTTGGGACCTTACCGCGGGAGACGGATATCCTTGGGATAAGGTGAGTTGTGCATTTTTAGGGTTGACCTTTCCTAACTCCACCCCTCCTTGTGCGAAGGCAGAATCACTGTTATGCTGGTTGTCTGAACGAAAAATCTTACTGTCGTCAAACTTCTGTACAGTCAGCAGTACAACTTTGCCCTTGGACCTTGGGGTTTGCTGCTTTTAGTACTATCGCTCTTCAACCGACTTGTCTGGCATGGTAGAAACTTGAGGAACGATTGTTCCAGACAGTATAGCTCGGTTGGTCCATTACGATAAACAAGCCCGACCACAACGTCAATACTAATCAGCCACTATTACAGAACGATTCTTAACAGTTATCAAGTAGATAATTACGTTCACCTTACCACTTTTCATTAGGTCACTATTATATAACTTCCTTTCAATATCTGATTTTCGTAAGCAATTCATGACAAGAGACCACTTTAGCGTTTTTTTTACTTGTCCAACACTATCCTCTTCTACTACATTACTGTTATTAGCAAATACAATTAACTATCAGTATAAATGTACAGCCTGGATAGATGAAATCATCGAAGAGAAAATTTTCTTCATTGAACAGTCTTGATTCTTCAACTTACTCTCTATTGATAGGCAAATTCGTCAATATTTTACTAACTGAAAATAACTAAAATTATTACGTCGAATGTATAACTTAAACAGGGGGAAACAAAATCCAACTTGAATTCATCAGATTTTGCAAATAGTATTGTTTTTGTTCTACCTCTTGGTTTAAAATTTTGAAGAGAACCATTGACAGGAAATAACTATACCATCGAATTTATGCATAATAAAAGCGATAAGTTAGTCAATATCATTTCATTTTACGACTACTGTGGTAAACGAATACTCAGGTGAGAATAACCAATTTGTTGTTTAATGCAAAATAACGGAATGACTTCGAAAATTATAAAAAACCATACAATAAATATATATATATATATATCCTTCATGATTTTTTAAATTTTCAATTCTTTTGTTTCTGTTTTCTTCAGTTCAATTTTTTCAACCTTTTTTACAGGTATTCCAAATCTGATCGATGCTACATACTACTTATATCAGTCAAAACAAGTAGCATGAACCACACTACCACTACTAATAATAAATTCATTAGGTGATCTGAATGCATCATTTATTCAGAATTAAAAAAGGACAACATAATTCATATACGTAATAGTTCCTGATGTTTCTATTTCAGATTCATTTGTTATTGTTTGTTTTCATTTTTTTAGGTAAATTTAGGATATTTTTGCTCATCATCATTGAATTCTTTATCATGATTATGAACATTAGCTTGTGTCCTATAATAGTTGTGCGAATAACGATTATTATTATTATTGTTCAGGCGAAATAATAAATTAAATGGATAGGAAATTATGAGATGATGGTAGGTTTGCCCATTTCACATGTTTATCTAGAACATCTACGCATAATCAATTTATGTAGATCTATATGTGTACATAGAGAATAAAATTATTTTTTTTTGAAAAATAATTTATTCTTTGAATTTAGTTAAAAAGGTAATGAGAAATTTAAGAATAAAAATTTAAAACACTTTACTAAACCATAACTATTTGTAATATGCATGCTTGGAGTTAATTTACATGAACTTTCTACTTAGCTTTTACTATATCTATCTATCTGTCTATCTATTCATATTACATTTTTTATGTGAAAGTACACTTGAACGATAACTAATAGTAGCATAATGTTACATGAAATGTACGAGAAAAAATTTAATTTCTTAATAAGCAAAGATAGATAATGGCTAGCAGTGGAATCCAGGATGTGCGATTCGTCCAGTTTGGGACTCGTCAGCTGGATTTACCTGCATCTCAGAGTTGATGTTCACTCTGGGACTCGATCCCAGTACCTTTCGCTTCAAACGCCATCGCGTTATCTACTCAGCTATTGAGTCCTGATAGCATATATGCCAAAAAGAGACTGGCCAGTTGCAGTCCTAAACCTCAATGGGAAGATTCAAACAAGTAAAACAAAGTGAATTTAATTTCTTAATGTTTTGCATAACTAGCTGTTATTTTGAAATACAAATAAAATAGAAATGTGTAGATGGCACAAATTGAAAATACCTGCTAAACGCTTAATTCGAGGTCCTTTCTTTTCTTGAGGTAAATCTGATAAATCTACACCGTATACCAATTTAGACATTGTACATGTTAACATTCGCATAACTTTCTATAGGATAATAATAAGAAGAAGAGAGAAAAAGAGAAAAAAGATATCGAAACCAAAATAATCAAAGACAATATGACAACCTCTCAACTTCGCTAATAATCTTTTTTTAAATACTTCAGTAGGTCGATGCTCGAATATATCATAATTCATATATATGAACTTGTTGCGGTTGGCCTAAATGAATAATCTTGTGATTTTTTGAACTTTTCGCAGCAACCAGTATTATTTTGAACTTTACTGTCTTAGTGTTATGGTGCTACTTGCAATATGACAACACCGCTTAGCCCGCATTTATGCGCGAAGGTTGTCATTCTCTGTAAAATGCTATATGCCCTATGATATTTACTTCGATAATTACCATTCCTTTAAACATGAAAGCTATTTTGAAAGTTTTGTCATTCCTCTTTTCATCCGCGTCGATTTATCATGATTGATGTGTTCTGCATAGTTGCGTATTTTATTATCATTGTCAACCTAAGACACTATTATTGATTGCATTTTCATTTTCGTAGTGCTCAACTACATACACATAACTCTGTACACTAACACTAATGTGCATGTCATATCGCGTAATATACATACATCTATTAGCAAAAACTTTTTGTTCCGCAAAATACTATTACATATTTATTTTTGTGCTTTCTTTGTGTTTATTTTTGTAGGCATGTAATCTTCTTTTCCTCGATTTGCTTGCCATACCAGTGTGTTACCTCCGAACACTCCACGGGGAGCTATGTGGAGATAGTTAAAATAGATTTATTTTGTAATTGGTTTTCGCCATTATTTGCATTTCATTGATTTCCATAATTTGTACAATTACAATCACTGACTAAATTTTTTGTTTATAAAAACATGACCTTTGACCTTCCATTCCATTTTTGAGCATTCCGTAGCGTGACACAACGATTCTCCTTTACAAATATACTGCTGCACATATATGCTTCTTGTTCTCAAATATCCGCTGTTAGGATAACAGAACTCTAGCACATTTGTTGTCTATGTTTACAGATCACAGTAATATCCTCATTACATGCTTTATGTGGATAAACATCTCGGATAATAGCAATCATAGTTAGAATTACTAACAACTTATAATTGTGGATTACAAGACCAAAAGAAACTCAAACACGCCTACTCCTGGCAACTTATATGATAGTGTAAATCCGCTTTCATATTACAGTTTTCTCCAAAAACAACTTCACTTAAGAGATGGACAACACTTCAGTTATAAAAAAAGGCTAATAAAAATGTCTTGAAATACCTTAATCTAACATGAATATCTTATATTAGGACGAAAGCTACTAAACATCGCACACCTCTTCAATAAAATACTCAAGTTTTATATGAATACATTAAGTGAGCTGGTGCACAGATCTAGACACGCGGTGTTTTGTATGAAAACTATTCAGCCTTCAACTTACAATACAAATTCATACGACGGTATACTAACATGAAAAGATGCAATGCCATGGTAACTGATGACTAAATCAGGTTTATGTGGCCTTCTTTCACCTAAGATCCTATAGCGCATGTTTATCACTAGTTCGTTTGAAACCATAGTTTTTAAAACTCACTAAGTGAACCCTCTTCCTACCAACATTTTATGCCCTCTCATTTAGATGGACACACCCTAGTCACGTGGAAGGACTGCATAAGACAATTCTGTAAGAGGTAGAATCTCCTCCATTCTTGTCTGTACTAGAAAACCAAAGAATAATACGACAGTTACAGATCAATTAGATGCCTTTCTTTAGTCTGTTACCCTTCGCAAAGGAGCATAAACCCACCAGGATTCTTCATCAAACTCTGTCCTAGGTACTCCTTCCCAGTTTTTTCCAATTGCTATTGAGATACTGAATTGAAAATGATACAAACAGTATATATAAATTAGGGATTTCTACTATTATGCAACATACTTTCCATTCGATTATCAGTGATGGCCAATGACTTAACTGAGAATAAATATTCAAACACTGGTCCCATGGCTCTGAAGATATTGTCGAAAATAGAGATGCACGTAATAAAGCACCATTTAAAGTCTACAAAAAAGGAAATAGATTTGTAGGCTCTAATTCTACGATATAAACCAAAATAAAAGATATAACCAAATATAAGTTGAAGAAAGCTCACTAGGACTACTCCTACAAGTAAGCATTGAAACGAAGACAATGGTACAATATTTATGGAGCCAACAAAACGTGATGATGGCACTTTTACAAAAACCCTGTTTAACATGTGGCTATAGATTTTACGTCGTTCCTGTATACCTATGAATAGTCACCCTCGAAAATGATACAGTTTGGTTAATGAACATATAACAGTGCATCTAATATTCTCTACAGATGAATACACGAAAGAATAGTGTAGTAGATCTATAACGAGGTCTTCTGCACATACTCTACAAGCCATACTTGTAAGAAATGGCAACGTAACGTGTGGTACCTGTTTATTCTAATGCATCAGTACCCTTGATATAATAAGAAGTGGGGGAAGGTTACAATACATCTCAATACCGACATTTAATCCATTTGACGCTTTTCATTCGAAAAATCAATATCACGAAAAGAATCAGTATAGGGTTGGGGAGATTTCTCGGTTTCTGGGTTCTATTACCGCGAGCAGGGTCGTGGACGAGCACTGCTGAGGAGTTCCATACTAAGACGAAATGGTTGTTCAGTCCTTACAGGATCTCAATCGTGGTCTAACATTGATCGGTTCACGCTTTGAAGAAGAGAATGTCAAGTACTTTGAGAGAGGTAAGTAGGCAGTTTGAGAAGCTAGATCTCAGGTGAAGTGAATATGGAGGAAATAAAAATTCCTCATTAGTTGGATTATTAGTTTGATTTCCGTATCATATATCAACTAGTTTGAACTATTAGGTAAGATTTAACAGATATGCTTACATGCACCACATAGATTTCTAAGTATTAACAGAAACATATGGGGAAAATAAGGTCAACAAAGTAATCGTAAATTTAACATGTCGCAAAAATATAAGACTTTAAACTTCCTCACAAAAGGAGCACAAATTTTATAGTACAATATAAACAGCTATTAAGATATCCTACCTGAAAAAGATTCTGTGTAAGTTTATTGTTTGACAACCATTTGTAGTTCTGCACATTACTTGGCGAAGTATTAACCATTGTTTTGCGCATTATATCCATTAGGATGGACAATAATTTAGACCTAAAATAAGAAAATAAAGTAAAATAAAAGGATGATTATACTCATGAAGAATCGACTTTTAATACGGGGCTATGTAGATCATTGAAAAAACAAAGGATCATAATGAAAGAAACTCAACTGGAAATCAAACACCAGGCTAATAAGATTTAAACTATTTTAAACGAAGAATTTTTGAAAACACCAATGATCTATGAATAGAGAGATCCAATCGAAGAGATGTTTGGAGAATTCACAGTTAAGGATGTGAATGACACAAACAGATAAAACCTAACTGCAAAATCCCATAGCAGCTTCCTTGGGAAACTTAATTTGTGATTTGACTCAATTTACTAGCGGCACAGAAAACTCCTGTTTGTAAGCTTTAGGCTTCATATCAAAAGATGATTACTTGAAAATCACTTGCATCAAATGGTAGTAGGGTTACCGTTGGATTGAAAGTCTGTGTACATGACTGATACAATACGCTTCAAGAAAGTGAAAGTGATAGTTTAGTGTTCAAACCATTACAGGCTGGTTAAGTATCGGTGTTGATTGGCATGAGTAGTCTACAATTAGTCATATCGTTTAATGATGTATGACATGAAATAAAATCTTTAATATGTTTGAGATGTTGGACATAAGACAAAATATTCATATTTTGTTAGAATATTACCGCCTTAATAGTTATTTGAACTGACCAACTACACAATTAGGCGTTTAAACATACTTCTAAGGTTGTTAACTGAGGGATATATTTCTGTTGCGTTGCAGTGTTTTCTAACATAACCAACATGTGATTAAACAACTGATCCTGTTTACGACAAACGTACGAGAACATAAAAAAGTAACAATTTGTTTCTTTTTTTTCAGACGTAAAATGTAACCATAACAACTTTTTGAAAGTTTATATTGTATACTTACCAGGTCTCTGAAGTTAACTCATTACTGTTACTAGCAAACTGAAAAATCTGTAACACCAAACGGCATAAATCAATTTGATATTTTGTATAATCGGTTCCACTTGTACTTATTCTGTTTGTATTTTGTGATTCCGATAAGTTAGGATTTAAACTACTAGCATAAAATATATTGGCTATATTTTCCAGCATAATCTACAAAGTGTATAGGTGTGTTATACAACGATAAACAAACAAAAAAAATAATTCGAACAAATAAATTATATTAGAAAAAATGAACAAAAATTCACTGAGTGATGATTAGAGAAAAAGATGCAAAAAGGTTAGTAAAACAGGTGTGTTTGTGTTTCCGAAATATTTTTCAAAATTACATAATATAACAGACAACTCATACAACTTAATTGAATATTTTCGCAGATAATCAATATAAAAAGTGTACAGTATGAATAAGTTCTAAAAATATATATCATTGAGTAGTTTAGTAAGTGATTAGTAAATGAACAAACAAATTTGGACAACGATGGCATTAAGGTAAAAGGGATAGTAATTGTGCTGATTAATTATTTTTATCCGAAGTATTGGATGCACCTAAGAACAGTAAATGGTGATTAGACAAGAAATAAAGTCCTTTCATATTACAAGATTTCAACTTAATTATGGAAGTATTATATATATATATATGTATATATATATATATATACATGGCCACGCGTATACAACCATTACTAGGGCAGTCCTAATCACTGCATTCTCGCTCCACGGGTGTTATTCACGAAATTGAAATGACGAAAAGCAAATGTCCGGCGCTCGAACCGGGTTGGTGGATATGGAGGATCCACCTAGGGGAGTTGAAAAACTTTGAATCTAAATAAATGGTGCACATGGACTCCAGTATCCTGAGGGAACAAAAGGTGTATGAACCTCTTGTTGGTCACTGGCTACCATGGAACTGAATCTCATAAAGTTGTTTTACTGTCTTGTGGATTAGACCTATAGATAAAAGGCTCGGGGTATAACCCCCCTGAGAAAACCATCTGCTTCGGTCTGGGAATTCGGGCAGTATCACAGCCGTCACACATATCAATGATAACTGCTACTGGCCTCATTGTTAATGTGTGGCGCATACGTATTTGGTGCTCCCTTGTACCAATGTTTGTGTGTTCAAATTACATATATATATCACCCTTAGACTACAACGACTTCAAATATAGATTATCGTTATTAGTCACTGCAAACACTGACAAGCGTACAAATACAAATAATATAAATATGCAAGCATTCACCACAGAATACAGAACAGAACCTCATGAGAATGGTCAAACGTTGCGTAGATTATTCAAAAAACAGTTCATACGACTAATAAACGGTAGGGAAAACATCATACTCGGCTTTTGCGGTTTTGTATAAAAACTTTCAAGGGCGTATACTTAGGTTTGTCGGGGTCATGGACATACAGAAATTCAAACCCCTTTTGTATTCAAAAAACAGTCTGTTCCCGCGCTGAACCATCTCTGGCAAAACTGTTTTATTATCCAGGGTGATGAACTTTATATTGCTTTCAACGTTATCTTCTTTATTATCTTTCATTTTACGTTCCATTTGTATAGTTGACCTTCTAACTTTTGATGTATAAATAACCTTAACAAGCATATGTGTGATCAAATTGTTCGAAAAGTATTGCGCTAATATATGATATAGTTCTGATAATCTTCGTCTTCTTATTACACTATTCAAACCACATTTACCGTTTGAAACTGGTTCTCAACTGAAAGAACAGTTTGCTAATGAAGTATCACACCACCTTGATTTCAAATTATCGACAATCTTTTTGTGTAGTCCGATCTTACAGGGTAATCATATAAAAAATAAGACAGTAGTTAGTGCGTGTGATTTCAGTATTGACGAAAATCAGCTAAGGATCATTAGGAAAACAGAAGTTTTCACATTTTGATGAGGGAAATCTTTCTAAAGGTTACAATAAATACCAGATCTTGTATTAGATCAAAACTTCTCAATCACTACCCGATAGATGAAATCTTGAAATACTCATTTCAAACTAATGTATATACAATAATGTCATTGAACTTGAAGAAATATAATAATTTTATCATTTAAAGCAATCAATAATTTACAGAGAGGTCAGCACATTATATAAATTTAAGAAATTAATTAAATATATTTTATATATGGTAAAATAACTTGAAAGGTTTTTCAAGCAAATAGAATTAAAACATTATTATTACATGAAAATGGATATGAATAAATTAATTGTGTGCAAAACTTGGTTGCATCCTTAATACAGGTCGCAACATTAAGTAAATCGGTTGAACAAACATACGAAATCAATAATCATTATTGATCACTGAGATCTGCATGTAAATGTAACTAGAAATGGGTAAGCAAATAAGTAAGCAAGACAAAATAAACAATAAATAATATTATTCTAAAGTAACTAGTGAACAATGAAGCTTGTTAGTTAATTATTTAAATGTTAATGACGCTAAAGCTAACCTGAATTGTATTCTGTAAACAACCTTTCAATTCTTCTGGATCATTGATGCCAACATCATCCTTAGATTTAGTTTCATCAATAGGAAAATCTTCAATTTGTGACTGTTGAATTTGTTTAAGATCATTCATACGGCCATTCATTTTGAGCATTTGACTGTGTTCTATTGAAGATACGTTTACTTGTGATTTTGCTGACTGAGAGTTTACGCAAGAAGAAAAATTTTTTTACATTTACATGATTGGAAAAGTTTATTTTTTTATGAACGGCATTTGACAACTATATAATTAAAGTAATATTTGCATACTTAGCGAAAGTAAAATTTAAAACAAGTATTTCTTACTTACAGTATTGCATAGTATAAACTGTACAATAATAATGTCATATAAAGCCATATACAACTTAAATTTAAGTAAAACACCAGTGTATATAAAGTCATTCTGGGGAGCAAACGATAAGGAAATAATTCAAAATATCACTTATTCAATCTAGAAGGTGTCATAATGAAGCTAAACAAGGTAATGAAATACAGTCAACTTAGTGAAACTTTATTTAGGTAGCAATAAATGAGCAAACGATATGCATGTATGACGTTTACTCGACAAAAGCCGTTTACGTCACCTATCACGACTTAATTTTGTTTACGCAAATTTGAATCTCCTATCCTACCTGCAGCCAACTTACCACCTTTAAAATATTGTCATTTATGATGCAGTAAAAGTTACCTTTATATTAGTTGTTCAACTTGTTATATTAGAAACTGTGTTAGGAGGAAGATAACACTGCGAAATGACTCTTAGTTTACTATATTGTGATAGTTACTAAGTATTAGCTTAATGAAAAAATGGAAATTTAACAAACGGGATAAAAGTTTGCCATTTATTTAACCTAGTATTCCTAGGAATGAAAACCACAGTCAGTTTCTAAGACAGAACATTTTTGAGTACTTTTACAGTAGGTTAGTGTTCTTAGCAGCCAAAGCGAACAGGGAAGATTCAAACAAACAATACTGAATGATTTTACACTTCACCCCATCGCACAAGCAAGTGGCTATCAGAACTCAGTGGCCGAGTGGATAACGCGATGGCGTTTGAAGCGAAAGGTACTGGGTTCGAGTCCCAGAGTGAACATCAACTCTGAGATGCAGGTACATCCGGTTGACGAGTTCCAAACAGGACGAATCGCGCGTCCTGGATTCCACTGCTAGCCACCATCCATCTTTGCTTACCAAAGCTAACAGTGTTTTTTTAATTCCATTATGATGATTCTTTTAATGTCATGCTTAGTATGGACGAACAGCTGAACACTAATTAATGAATATATTTGAGATAAAATCAACTTATCTATTATGCTTTTAAAAGTTAGAGAAAACAAATATCAAACTGTTTAAAAAGAGGTAGATCAACAAATTCGAAACTAACCGGAGAAATACTTTTTACTGGACTATCTGAAGCTTGCATAAAAATTGGGCGATTGTGTTTGTTCTAAATTTGAATAACACAAAGTAATAACAGTAGTTAGTCATTATGGGCAAAGACTATTATATTCATTACTAGCTAAAATGGAACTACATACAACCACCTTTAACAATTTAAGACAAAATATTAATGAAATCAGTAATTCACTGAATAATAATGACATGTGTTAATGGTTATATATATATATATATATATATATATTCTTAATTTCCTCTTCAGTTAGGTGCTGGTTTTTCTTCTCCCACAGAAGGCTGCTGCTCATGGTATCCGACCAAAGGACATTGAGTATGTTGCGTAGACAATTGTTCACAAATACTTGTACGTTTTTAATGATGGTCGTAATAGTTCTCCATGTTTCAGCTCCGTACAGTATGACTAACTATCATGACGTTTGTATTGAAGATTGTGACTTCGATATTGGTTGACAGTGGTTTTGAGTTCTTTATGTTATCCAACTGTGGTATAACAACCTTCGCTTTGCCAATCGTCGCCTCTACATCCGCATCAGATCCTCCTTGTATATCAAGGATGCTTCCCAGGGACGTGGATATTTCCACATCTTCCAGAGTTTCTCTATCGAGCGCGATTAGCTTGGCGTTCATCGTGTTGTATTTGAGAAACTTGCTTTTTTCCTTTGTGTATGTTGAGGTTTATTGATGCAGAGGCTGTTGCTACATTTATTGTCTTCATCTGTATTTGTTCGTGTGTATGGGATAGGAGGGCTAAGTCACCTGCGAACTCCAAATCGTCTAATTGATTCCGTCGTATGAGTTCTGGATAATGTGGACAATTTTCTCAGGGACTCCAAGTGTCGAGGAAGTTTTCATAATGTTCTCCTGTCCACACTGTCAAACGCCTTCTTATAGTGAAGTTGATGTATAGTGACGACTTTCATGGTGATTCACAGTGTCGCAATTCGGTCTGTGCACGATCGTCCCTTACGGGATCCCGAAGTTGGGTGTCTACTGTGTCTTTCATCCCCTTAAGCAACACTCTATTGAAAAATTTTCCAGAAACTGACGACAGTATGATGCCTCTGTAATTCTCACATTCTCCCAGATCTCCTTTCTTTGGTATCCTGATGAGGTATCCCTCTTTCCAGTTACTTCAATGCCTGACTTCAGTGCTTCAGCTGATATATTGTCAGATCCTGCTGTCTTCCCATTCTTGATTTGTCTGATAGCCATCTTGATTTCCTCGGTCGTTGGTGGAGTGACAGATGTAGGAAGGTCTATGTGTGCTGCTTCGATGTCCGGTGGATTCAACAGAGCTGGCTTATTCAGCAGTTCCTCGAAGTATTCTGCCCATCTCTTCCTCTGTTCTTGAGTCTCCGTGATTGTCTTTCTTTTTTGTCCTCGACTAGTCTCTCCGGTTTACAATTACAATTAAAACGCTAACCAGAAAAAATAATTGTAAACGGTAATAAGAATTTTAAATTCAACTTAGTATTGCTTGTTTGAATCTTCCCATCGATTTGTTAGGACTCAGTGGCCGAGTGGATAACGCGATGGCGTTTGAAGCGAGGGTACTGGGTTCGAATCCCAGAGTGAACATCAACTCTGAGATGCAGGTACATCCAGCTCACGAGTCCCAAATAGGACGAAACGCGCGTACTGGATTCCACTGCTAGCCACTATCCATCTCTGCTAACTATGCTTGTGAATTAAGGTATGTCGAGGCAATACGCACAGTATGCACATATGCCAATTAGAGGTAATAAGAATTTATTTTATTTTGTGAAATAAACCAGGATAGCTAGTCTCATTCTCAAAGTGATGAGAATGAAAGTGTAAATACTTGTTATGATTCATTAAAATCGGTACAGTGTACTACGATTATTCAGTAAATGTAGGACACTATGAAGACCATATAGAGACCTGGATTATTTCAATATGACACACCATTTTGCATCTAAGTACGCTGAGACAATTTATGGAATGGTAAATCTTATAATTCTAATACATGGCTTTTTGTCAAATAAGTTGTAAAACTAACATCTCTTTCATGGAAGTCTGATATTAGAAAAAGCACTGAGCTGAAAGATATAGCATAGAAATATGACTGAAGATGAGTGCAAGAAATGGAAAGTTAAAAATGAATGGAGTTAATACAAGTAATTACAGGATAAATAATTACAACTTTAGGATTTAAAAAATTGTACGTAATTAAAATCCAGTTGCAGTGTTTTGCTATGGTTTCATTACATCATACTCTGTAACTTGCTTTAAATCTCTACAAGCCTTGTGAATCCTAGCACAGGGGTGTTATTCTATCTGAGTGACACAAATAGTTCAAAACTACCACCGTCAGCCTTGATTTACGGTTCCTTGATCAACATTCGTTTGTGTATATTGCTAATAGGATCGAATCTAATCTTCATTTTTCCGTACATAAACACCAATCAGTTATCAAAGGCCATAGTATATTTCCACTTATACCAATACATTTAGACAACTGTGGATGTGCGTTCGATTAAGGAAGCGTTTAAATCTTAAAAAGAGGCATTATAAAGAAGACAAGAGAATCTCTAGGAGCTCGGTACTCAAGTTATTTAGCAAGCAATATACATATTTATTCGATTTATCAATCAACTAGAGAAATCAAAAGCAACTATAAGCCCAAGAATTAGGTCGGAGAAAAAGGTAACCGATATGACTATGGGAACAATGACAAAACAAGTCTTAACAACAACCAAACAAACTCAAATTTAACAGAAAAAACTGCTGATCACTTGTGAAGACATTTTCATAGGTTATTACATCTGTATGAAGTTGGCACATATGGTGCTGCTTAAAAAGACAACGACAGCTTACAGACTAAACTACAAAGATCAAAGAATGCATTTTGAACATAAAGATAGAATCCGAAAAATAGAAACAACAATTTAACGATTAGACTTCAGGTTAATCTCAATTTATGGTTCGCGAGGACAGTTCTTAGTTATCTAAATTAATTGATAGTATATAATGAACGGATCACATAAAACTGATGCTAACTAAAAGTGAATCATTTTTTTACCACATATAAACTAAGTTTTAAAGTACTTGAAAATACCTCCAGGAGTTCGAAAATGTGACAAAAATTTATAATCTTGGAAACACTTACTTCCAACCACGAACCATAAACTGTAACGATAAAGAAAAGAGCTTTGTGACATTCCAAAGGAAGAAGCAATGCCTGATGTAAAATGTCCTGTACCAAATTAATATTTTGTCTACATCCATATAACACTTCATGAACCATAGAAACCTGAAGAATAAAATTATTTGTAAATACGTTTAAACTGATTATTAAACAATCAGAAAGCACTTATACGACTTTCAATCATAATATTATGAATTATTTGTTTCCTGGAGCTAAATAATTGCAAGAGCAGATTAATCTTCAAATTACATAAATCAATCCAATAGTAAGCAATGGGTCCAGTATTTAATTATAATTCAAAAATATTAATTTATAGAAAATAATATGTAGGATATAAAATTATTTTCATCTAGATAGTACCTATCGAAAATAGATTCAAGTACTCTCATAGTTTCAATAAAAGTTGAACAATTTTATTCGGGACGGTTGCATATACACAACAAAGTAATGCTATGAATTCAATCAATACTAAGAAGTATAACTGTTTGCTTTAATCAATGATATGAGGACTGATACCATTAATTGTGTACAACTACCATTACTTCAAATGATTAACTTACTATTTAGTGTTCAAAACCTATGAATTCTTCAGCTCCCATACCCTAGTAAAAAGATTATCTTTATTATACCTACAAACAGCTGAGTTTCTACGACACATAAAACCTTAAGTAAGAAGCGTCCTAGACTGCCTATGATGAGCCAGTGAACGAAATAGATATACGCGAGGGCGTGGTAACCGTCAGTGATAGTTTAATCACATCCTAAGTAAAAAAAAATACCAATGAACTGTTGGAGTTATCGGTAGGACAAAACCAGAGAGAGATCTACTTATTACGTAGCTTGGACACTAAAAAATTTGCAGCCGGATAGCAAAAAGATTCTGAATAAGGTAAATTCATCCAATCGAATTACTCACCACCAAATGTTAACACGTTCTAATTAAAATGTTTACTTACGACTTTTTCATCGTAATTAAAGAATGGTTCAGTGAAAATAAATTTTTGTGGAAGTGGAGATGTTTGGACAGTGGAAGGAATTACAGCAGTATCTTTGACCGAATAACTGTTTAGTTTAGGAGAGAGGTTCGAAGCAGCCAGGTTAGTTGGTTCCTGAACAAAGTTCTCGTCACCATTTCGCAGATAAATTGGTACTTGAACAGGTGGAGAACTCGAAAGTTTGGCGTAACTGATAGCCTTTGAATATGATCCAGATTCGAATTCACCATGTCCAGGACAACCTATGAATGAGCGGAAATGTCGAGAGAGAAGAAAGTCGTTCGGATCACCATGTGTATCCCATGGGAAACTGCCAGCCAGGTTAAAAGATGGGCCAGTAGTACCTGCTACAGAACCATGGATAGTAAAATTTGAATCGAAGCCACCGTCCGAAGAGCTAAACAAAAAAACATCTTGTTTAATAAGTTTTACAAACTGCATAGCATATGCTTCGCAAAAAACTGATGAGTGAAAGTGAGAAAGTTCATAATCCTTTAACATTACTCATTATGTAAATACCACGGCTTTATTCACACATTTTCAACTTGAAAAGGCGAACTATACACATAACCCCGAAACAGCAAGAACTCACATAGCATGACTTGATTCCCGTGGACCAGTATATACAAAAGTTGCCAACCAGCAGGCGAATTCTAACTGATAGTATGAAAGACGTGATGGATGGATTGGGTAATCCTGTAAAATATTTGAAGTTAATGGGACTGTGTTGTTCACTTGGGATGAAGTCGAGGGCGAATATATTGAGTATAAAGGAGATAAACTGTACAATAAATAGGAATAAAGAAATCAACAAAAACATCACTCTTAAACCAAACAAGAATGAGTTTATAATATGGATAGTTCGTAAAAACACATTCCACAGCCACACCGTTCATGATTAAAAAATGGTCTCTGGATTGAAGCATTCATACAATTAACCTAAGAACAAAGCATTTGGCTAAACTAATCTACTTCAGCATTCACATTGGTATCTGTGAAATTAGTTGAGACCTTAACAATGAAATTTAGGGTTTTAGATTTATCAAAAGTATATCTCTCCTTAGAATCATAGCTTATCAATTGGTTCTTCAAATTACAGTAGATAAAGTGGAAGTTGAAACAATAAATAAGTTAGACATCAAAAACTTGTTATTTGTCATCAATTACACCTTATCCAGATTTTTCAACCTGTGTAGACCCTATCCTACCAACAAAGCCATGAATTACGTGGAATATTGCTCTCCTCCTACACAACAAACAGTAACAGACAGAAAACAAAAAGTTCAATGAAGCAACAGAACTTTTCAAGAATCTTTTCAATAGTTTAGCCTATGAGAGGGACAGGGTATATACAGAAATATTGATTAGAGGACAAGTCATGTAGTTTTATACATAAACTACGGAAATTAGAATATATTCATGGCTATACAACGTGGTTCGTTACTAATAGGTATCATCTCTGTCTTATTTTATTTGTTTAAACACATAAATATTGGTACAGAGAGGCCCTGAATGCATATGCGCCACACAAGTAATCTCTGAACCTTTTTTACATTTACTTCAGTTTAAGCAGTCTGGCAGTATTACTAATTTACAAACAAGACGTGACTCAAAGTCGAGCACACCAACGCACTCGGTTAGTTGCATTTGGATATGTGTGGGCCGTTTGTTTATTTACGTCTTAATATGAAAATACAAGAAAACAAACAAGCCTTTTAATATTTTGAGATAAATACCGAAACGTACGAAGTTCTACGTTGTGACTGACTGACTGAAATACCGAAACTATGAACTAATTGAACCTAGGCTATTAACAAGACAAAAACATTACGTGGTTAGTTTCAGTAATTGAAAACAGAAATCCAGAACGAGAAATTAAGATTTGAAACTACTAAAAATGAGCCTTTTAGTACAACTTACAAACCGGTTGCAGACCACCTTATTGTTCAATGCGAAGTCGATATAGAAAAGATCCGGCAGTGTAGATAAACTCAACTAAGGAAAGGCTGCGACCGTTGATATATTTTTAGAAAGTAATGAGTAGTTGACGAGTTGTCAAAAACTGTCCAACACTCTTATTCCAAAAACTGCTAACTCTAAAAATAGTAATGTCAAGAATAGCTATGCCTTGTCAGTCAATCACAATGTAGGACCTGGTACGTATGCACATCGGTTCAAGTTGTCATAATCTATTGGCACAGAGAGATAAAAACGTCACGCCAAAACCCCAAAATAGTAGAGGTTGTAACAGTATCAGTGGTAATAGGAAGGATTAGGCATTGAAGATACAATTCGAGAAAATAGAAACTAGTGGAATAAAAACGACAAAAAACATTAGGATCTCAGAATTTGAAGGAAGACAAAGAACGAATGCACCTGGGCAATCTCAAACGATTTTGAGCTATTTCATTCGTCTCTGTTGGTTATGATAATCACGCGGACCCTAACAAAAGGTAGTCTATACCTATCTATAGACTGGTGCCACATTTTGGTTTGGTCACCATCAGCTTTCTCCTACACCATAAAGCATCGACCGTCGAGGTAAGAGTTCGTCGAGCATACGTAACATGTCTCAACCACTTCAGTTGATGAAGACTTACAAACTCGTCAATCGATCTGCCACCCTTACCTAGTACTCTACTCCTAACATAGCCATTGCTTGCTCGATGGTCAAAAAGTACACTACTAAAACTTCAAAGACACTTATGAACGAAAACTAGTAAAACTAAGAATATCCTCTATTCGCAACGGCCTTGTATGATAAGTAAACTTTCAGAGTATAGCACGATTCATCGAGTAGAAAGTCTCTAGATCGATGATCATAAACCGTTAGACATATTTTATTACCAACATTCTAAGGCACTTACCATGGAAAAATAACGGGGAGGTACGAATGTTTTAACTTTTCGAACAGAAACCATAGCTGCATTAAATGTTGCTCATATCGAAGTTGTGACCACTCGATCTTGAAGGATTCTGAGACAAGGAAATGTAGAAGTGACTGAAGCAGGACTAAGGATTTGTCATCAAACTACAAAATTATCAATAATTTAGGAAGAGAGATCAAAACATTTACCGACTCATCCTCTCCTAGAGCAGTGGCAGTTAGGAGGGCAACCCGTTCGCGCGGGGCAACAACATTCGAGGACTTCGACTCTTGCATCATCTGTCCACGCGTATCCGTCGAGAGGTTTCTAGCATGAGGATGGTTGTGCTTGCGTTGATCATTTTCACGCTTTTGATATTCTGCAATCAGTGGGCCAAATTCAGGGACCAGATTGTAGAAAATTCTATGGCAGACAGATGTTGCATTCAAGCCAAGTATCTGATACCATATTAAAAATAACCTGATTCCCCTTTTACGGATAGTGAGCGCATTCTTTTCGTACAGGAGATCCTCAATTACTTCAACTAGATGAAGTGAGTTACTAAAACCACAGAAAACCTACTAATACAATTATGCTGCCATCTTTGGTGAATGTGTTCCGGCAACAATAACAGTACTTTCTAAAAATAAGATCACTTATGAAAAGATACCACCTCAAATACTGTGAGCACTACCTCCAACTCTTTAATACAATTACTGCTTCCTATGAAATTGAAATGCTAAAAAACAACAATATACCCTTTAATTTAACATCCCACTCAAAGCTAAAGAAACAGTCACTAAAAACTTGAAATATTAGGGACGAATTTTCGACAAAAAATGGTTGGAGTTCATCATCTGATAGGCTATCTAAAAGACATATCAGTTAAATAAAACAAGTTTATTCGCTACCAATCAAAATCTTCAAGTGCTTTATTTTGTGAGTACTTTCCTTTTCACTTAGAAACTTTTTCCTAGACTTAACTGCGCTAGTATCACTAGGCCTGTGCCTTCGAAACATAACTCAAGCCAAACATTCATTGCCTTTGAAAAGTGATCATTCAATAGACAAGTACATTTGATGCATATAAAAAGCACTCAAACGAAAAGATTATCTGACATATATGAAATGATTTGTAAGAATATAGTAGCTGAACAAATTCGAATGATTCCATTAATTTTGAAGCCGAAGCCACTCTGGGTGAAGCACGAGGCCACCTAAATAGGCTTCGGATCTGTTATACCAACGCCCGGAGCTTACTAAATAAGCTACCGGAACTGTGTGTACAGATTGACTCAACTAGGCCAGACATAATCGCAGTCACAGAAACATGGCTGACGCCGTCTATAAATAGTAGGGAACTTGATTTCGAGGGTTTTACATTGGTAAGGGCCGATAGAATACAAACGCGTAAAGGAGGGGGAGTAGCTCTATTCATTAGGAATGCTATTCCATTCACCATTAAAAGAAGAAGAAATGTTCCTTCACTATGGGGAGACAGTACTGCCACATCACTAGTGGAGGATGACTTTGGCAAAGCTCAAGTATTCTCTAAATACTTTAGCGATGTATACACCATAGAAACACCCTTCTCACCAGTCCATGAAAATCCACCCACACAAGCACTGGACAGCGTAACCATTAAAGAACTCGATGTCTTTGGTCTGCTAGTTAAGCTTGACATAGGTAAATCCACTGGACCCGATGAACTGCATCCTAGGTTATTAAAGGAATTAGCTAACTTTGTTGCGAACCCTTTAAGTGTATGTTTTAATCTATCCGTAACCCAGGGTCGTCTACCAAAAGACTGGAAGAACGCCATAGTAAGTCCAGTCTTCAAAACAGGTACAAAACATAAGCCTGAGAATTACCGACCAATTAGCCTAACTAGTGTGGTTGTTAAAATATTGGAAAAGATTATTCTGAAGGAACTGTTAAAGTATCTCGATGAAAACCGGATCCTCTCCGAAAAGCAGCATGGTTTTAGAACAGGTTACTCTTGTCTCACAAACTTATTAGTCGCTCGTGAAAGCTGGTGCGCTCTTAAAGATCAAAAGTTACCTATAGACGTAGCTTACATCTATTTCAGCAAAGCTTTCGACAAAGTTCCGCATAACCGGCTGTTATATAAGCTAAGGAATGTCGGGATTGGAGGCAATCTATTGATGTGGATCAAAGACTTCCTAGTTGGGCGTCAACAAAGAGTAAGGGTGAACTCCAAGTTGTCTAGCTGGGAAACTGTGCTTAGTGGAGTCCCCCAGGGTACAGTTTTGGGGCCAGTGTTATTCCTCCTGTACGTAAATGATCTCCCTCGTCTACTATTGTCATCGGTCTTACTCTATGCTGATGATGTCAAGATATGGAGAGCGATACAAAGCAAGGGCGATAGCTTAGAACTTCAAAATGACCTGAAGAGATTATGTGAATGGTTCCAAACCTGGCAATTGCCGATAAACACTTCCAAGTGTATTGTGATGCATATTGGCCATCAGGGTACAGATACATACACAATAAATAACACTGAGTTACCTATTGTTCAGGCACACAACGACTTAGGCGTCATCGTCAGTCAAGACTTAAAGACTACTGCACACTGCCGTGCAGTAGCCGCCAAAGGTTTTAGGACTTTATGGTCCATACGCAGGGCTTTTAGGCATCTTGACGCTAAAACGTTTTTGACTTTGTATACAGTATTCGTATGCCCTAAACTTGAGTACTGTATACAAGCAGCTAACCCTGCCTAAAAAAAGACAGTGAACTCTTGGAAAGGGTTCAGAGAACAGCAACTAGGCTGATTCCCAGAATAGCGAAGCTCCCGTATGGTACTAGACTGACCAAGCTAAACCTATTCCCATTATCATATCGAGGGGCTAGAGGAGACTTGATTATAGTTTTCAAATTGCTTAATGACTAATTTGCACCTAATATGCCCTCATTTTTCTTGTCTTCCAAAACAGAAAATCTACAAGGACACTCCAAAAACGTTCACAAGCCCAGAACGAATTACTTGTCAGCTGACTACCGACTTTCCCATCGAATAATCAACGAGTGGAATTCATTACCTCAGCACGTGGTTCAGGTTCCATCCGTCGACTCCTTCAAAAGAAAGTTGGATCAGCTGAGAGACCATCATTGCCAGGACTAACACAGGCCATCAAGCCTCCTGTCCTTTCCAAACTGAAACTGAATAGAAGGGGCTTTCACTTAACGAGCTTGCGTATCTAGTAGCAGTGGATGACCGATACCCCCAGACAGGAACCTAGGTACATTTTCGATAAAAGAGGTAGAAGATAAAAATGGTAAATCATAGTAATATACCATCTTGAGTCCTTAGGAATACGTCTAATTTTCTCTTAAAGGACTCCTGGGTAGTCATTTGGACCAGCTCAGCAGGCATCGAATCCCAACATTTGACTACTCTAAGGAGTAGAAGGTGTAGCTGTAAATAATTCCCCAAAATCAATAGCCTTCTAAGTGTTCAACATTGGATGCTGACCACGTTGTTTAAGTGGACTTGTTTAACTGAAGGCTTTCGGTCATGCATCCGTACCGATCACGTTGCAACTCGGCGTGGGACACAGCTCCTACGTTTCCATAGTCAGCTAAGAACGAACGCCTCTAGATATATTGGTAACGCATCAAATATATCTTTCCTACCTCTTCTCGTCTGACTTCTGATTTCTTTTGGCCGGGAACGATCGAATATAGAAGATACTACTGGTTGCTAGTTGTAAAACTAGAATATACGTTGTATCAATAAAGGTGTGTCTACAGTTCGTTCTGTTGCGCTGAGTCTCCAGTTTCTGGGTGTTACTCATAGGATTTGTGTTGAGACTGAGCTTAAGTATGTGCTTAATGGGATGTCAAGAAGTGTTGAGGATGCTGTAAGCAATTAGAAGGTTGCCTCTGAGACGCTTGTACTCTAATGGGTAAAGGTTCATTGATAGTCGGAGTTCTTCATAGGCCTTAATTTGAGTCTCCGAAATGATTTCGTGGCTCACCTTTTGATACGTTCCAGAGTGTCCTCATCCTTCGGGAGTGAGGAAGGAAATACTATGTTTCCGTACTGTAAATGGGGATAAATAAAACTGTTGAAGATTATGTAAAAACTTCTGTCAAACTGGCCGAAAACGTGCTTCAATGTTACCAGTGGAATATTTACTCTTTTTCAACCTGGGATACCTCTAGAGAGTTGTTTATGTTGCAGCTGAAGTCTGCAACATGTCACGGAAGGATCTCTCTTCAAAATTTCACATCATCAGCAAAAAATACAAATCTGACGACACCTGCTGTGAAAGATTTTTTACATAAATAAACAAAGAAGAGATCCTTGTACTAAACCCTGAGAGAACCCACTAGGAATTCCTTATTCCGAGAGGAATTGAAGCTAACCCTGAACTTAAAATGTCCATTTTCTAGATATGAAGTAAACCAATCGATTAACGGTGATTTGATACCTTATCCTTTGGGCTTATTGATAAGACATATATGGTTTGCCTCACCAGAAGCTTTTGAGATATCAAGGCAAATGACGTCAACCTTCTCCTTGTGATTAAGGGTCCTTGTCCATTTATCTACCGTAGTCAGCAGCTTGGTTGTACAAGAGTAACCCTTACTGAAACCACGCTGTCGGGGTAAGAGGTTTAAGGATAATAAGTAGTCGTGTATGCCATCGCATATCATGGACTACATAATTTTTTAAAGGTATAGAGAGAAGAGTCGCCGGTCGGTAACTTGAAGTTTCGCTGCGTCGACCTCCTTTGAAAATCGCTGTGATTTGAGCGCTCATATTCACTTCGCAAAGTCCTGTGGGGTTAGAGGTGGAACTCCCATCAATATAGTTAGTGTGGGTTGGTTATAATGTATGAGAGCACAGCTCAGCCAGGAGGTTAGAGGCGCCACCGCCGTTGCAGGTCGGGCTATTAGGACCTAGCAGCTTGGAAATTCTGGTTTTGGCTTGTCGAAGAGAGGCTGCATAACGGGATAAGCTTTTCAGATTGAAGATAATTTTATCAATAAGCTCCATCTAGAACTGAAGCCTGTCTTCACTTATTGTCTGTGTGCATATGTTTCTTAATTGTTTGTATTCCCTGTATGTGCTGTTGTTACTAGTTCGTTTGTATTCCGCCCAACAGTGCCTTTTGCGGCTTAGCAAAGGAAGAGCTGTTCTTGATGGCTGCTTGCAGATTTTGCGGACCGTTAGTGGAACAGAATTCTTTGTATAGCACATAAGATCGTGAGCAGCAAGAAATCCCAATGAGCATCCACATCTAGCTGACGGTGAACTTACCAGACCACTTTTTGTGGATTGTCCTGTAAAGCTGACACATTCAATCGTTTGAAATTTCAGCGCCTGTTGTTGATAGGATACTTTAGTTCGGTTTTGCTGATCAAACTGAAGGCTGTGATGGCGTGATCGCTTTTCCCTAGAAGATCCATGGTTGCCACTTAAGAATTCTTTGTTTATAAATGCCCTGTCCGATGGCATCTGATTGCTTCTCCAACAACTTGTCATCTTCAAATTTTCAAATCATCCCGGATATTCAATAAGGTTGAAGAACCAAGCTTCAGTAGATTTTTCACCTCCAGTGTACATATGTTCGGTGAAATTGACTTCAGAAAGATTGAAGCCCCCTAGAATCAGCATATGAGTGAATCTGTAGATCTATGGTCTACTTAGTTATTAGTACTGATGTTATAATAAACCTAATCCTAAAATTGTAGTTAGGGTCCAATGTCACTACAAATCCGGGATAAACCTTCTAGCATATGATTGTCGTACTCGATGTCAGCAGTGGGTTTCCTGTAGATGACTCGAAATAGACACTTCGAAGTGGTAGGCTATCTTACTGAGCATCATATGGATTCATCAGGATGGATAAACTCTTGGTTATGCACTTGATATACCCAGATGCAAGATCGCAAGTATAAGACTACTCCACCCCCTCACTCCTGTTTAGCAGTCTTTGCGAAACAAAGACATCCCGCATATTGCTAGCTCTTGGTCCGTAAACTGAGAT